ACTGCACACTCACCAGTCACTTTATTAGGTACTCCCTAGTACCGGGTTGGACCCTCTTTTGCCTTCAGAACTGCCTTAATTCTTCATGGCATACTTTCAACAAGGTGTTGGAAACATTCTTCAAAGACGTTGGTCCATATTGACATGATAGCATCACGCAGTTGCTGCAGATTTTTTGACTGGTGTATTATCCTGATGTGTATTATCCCAAGTCAGTCTTGGGAATAACAAAATGAACTTACTGCATATTGTTACAGCGCACCCTCTTCTCTCAAATATCAGGCTATAGCTACACTGTTATTTGAAATAACCTAAATAAAAAGCATGTGTTCTGTGCTGTGTCCCGCATGGGGTTAATACAATACATTAATTAAATACAATTCATATTATTGTCAAAACGGGTCAATAAGCTCAAAAGCTTATCGTCACGAAGTGTTCCCAAAACATCTCTCCTCTCACCGAATATCTTGACGGATATTGTTACGTACATGAACAAAGGCAGAGGAACTAAAATTAGCAACTCTATAGCCAGACATGTACACTGATATTGGGTGATTCTGCAAAATCATTATTTTTTTTAATGATGAAAGTGTTTTTTATATTATTTCTTTTTACAATATCTGCGCATGGAAATTACAGAATGATTACAGTTATGTAATGATGGTGGTTATGGAAAATAATCTATGGTTAAAGGAATATTTTGACATTTCAGTCACTCTCTTACAGATTACTGTCATCGCTGTGCACTAAATGTGAAGCTACAACCAGCAGCCTGGAAACAGGCAGCCTGGCTGGGCCCAAATATGAATTATATGTAGTTAGTTAAATTTGCACAAGGTTGTTCACTCACTGGTTCACAGGAAAGCATTCCAAAACAAAGGTGGGCAGTTTTTTTAAACTGGAAGAGCAATCACCAATGAAACGAGGAGCTGAAATAACTGAAACAATCTCAGTGAAGATGAACGCAGCAACTGAAGAGCTCTTCTGCAGAGTATTATATTGTTGTCTGGAAGGTGCAGAACAGCATGAGTCAATCTGTATTTACTAACATAACATGTGCTAACTGGAACCAAAAATGGTTCTTTGGAGTGATGCCATAGAAGAACCATTTTTAGTGGTTCTTTAAAAGCACATTCCTGCAAATGGTTCTTTGAGGAACCTTTGGGGGTTGCTTAAGAACCATCAGAAAATGGAAAATGGAAATAGAAAACTTTAGCAAAAATAGGTTCTTTAAGGAACCATTAAAAAAAGTTCTTTGTGGACCCAGCTGGTTCAGTACAGAACCTCTTTTAAATAATTCTTAATTCATTTTTCAGAATAAATGGTTCTTTAAGCAAACTACTTAATGAGCAGGTGGAAAGAAGTATATATACATAATTGTTGGCTGTTTATTGACATGAAGCACAATAGAAGTCAAAACAAACACAAAATGAGTCACTGTGAGGGGGAACATAACCCCTGTTAAAATAACTTGTTGATCTATACTAAAAGTCAACTACCATTTGCCAGCTGTACCGCAGTCCTTTAAAGTAGCTGTAAATAAACCTCTTCTTTAAAAAACCCACACTTAATCTAGGGGTTTTAGGGGTTTAGCTGTATTCACATTGTTTCTATTTATTCTAATAAACCTTATGCCAAAGAAATACATTTTCAGTACTAGTCCATTTGCTCAACCTATTTAAAAACAAACACATACAGAATAACTACAGTATTTGATATGTGTCTCGTTAACCGGATATGATGTGATTATCCTGTGCCAGTGGGCAGACCAGTCCACCAAGTGATGGCGCCCTCGTGTGGGTACTAACCAATCACACTCTCCAGCAGGAAGAATAGGCCACACTGCACAGCAAAGAGACAGTAAGGCTGTGCTTCTCAAACTGGGGAGCTTAGAGCCACTTCAGGGGGGTTGTGGATGTTGAGCAGACCTGTTGAATGAATATGATTTATGTGGTGACATAAACAAACAAAAATGTTCTGGTGGCTATATGGCTAACCTGAATCTTGTTTATTTCAGTAGCCTGGATTGTTAATGATTGATAAAAATTGAATCCACTTTTGCTAGGTGGGGAGGGTGCATGAACTTTTTTTGGCTTTGGGTGTGAAAGAACTTTGCAGTAAATAAACAGCTAATAATAAACTAATTGCTAACATGCCCACAATAATGCTTATCTGCTGATGTTCACAGGTATAATCTGCTCACCATGCTAAATTAACATATTAGCAAACTAACCAAACACAAAGTGCAGCGGAGGCTGATGAGAGTGTCATTAACAATTTTTGACCTGATGGTAGTGCTAATCAGAGGATCAGAGGAGGGGAACAAGAATGTTCTGAAGGCATCCTGAACGTGTCGCACGATCTGAGGGAGTCGAACCACAACTTTATCAGTTCAATGTATTTATGCCGATAGATGAACATTCAATTGCAAATTACATAACAAGTACAAATACATGTTGCCCTTTACCAGGTCAATTTTACACCGACTAGATCATTTCATATATAGTGAATACAATTAGTGAAGACTTTTTACTATTGACTTCCTTTTCCTTTTACATGTTCCACATACCATTTGTCTCACAGATTTTACTTTCTTTTCCAACTATTCCGGTTCTTGATAGACTGTAGATGTGATAAAGAAATCAATAACGGATGATTACCTTTACGTGTGAATACTTTATTCTCGGTCTAGGTCTGTTGGAGGATGCTACTGCAATAGCATCCTCTATGGTTCACCCGCCAAAGCCCTAAATAAACGGACCCGCCTCCTCACCCACACACGCACCCATGACCACATCACCCCTGTCCTCCAGAATCTTCATTGGCTCCCTGTTCCCCAACGCAGTCAGTACAAAATCCTCCTCCTCACACATAAAGAAAGACCTAACAGACCTGCTCCACCACCACAATCCCTCCCGTAACCTCCACTCCTCTGACACTAACCTCCTCTCACCACAAATCAGGACCAAGCACCGTACCTGGGGCGACAGAGCTTTCACCATCGCAGCCCCCTCCAAGTGGAACTCCTTACCCATACACATCCGAGACTGCAGTGACATGGACTCTAGATTTTAACCTCAAACAATGTTATATTGCACCTGCTGCTGTTTGTTATTTTGTTATTTATATGGTCGCTCCTTCACTCTCATGTATTTCCACACCACATGGTTTCATCTACTGTTCATATATTTTATATTTTGCTATTTATGTTTATTATCTGTTTTAAATGTACATAACTTTTGTTTTTATTGTAAAATGTCTTTGATGGTCCTGAAAAGCACTATAGAAATAAAATGTATTATTATTATTGTTATTATTATTATTATTATTGACTGTGTGATCCAGCTCACATCCGTTCTTTTAGCAGAATCTCCACACATTGCCCAGGCCCACCACATTGCCTACTGCTGCCACAATATATTCCCTTTCCCTCGTCCACTGTTCCCTCTTTCTCCCTTGGTCTCTCTATGTGTTCTCTTCTCAGTCCTCTGATCAGTGCTCTCAGGGCACAGCCCTGTCAGTCAGGTGTCATACTCATCTGTAGACACAATACTGAGAGACACAAGACACACACAGACACATTGGTAAATCATACTCTCAGGGCTACAAACTTACACACTCTTTGAGAAAAGCAAACTTCCAAGGGAACAGAATGTTAAAAATAGAATAAACATCCAAGAGAAAAACAGATACTGAAGCACACTGATTGATTTGCAACCTTTAGTTGGGCAGAAAGTTTTCCCTTGAATGTTTATTCTATTTTTAACATTCTGATTACATTATTCTGGTTTCAATGTTCAGTTTTGAATAAAAAATACATCATGAAATAAATAATGATATTAATAAGACAAAATAAGATAAGATAAAAAAATAAGATAAGATAAAAAATGTGATTGTGATGCAATTTGTTATTTGGTTATGATGAAAAGTGGCATTATGAAATTAAACGTTCACTGGTAACAAGAGTGTTGTGAAATAAAAACAAAGGACATTTTGAAATCAAAACGTTTTTGCCTTTATTATTTATATCTATATTTTATAATGTTTTATTTTCAATTAAATGCTTATATTAAAATATTTCAAGAGTGAAAAGAGTGGGTATCTTTAAAGATAAATGAGAAAGATAGAAATGAGGATGTTTACAGAGACACGTTTGCCAGTACATTGAGTACCATGTGTTATACCAACATCAATATACTAAAAACAGCTGGAACAGAACAGAACAGAACAGAACAGATAACACGTGCTATTAACAGGTTTGTCCTTGTTTGAACTTCCCAGAAGTGTGTAATCATTTTCACAGCAGAGCAGTTGTAAATCTCATAAATCCTGTAAATATGTCTTCCTGTATTCTTAGAGTGCTGATGTTTTGGAGATCTAAGCTGCAGGGTCTGGTTGTACTGCCAGGGTTGCTCTGGTAGTATTTCTACATCAATCTCAACAGTGTGATTGTGTCTAAGAATGCTCAAACAAGTATCTGGGATATCAGGAGCTAGGGTGTGACAGTAAGAGTACTATTAAAATTAAATCTTTGCACTCGTTAATGTTTGAGGCACCACCTTCATTCAAAGGAAAATAAAGAAATCCATTTTAGAACCAAGCCCCAGACTTCCAGCTCAGGACTCCACAGTCCCAGACTCCACAGCTCCAGCCCCAGAAAGGCCTCAGCTGGCTGGCTGGTTCAAGAGAACCTTCTTCACACAGTGTACTTGCCTGATCATTTACAATTTAACCTGGCTTTATTGTAGCCTAATTCATTGTTTGTGTAGTTTTCGTGTTCATTCCACGTTGTCACGAATCTTACTGTGATTTCCATGTAAATTATTCTATGCGCCTTTTTACATCTTTCACCCCAGTTGGAGAATGCTCAGTGATTTGATTGCAATCCAGACTAAAACCTAACACATCTGCTTTCTCCGCCGTCCCTTGTTTCTGAATACAAATAAAGATTGGTTTAAAACATAGGGGAGGGAGAGAGAATAAGCCCCTCCTCCTGCAAGAGAACAGGCCTGGCTGCACAGACCGGAGACAGACAGACTCCGAACTGCTGGCGACCTGTGCTCCGGGGACCTACGCGCACATCCTGCTGCCGTCGCTGGATCCTCGGTAAGGGTTCTCAAAGACTCTGTCAGGGACAGGCTGTGTATGCAGTGCCGGGTCTGCAGCGAGTTGCTCGGATCAGATCTCTGTCATGTCGCACCGACTCTCGCTCGCTCATTTCGGCGACTGTCTGCTGCTGAGCGGCTCCAGCATCGTGATGCGCAGCGGTCTGCAGCGTCCACGTCAGGAAAGCATCTGTCTCCACCGAACATAGCCCATAGAATTCTAACCAAACTATTACCAATAGGCTATCTATTTGTAAGAGTTTGGTTAGAATTCTACTAACCGACCTAAAATAATCCTGTGTGTGAGCCAGTCAGATCTAGTCGGAACCAGATTTTGCAGAAAAGCAGACACGCGAAAAACACTGGTTCAAACAGCACCCCTTTGAAGCAGTTAAAAATGCCGAAATCATTTAAATGCACGAGTTCTCTTTAATGTGTGAACGTGTTGATGTGGGCTCAGATGAAAGGCCGCTTTCTGATCAGTGTTTCCAGAGCGCAAAAGGAGAAGGAACGTGAAGGTCCTGCCTTTGGATCCCAAGCTGAAACGTTCTTCCTTACAGCCATTAGTCCAGCATGTTTCTCTTTAATAACACAAGCCTGAAGGTGTAGCTGGAACTCAACCTTCCGCATAGGTTGAGTAATGAACACAGTGAAATACAAGTATTTAAAGAGCAGTTAATACTTTATCATTAAATGACAATTGATAAATTATTGCTCATTGTGTTTTTGGGCCCCTTGCAGCTCAATTAAGGACTTCTGGAGGTCCCTGGACCCACATTGGAAAACAGCAATCAGCAAGTAAGGAGTTTAATCATTTCATTTTACAGAACAAGTTAAGAGGCCTTGGCAGGACCAGTATTCCAGTTCAGTCCTTTTAAACTAGGTTGCAATCTGCCAATACTGAGTCCAAACCCATAGCAGCTGCAGCCTTCTAAATTTGGGACACTTTATCTTTCACAAGCTACTTGATCCAAATACTGAGGGTCCCGTTTCAGAACTATACAGCTGATCATCTTAACTTATTGATTAACTGGAGAATGAGACTCCTGAAGTTAACAAGCTGCGATCTGTTAGAGAGAAGACGTCTCACTGTGTTGGAGTTGTCGGAACTACATAAACACTGACGGCTGTACAGCAGAGTTACAGAGTGGCTCATGATGTCTGTCACGTCAGCATGTTAACTCGTGATGTTTATCGCGTTAACGTGTTAACTTGTGATGTTTGTCGCGTTAACACGTTAACTCGTGATGTTTGTCGCGTCAACATGTTAACTCGTGATGTTTGTCGCGTCAACATGTTAACTTGTGATGTGTGGCACGTCAGCATGTTAACTCGTGATGTGTGTCGCATTAACATGTTAACTCGTGATGTGTGTCGCATTAACATGTTAACTCGTGATGTCTGTCACGTCAGCATGTTAACTCGTGATGTCTGTCACGTCAGCATGTTAACTCGTGATGTCTGTCACGTCAGCATGTTAACTCGTGATGTGTGTCGCGTTAACTCGTGATGTTTGTCATGTTAACATGTTAACTCGTCATGTTTGTCACGTCAACATGTTAACTCGTGATGTTTGTCATGTTAACTTGTGATGATGTTTGTCATGTTAACATGTTAACTCGTGATGTTTGTCGCGTTAACTCGAGATGTTTGTCACGTTAACTCGATGATGTTTGTCATGTTAACATGTTAACTCGTGATGTTTGTCGCGTTAACGTGTTAACTTGTGATGTTTCAGAACTATACAGCTGATCATCTTAACTTATTGATTAACTGGAGAATGAGACTCCTGAAGTTAACAAGCTGCGATCTGTTAGAGAGAAGATGTCTCACTGTGTTGGAGTTGTCGGAACTACATAAACACTGACGGCTGTACAGCAGAGTTACAGAGTGACTCATGATGTCTGTCACGTCAGCATGTTAACTCGTGATGTTTATTGCATTAACGTGTTAACTCGTGATGTTTGTCGCGTTAACTCGTGATGTGTTGCGTTAACATGTTAACTCGTGATGTTTGTCGCGTTAACATGTTAACTCGTGATGTTTGTCGCGTTAACTCGTGATGTGTTGCGTTAACATGTTAACTCGTGATGTTTGTCGCGTTAACTCGTGATGTTTGTCGCGTCAACATATTGGCTTGTGATGTTTGTCGCGTCAACCTATTAGCTCGTGATTTTTGTCACGTCAACATGTTAACTCGTGATGTTTGTTGTGTTAACTCATGATGTTTGTCGCGTTAACGTGTTAACTTGTGATGTTTCAGAACTATACAGCTGATCATCTTAACTTATTGATTAACTGGAGAATGAGACTCCTGAAGTTAACAAGCTGCGATCTGTTAGAGAGAAGACGTCTCACTGTGTTGGAGTTGTCGGAACTACATAAACACTGACGGCTGTACAGCAGAGTTACAGAGTGACTCATGATGTCTGTCACGTCAGCATGTTAACTCGTGATGTTTGTCGCGTTAACATGTTAACTCGTGATGTTTGTCACGTCAGCATGTTAACTCGTGATGTTTGTCGCGTTAACATGTTAACTTGTGATGTCTGTCACGTCAGCATGTTAACTCGTGATGTTTATCGCATTAACGTGTTAACTTGTGATGTTTGTCGCGTTAACATGTTAACTCGTGATGTTTGTCATGTTAACTTGTGATGATGTTTGTCATGTTAACATGTTAACTCGTGATGTTTGTCGCGTTAACTCGTTATGTGTGTCGCGTTAACATGTTAACTCGTGATGTGTGTCGCGTTAACATGTTAACTCGTGATGTGTGTCACGTTAACATGTTAACTCGTGATGTGTGTCGCGTTAACTCGTGATGTTTGTCGCGTCAACATGTTAACTCGTGATGTTTGTCGCGTTAACTCGTGATGTTTGTCGCGTCAACATATTAGCTCGTGATGTTTGTCGCGTCAACATATTAGCTCGTGATGTTTGTCACGTCAACATGTTAGCTCGTGATGTTTGTCACGTCAACATGTTAACTCGTGATGTTTGTCGCGTTAACTCGTGATGTTTGTCGCGTTAACGTGTTAACTTGTGATGTTTGTCACGTTAACATGTTAACTCGTGATATTTGTCATGTTAACTTGTGATTATGTTTGTCACGTTAACATGTTAACTCGTGATGTGTGTCGCGTTAACTCGTGATGTGTGTCGCGTTAACATGTTAACTCGTGATGTGTGTCGCGTCAACATGTTAACTCGTGATGTTTGTCGCGTCAACATATTAGCTCGTGATGTTTGTCGCGTCAACATATTAGCTCGTGATGTTTGTCGCGTCAACATATTAGCTCGTGATGTTTGTCACGTCAACATGTTAGCTCGTGATGTTTGTCACGTCAACATGTTAGCTCGTGATGTTTGTCACGTCAACATGTTAGCTCGTGATGTTTGTCACGTCAACATGTTAACTCGTGATGTTTGTCCCCAAAACACTACATCGTTCTGTCTGCTATGCTGCTGTCATTACTACAATGACTAGGATAAAGTATTTCAGTCAATAGTTAGTTGATTAAGCAGTGGGGTGATGGACAAGACACAGAACCAGCAGAAGGTCACGGGTGCATGCATTTAGTGAAAGCACGATATTTAAGTTTGCCAAAAACATTGACTTACTTTACGCCATGTGCCATTAAGAACAAGGTGTTACAGACACATGATGGGAAATGTTTAACTAAACACTAACTGTTGGAATCATTGTATTTGGTATTTTCATGACAACAGTTTTTATTTTCACCACAAACAATATTAAGAATGTGTCAGTTCTGGAGTGGTGATTTGTTTTAATTTTTCTAACATACTGTATCAAATAAAATATATAACAGGTCAGACACTGCAACAAATACATATTCATTGACAGTGTTGAGTTAAAGGATAACTTTTATCTGGGACGTGAGTGATTCGCTTCGCAAGACAGTGTAGCTGACAATGTATGATGCACGTTGTGTTGATAGGTGATAGGTCTGCAGTGATTTTCCCATGCCTGTTTCCTGTACTCTGGAGGCGTACATAATTTCTATGATGATGGTGTTGAATGCTGAGCTGAAGGTCACAAATGGGATCCTTACATATGTCCCAATCAAGGTGTTGAAGGATGTAGTGCAGTCCCATGATGACTGCATCATCCACTGACCTGGCACACTGCTGAGGGTCCAGCAGGGTACCAGTGAAACCCTTTAGGTCAGCTAAAGAAACCATCTTTTCTTATCCCATGTTCATTTTCACACACATTCTCATTGAATTACTGCTTCGATTGACATTTCTTCACTGGACTTTCTCTGTTAAGGAATAGATATCCTATTAGATGTCCACAAATATGTAGCTGCACTCCATTTAGTGAGTGACCTGACACGTATTGCTAGTTACCAAGGTTTAAACTCCCTATTGTATGTCTAGAGAAATGTGTTATCAGAGTGATCTGATGAGCAAAGCAGCTCTAGAAGTATGTCTTTTTAAGTCCCAAAAAGCTCATCAACCTAGCAGGTAGAGAATCAAGAACATAATATCACCTACTTTTGGTTTCATTTTTTCAAGAGCATGCTCCAAACTGATCATGTGGGAATGCTGAAATTGTTTCTCTTTTTACAATACAAATTTATGAACAATATAAATATTTCAGAAAGCTTCATCACCTTCATCTGCATCATGACCCCATGTGGGGTTGACCCCAAATTTGAGAATGGCTTAGTGGAAATAAATCAGCCTCTGCAAATAATTTAGATTTCATTTTACACTGTCCTTTTTTCATGTGACAAGACTGTATCCCAGTCTCCCTAGCAGGTCCAGATCCTGGCCGTTGTGACTGCTTGGTTAATGAATTAAGACAATTTTGCCCATTTTAATGTTGTCCCATTTTGCATCCCATATTGCCATTTTGATGCGTCAGTATTTGTTCTGAGTCTTAAACATTTCTCAATCCATTTCTCAATCCATTTCCAGGCTCTCAGAACAGAAATATGCACCTCTGTCACAAGCACTGTTGTGTCGGTCAAGCGCCTGCAGACCAAGTAGCCGGGCTGTGGAGTCTACCAGCTCCAGTGTTCGATAACGCAATACTGCAGCTGTGATTACACAACAGTCTTTTTGTCAATGCAATTTCAGGTCAATAGAGGACAGGATAGCTGATTTCTTGCACTGCTCATTAAAGCAGCCATAAACATTAACAGTACCAGAGTGAGCTGGTTTACTATGAAGCAGGTGTTTTTTCTGTGCTTGTGCCAGCAACTGCTAAGATACTAAATACTAAAAAGGACAACACCAGATCCGGATCACATCTAGCCAAACTCACTGCAGAATTGGTTGCACGGGTCAGATAATGTGTGATGAGCTAGCGTTAGAGTTTCCCACGACCTTGATGTTTTCTGTGTTTAATCACAACCCGCCTTGCTTCTTGTTTTGTTTTGTTTTGGACGGGCATAGTAGGACCAATATTATGGCCATGGACCCTGTACAGGATGCTGTACCTGTAATATATGAATCTGAATACTCCTGTGCAGCTCTCTCTCTCTTTATAAACCAAGGCACACACAACCCTTTGACTCTTTTCTTTTCTTTTTGTGCTTGTGCTGTTGCCATGGTGACAGGTTGGAGATGTCCTCTTTATGTTAGCTGGGCTCTTAACTTGGTTCTCGTTCATCTTCGCTGTGTCCTGGTCTTGTTTTTGTGTGAATATGGAACACTGCTCTTGCCTGGGTGTCAACTTTCATTTTGACTCGTCATGCTCAAATATACATTACATTGCACTGTACTGTCGTGGGGCCTATAAATAATGCGTACGCACATAAACCATGTATACGCCTTTTCCCACACATAAACTGATCTTTTTTACTAAACAATGTGTTTGGAGAGAATGTGCTCGGCTCACATGTGAGAAGGTGGACATGGAAAAATAAGGTGAGAAATAGAATCTAAATATAAATATAAATAAAACATTGTTTGTTTTAGGTTGTTTACAGTCTTGTCGGCCGGAATTCAGAGATACATTCATGCAATTCCTTTAAATTTTGCGAGAGGCAGCTGCACCTGCTGCATCATGGTTCTTACGATTCCCAATCTGTTCTTGATGCGATTTTCCAGTTTATGCACACAATACATTTATAATTTGTCCACTCAAACCACAGCATTACAGTTTGTTACAGTTTTGTGGAAAGGACGCCCTTGAAACATAGCGAATGACATCATTGTCCTTTCAGCCATTATTATAAAAATATCAGTTATTGTGGCATTTACAAGAGCGGGAAAACACAAAAGAGATACTGATGCTGCCATAACACTGTGTGTTTGCAGCATTTCTTCCCTATGGCTTGGTATGTGTGGATGCATTTGAGTTCCAGTATCGTTTAGAATTGTACATTGTGTTGTGCTGATGTGGTGTGAATAGTTTGTCTGATGACTGTCTGCAACGTTCCAAGTGGAGAAATGTTTCGGCAAATTTTTTTGTCTTGGTTGAACTTTGTGTTCAGTAAGGACTGACCTACATTCGATTACAAATTATAATCATCGTGACTGTGAACAATTTTACATAGTTTTGCTGTAAAACCTAAATAATAAAGCACTATGTAGTGTTTTGTGTTTTGACATCCTAAAACTTGTGGTTTTATTACTCACACTTGACTTCCTGTATCCTATCTCTCTGTTGCTGCTGGTATGCTTCAACAAAGATGCTTGTCAGATGGTCGAACAGCTTTGGAAACCCCCACCCCCCCCCCCACCCCTTTTGCCCATGAACTAGTTCTTTTCTAACAAACTGACATATTAACTGGCCCTAAATCAGACAAGGCAAACCCTCCCATCATCACTGTACAGCAGAACTTAAGCCATGAATGTAAATAAATGAATGCACAAAGCCAGATAATGTAAATTACATTCTGTGTTCATGTCAGTGGTGCTTTGATAGTAAAATCGTTTGCTTCAGTTCAATTCTTTCTCATGGCCAGGTACAATGGTTAGGACCACTGAAAACTCCAACACAGCACCAGAAATCCTTTTCTAATCCTTTTTTCAAATTAGATATAAGAAGAGTCTGTTTTAGACTCCCGGCTTGTTAAACTCCCTTTGTGTTCAGATTCCAGTTTATCCCAGTTCCAACTTGCTGTGCCCCTTCTGCAGTCCTCCATCACTTTATTATACTCACCCCACACATAACCCTCCCTGTGCATATGACGATGCAGTCTTGTGTAACTCACACTCTAAACCAGTTTCGTCCAGTTCATGAGGTGTTGCCAAGAAACCGGCTGTGTGCGTGCGTGTGTGCGTGCATGTGCGTATACCCTCGTGTTTGTTCGTGTGTGTCTGGATGCATGCATGCCAAAGACCAGGGTTTCCTTCTCTGTGTGAAAGCAGATAGCTGGAATGTTCCTGTTCCTGCTGCATGGATTACATAAGAGCTGGAAGAGTGGAGAGCGCAGACAGCCATGCCTTTCTTTGCCTCACTCTGACCAGTTTTGTGTTATATCATGAAAAAAGTACTGCCATAGCTGTCAACAAAAATGCATACATTTTGAAACCCACCAGCTGTAATTAGATTTTAAATTGTTCCAATTTCAAAAAGGTGTGTATGTGTGTGGAGGGGGGTGGGGGTGGATGCTGTTTGACTATCTGATAAGCACTTATGTTGGATTATACTGAAGCTGCTAGTATACTCCAACAGAACTGCTTGTTGGAAGGTTGAATAGCTTCCAGCACACCTTTATGAGCCGTTTAGCTTCTAAACGGGTGGTGATGGGTCAGTGGATAAGACACATGCCTGTGGTGTGAGAGACCTGGGTTTGAATCCACTGTGAGACACCAATGTGTCCCTGAGCAAGACACTTAACCCCTCGTTTTTTGGAACGTTCATATGGGCTGCCTGTCTACAGTGATGTCAGCCGCCACTCCTAAGTGTCGTTTTAAAAAAGGTACCAGCGTCTGAAATAAGAAAGTCACTGTTTATGAAATTATCACAAATGATCAGCCACCACTGACTACAACGCCAAGCTGCAGCAAAACGTAGAATGTCCTTGTGTCAGAACGTTCTACATTTACAGTCCTTGTTGTCTGAATATTCCAGTCTTTGAATTTTGTTTGTGATTTTCCTAGTCGCCTGACTGCTGAAATAAACTGAGCTAATTACAGTGACAAAGACCTGTCAGACAAAGACACTTTGATAAATACATTTTGCAACTTTGAATCATACTTAACAGCCCCATTGGCTTTCCCTTCTCCACTTCATAGCTAAGTGTCATTAATCCCAGCCCCCTGGTTCTCTCTCTGTCTTTGTAGGTGACTTGGCGAAGACTTGGCGTTGGACCCTGAGGGCAGCTGCTGCCTCTCTCTCAAACCTCCTCCTGTCTGTTGACAGTTTTGTCATGGCGTCCTCCTTGATCAGCCGTCAGTTTGCTCTCTCTCTGCAGAAAAACTTGTGGCTCAGTGCTCCAGGTAATTTAAAAGAAATCCTTTTAAGCCTGGTCAGGATGGACCACTTTAGCAGGTTGCTTTGCTACAAATATCGAGTTAGTAGAACAGTGTGCATCCTATTCCTTTACTACATGCTTAAGAACTTTGTTTCCTCGCCTTGATGAAATAACGTACAAACATTTTATTACATTTACTACAAGTGTTCACTTTTTCAAGTCGTCACATTGGTCTTAAATTCTGGATGCTCAAGGTGCTCAAGTAACAGCAGAGTCTGAGAAAGCAGCTTCGTTCGATCACTTATACATCACCCCTAAACATGAAATCATTATACTTGTGATGTTGTCAGGGATAAAAGCGATGAAACAGTGTTTCAGTGGAAATATAGTAGCTTATGTAATCAGCGTAAATGTTTGACTGACTTCAAGCAGGATGCTGTTATCAATGTGTGTGTACGCTTCTCACAGGCTGATGACTGAGTGATGTCTCAAAGGTCCTCTCTCCTGTCAATCATCAATAGGCCAACCTGTTTGGGTCAGATTTACTAGTTCACTTTAACCATTTAGTAGATGTCAGTGACCTTTATCAAAAGTGTGACGGGGTGATGGGATACTTTAGGGACTAAAGTAACCCAGGGTCCAAATTTATCAAGAATCTCTGAGTAGGAAATCAGTCATAAAAGGCCCCAAAATCTCAGAGTGATGCGTAATGGGTCCTAATTTTAGGCCTAAGAGTAATGGCCTTTGCACACCAAGTCCGGATTTTTGATCTGAAAATGTAGGACTGGACGATATAGCCAAAAATGTCATCACAATAAAAAGTTTCATGTTTTTCGATATCGATAATTATCACGATAAGTATCAAATAGTTTCAAAAAGTTTAAAAGCTGATTTTTGTTCCTGAGTGAAAGTTGAAGAAACCTGATGGTTAATTGTGGTTTAAACTTTATGGTCAACACTTGATGCCAAACAGTGGATCACATCACAAATCCAGTCTGCATGTTGACGTGTCCTTGAGCAAGATCCTGAGCTCTGAATTGAGTTACTTTACCACAGGGGTGATTCTTTCACAACTATTTAATTTGGCAGAACCTTTTGATCTCCTCACAGTGAACACAGTGCTTCTAAGAGGGCATGGACTAAAACTTATTATGTGATAAGGATATCAATAAGTTAACTTAATTACATCAGGTAAAATAAATGATTGGGTTTGTTTGTTCTTTCTTCTTCTCTTTTATCCAGAGGAAAATACAGGTGACTGCTGGACTTTTATTACTGCCTTCACTATTTTGTTTTTAAAATCATGTAATATCAGTAACCTGAAGTTAACCTTTACTTCCACCTGGGCCCACCCAAATGCAGTTTTCTAACCCTAACCGCAACTTAAATCAAGTCATAAAACCTCCAAGGAGAAGCTATTAACCACAATTTGCTATCAAACTTCTCTGTAGCGGCTGGCAGTGTCACTGATGTCAGCAGTTAAGTTCAGCTGTTGAGCAAGTTCTCTCACAACCAGCCAAAAGATCAAACTCCAAGGCACACACCAGAGAAACGAATCCTGTCTTCCTTTTACAATTCGCCTCTCATTCACCCCGTTCACACTCACACACCAATGGCAGCAAGCCGAGTGCAAGTTGTAATTACTATGTAAGTACAACTTTATTTATATACCAACTTTTTAACACCTGGTTACAAAGAGCTTTACGTCATCGAGCACAAACACAAAAGTGCATCCAAGAGAAACACATTTAAAAATACATACAAACGCAACGCACATACGACCAAAGAAAGCACAAAGCAACCAGACACCACTCAGAGCACACCGTTGGAATTATGGAAAAGCTAACCTAAGGAAGCGTGTGCAACAGGGAGCAGCTGTGAGTTAAGTGTTAGAAACGAAGGGGACTGTTCTCTCACAGGCTGCATCACTGATGCCTTAATTAATGACCAATGGGAGCGTGAGAGGCTCTTGCCTCACAGTGAATCCACTGATGCATCAATTTCATAATTTAACCTTATTAGAGACCGAATCCTACTGCCTGCTTTATCATTTCAGAATGTGCACATGCACCGAATGTGAAGAGATTTGCTGGATATTCATTTAGTTATGCATACTGTTGGCATGTGTGGAAGTTAAAAATAGAGAGATTGTTACTGTGATTTTAAGAGGATATTTAAATCTCTTCTGCCCCAATCACACTGCATGGGAAGGAGTTTTTATAGACCAAAATAACCTGAGAAAAATCTCCTGAAAAACTTCAGGAGAACCGTAGACTTGTAGCTTCGTAGAACCTAGGAGTCTACAGGAAGCGTCATCTCTTGCTGCATTGACTTGAACTTCACTCTTGAAGGCGGTTAGAACAGTGCTTTATGAGGCGCTACAAAAACAGTAAATGGCAGGAAGTTTGATTGTGCATTTGATCATTTTAAATAGGCCTGACTAATACATCCTCTTAAAACAACAGAAACACTGGCCATGGCTTGGTCCAGCTGCTTATAGCTCCTCCAGCAAGCCTCCTCGATCCTCGAGGTGCATTTTAGGAATGGAGATTTCCTTCAAGATGACGCGCTGAGATCGTTTACCGGGTCACAGGCTCGAGGATCGAGGAGGCACAAATTTGGGAAATGAGAAAGGCCCTGTAACTCTTAAAAACCAGCCACTCTGTTATTTCTGTACCAAGTGACTTAGCTCAGCATCTGAGGATGACCACACTGTGAGTGTGTAGATCATCATGTTATTCATCTTTCTACTGACTGACCACTACATAACTGGAGTAGAAGGCAGTGATCAGAAACCTGGATTAGGTGTGCACATGTCACAGTATCCTGGTTTCAGTATATTCACAAGACTCCCAACTAGCATCAAGATAATAAAAACCCCGGATAAAGGCTTCTGAAACCAGAAAATGATATTCACACATGCAAACGCATAAGCAAAAATCTGATCAGAACAGGGATATCAGATAGCATGAAAACACACTCACTGTTTCCCTCTGTTTGTGTGTGCAGGTTATTTATCATTGTTGTCTGTTTTCTCTGCCAGCGTGCAGATATGTCAGCAAGGCAGCACCACAGACCCAGGTGGAGTTTGACTACGATGGACCCTCCATGAAAACCTCAGTCCCTGGCCCGCGATCACAAGTAACACACACACACACACACACACACACACATCAGGACACTCCAGCCCTGCCTCAGGAATTACAAAGTATGACTAACTTATTTTTCTCCAATATGTAGGAGCTGACGAAACAACTGGGAGAAATCCAGGTGAGGGGTGTGTGTGTGTGTGTGCTTTTACATGCTAAATAGTGAGGACTGGGAGGTGTTTTTTACCTACGAGGTTTTGCTGGTCCTCACAACTGTGAGGACCAGCAAAAGAGCTGTTTGAAGGTTAAGACTTGGTTTTTAGGGATAGGTTAGGGTAAAGGGGTAGGGAATGTCAATGCAAGGATAGAAGTACAAAGGTATGTGTGTGTCAGCTCTGTGAGCTGCACAAGATGATGTCTAGTTAAATACCAAGAGTACTAAAGAGTATTAAAGTGCTGCTTCAGTGGAAATTAAATCAAACTGTAATCCATTTTATCTCTGCCTAGCTGGAACTGTGTTACACATAATAAAGACTATAAGTGTGTGTGTGTGTGTGTGTGTGGCCAGATGGGATCTCCAATTGTGTTGACTCAGTGAACTAGTTAAATGAACCCTGGAGCGTTAATGGTGTTCCACATACAGTAGCACTGTCCCCTCTTTACACTGTATGCAGCGCTTATGTAGAAATCTGCAGCCTCCCGTGGGCTTGTTTTTACACAGTGGATGTGCATGTTTATTGGCATGCAAATGTTTGCAGAATCGTGTTTCACAAATGTTTTTGCACATGCTAAAAACGTATTTGAGTGTTGACATCACTATCTAGTGCTGACCGTCATACTGAAGCAAAGGCACGTTGTACATAAGTAACACTGTGTAGTTCGTTCATTTTTGTTTTGTTCTTTTAATAAACCAGTTATTAAATTTCCATGTACGTGACACCTACAGTATACTGCCAGTTGTTTACATCCCTGGCAACAGTAGCATGAAATCACCGCTCATCCTAAACACACAGTCACACACGCTGCCAGATATTGTTAATGAAAAGAAGAAATGACCACTAACTACAGTAACTAACTAACACCCCCATGAATAATATGCATAATATACTTCTGATATTTTACATTAGGTACTATTACTAAATCAGTAGTATATATTTTTCAATGTAGGTTCATGTGAAAGTATGAAAAGCAACAAACCAAAGCATAGCCAGCCGCTATGACAGTTACTCACAGCGTCACACTCCACCACACTCCGACCCCTCCCCAGACGGTGGCCACATAATGTGCCTGACTCACCTCATGACATACAGACTTAAAGTCTAAGCCTAATTAGACAACTTTTAGGACACATTTGGTGAAGCTGACTGACAAGAGCACACACAACAAGCATGCTGTGTACCCACATATTGACCTTTTTTACAGGGAAGGTAAACGGACAGAGGCCACTTTCACTGCCCAGTGACCTTGAATGGTTCCAGCTTTCATTCATAAAACCCTGATTACACACAGAAACATTTGTTGTTAATGCTGTGAGGTGAAGTTGCTACCTATCAATCACCTATGCACGTCACCCAGTCAAAGTCAGCGAGCTATGATAAGTCAGGCTCTCGTGTAGTCTGCCTTGTTTACCAGCCAGTGCATAGCAAGAAATGATGACAAAAATATCTGTAGTCTGATCCTGCCGTTAGTCTCCAGGAGAATATCCATGTAAGTGTTACTAGTTGCTGTGAAGTCAGGGCGAAGCAGGTTTGGAATTTCCAGCTATTTTAAGATGTTCACAGGCCTCATGTCTCAGAGAGCTAGGTATTTAGTACACAACATACATTGGTTATTTGATTGATCAACTTCTTTAAGGCGATTTATCATCAATTTTCTGATTATATATATTATTGTATATTATAAATATATACAATAATATATCTTCTCTTTATATGTCTTTATTCTGCTGCAATATATACAGTGGGTACGGAAAGTATTCAGACCCCTTTAAATTTTTCACTCTTTGTTTCATTGCAGCCATTTTCCAAAAATCAAAAAAGTTCATTTTATTTCTCAGTAATGTACACTCAGCACCCCATCTTGACAGAAAAAAACAGAAATGTAGAAATTTTTGCAAATTTATTAAAAAGAAAAACTGAAATATCACATGGTCATAAGTATTCAGACCCTTTGCTCAGTATTTAGTAGAAGCACCCTTTTGATCTAATACAGCCATGAGTTGTTTTGGGAAAGATGCAACAAGTTTTTCACATCTGGATTTGGGTATCCTCTGCCATTCCTCCTTGCAGATCCTCTCCAGTTCTGTCAGGTTGGATGGTAAACGTTGGTGGACAGCCATTTTCAGGTCTCTCCAGAGATGCTCACTTGGGTTTAAGTCAGGGCTCTGGCTGGACCATTCAAGAACAGCCACGGAGTTGTTGTGAAGCCACTCCTTCGTTATTTTAGCGGTGTGCTTAGGGTCATTGTCTTGTTGGAAGGTAAACCTTTGGCCCAGTCTGAGGTCCAGAGCACTCTGGAAAAGGTTTTCGTCCAGGATATCCCTGTACTTGGCCGCATTCATCTTTCCTTCGATTGCAACCAGTCGTCCTGTCCCTGCAGCTGAAAAACACCCCCACAGCATGATGCTGCCACCACCATGCTTCACTGTTGAGACTGTATTGGACAGGTGATGAGCAGTGCCTGGTGTTCTCCACACATACCGCTTAGAATTAAGGCCAAAAAGTTCTATCTTGGTCTCATCAGACCAGAGGATCTTATTTATCACCATCTTGGAGTCCTTCAGGTGTTTTTTAGCAAACTCCATGCGGGCTTTCATGTGTCTTGCACTGAGGAGAGGCTTCCGTCGGGCCACTCTGCCATAAAGCCCCGACTGGTGGATTGCTGCAGTGATGGTTGACTTACTACAACTTTCTCCCATCTCCCGACTGCATCTCTGGAGCTCAGCCACAGTGACCTTTGGGTTCTTCTTTACCTCTCTCACCAAGGCTCTTCTCCCCCGATAGCTCAGTTTGGCCGGACGGCCAGCTCTAGGAAGGGTTCTGGTCGTCCCAAACGTCTTCCATTTGAGGATTATGGAGGCCACTGTGCTCTTAGGAACCTTAAGTGCAGCAGAAATTTTTTTGTAACCTTGGCCAGATCTGTGCCTTGCCACAATTCTGTCTCTGAGCTCTTCAGGCAGTTCCTTTGACCTCATGATTCTCATTTGCTCTGACATGCACTGTGAGCTGTAAGGTCTTATATAGACAGGTGTGTGGCTTTCCTAATCAAGTCCAATCAGTATAATCAAACACAGCTGGACTCAAATGAAGGTGTAGAACCATCTCAAGGATGATCAGAAGAAATAGACAGCACCTGAGTTAAATATGAGTGTCACGGCAAAGGGTCTGAATACTTATGACCATGTGATATTTCAGTTTTTCTTTTTTAATAAATTTGCAAAAATTTCTACATTTCTGTTTTTTTCTGTCAAGATGGGGTGCTGAGTGTACATTACTGAGAAATAAAATGAACTTTTTTGATTTTTGGAAAATGGCAGCAATGAAACAAAGAGTGAAAAATTTAAAGGGGTCTGAATACTTTCCGTACCCACTGTATGCTGAACAAAATTATAATCGCGACACGTTTTTGCCCCCATTCATCATGAGCTGAACTCAAAGATCTAAGACTTTCTCTATGTACACAAAAGGCCTGTTTGTCAAATATTGTTCACAAATCTGTTAAAATCTGTGTTAGTGAGCACTTCTCCTTTGCCGAGATAATCTGTCCACCTCACAGGTGTGGCATATCAAGATGCTGATCAGATAGCATGGGGATTGCACAGGTGTGCCTCAGGCTGGCCACAATAAAAGGCCACTCAAAAATGGATTGGAAAATTCTCTGAAACGCCTTTGGAGACGACTTATGGTAACATTCAATTCACAGGCAACAGCACTGGTGGCCATTCCTGCAGTCAGCGTGCCAATTACACGCTCCCTCAAAACTTGCGACATCTGTGGCATTTTGCTGTGTGATGGAACTGCACATTTTCGAGTGGCCTTTTATTGTGGCCAGCCAAAGGCACACCTGTGCTATTTTGTTCAACAAGGTACAGAACAGCTTTTGAGTTGTTGGACGGAATAGTTTGGCTGAGACAGACTAGCAGTTTCAATGTGTCTCTTTAAGCAAAGCTAAGCAAAAAATGACGAAGACCTGAAACACAAAAAAATTCCATGTGTGAATATAGTATACTGTGATTTTTTTTTTATAATCACAGTATGCTTGTTTGTATGTGTCACCTGGCAGGTAGACTTGTTATTTGTGTGTGTGCGCTTGCTGCCGAGTCAATCCAGAAGGGTTAAATTCTGCTGTGTGCTGTTCTTAATGCAGAACATGTCTCTTTCCAGAATGTTGGAGCAGTCCACTTCTTCTGTAACTATGAGGAGAGCAGGGGGAACTACTTGGTGGATGTGGACGGCAACCGCATGCTGGATATCTACACCCAGATCTCCTCCATCCCAATTGGTTAGTAACAAAAGATCCAAACACGGCTACATGGACAGTAGGAGTGGGCAATTTGAATTAAATCTTCTATCTTGTAATTTTATATTGCAGTAGCTGTAATACAAATACAGGAACTGTTTATGGGTAAAATAAACTAGACAGGATTGTCTGTTTTGGCTAATAAATGGAATAAACGGTAAACAAATTGAGGTATTTAAAAAAATAAATAAATAAAATCATAAAAATCCCAAACAATCATAATTTATAATGAATCTCACTGATTTGAAACTTTGGAGGATTCATTTACAGTTTAGGTGTCATTTTTTGATGAAAATAATTTCAAGAAGCAGGGTTCAGGGCTCAAGGAAGAATTTATTGTAGGGCGACCATGTTTTGGTTTTCAACAAAGAGGAGAGTGGAGGCAGGAGGCAGACGGACACCTGCAGTGGGTCAAAGGTTTAGGCTGGGGTTGCACAGTTAGTCAATATTCGTTAATGCTAAGTGCCAACTTGTCAATAATCATAATCATTCAAGCAGAACGAGTTCAATATTTTGAAAGTTTGTAGCATCACTTCATCCTTTTTTTTTAATGTTAGTCGGTTCACAAAAAGTGTCATTGATGAGCAGCTTTATGCACACGGCTAGATTTAAAAAAAGTACAGCAGCAGCTTGTGAGAAGTGCCGGTGCTAGGGCTTGCCTGAAAGTCATTTTTGGAGCTTCAAGAGTAATTACAGGGAGGGCTTGACTGTCGCGTTATGCTGATTGTTTAGACATCTGTTGATAAGCTCATTTCACAAGCTACAGTTATGTATTTAATTGATAGAAGCAGAACAGCAACTGAGAGTCCAGAGTGTGAAAAGCTGAGCTGAGCAGGTCCAGAACAGAATACGAGAATAGTTTAGCTGGGAACTTTTAACTTTTATTACAGCCTTCTAAATGTTATTCTTCTACGGCCTATTACAATTATTTATGTGAGTTCATTATGTTGTTGTTGTAGCCTACAGTTTATTGATTAACCTTAAAATGGAGGCTATTTGACTGTTTTGATCTGTAATGAAATTAAGCAACTGTAAAATTAATGAACACCATAACTAATTTAAAGTGTTTCCGCACAGCTGAGGGCTCCGTTTTGTTTTCTCTTTGATGTGAACTGGAGCATGAATTCACTGCTGTGAGCCGAGGTCAGGCGTGCACAAAAAAACCTCAATATTCAAATCTCAAAATTGAAAATCAAATGTGTATCCAACAATCGAACATTCGGGTCCAGGCCTTGCCTAGGCCGATGAGCACAGGTCTGTTTCAAGCACTACGTTTGGGCATTTTCTACGCTGTTCATGCACCATGTGCCACACAAGCAAGCCGCTGCTCTCTAGCCTGTTGCTGTGGTGCTAAGGGTGATGATTGAGATGCAGTTTGACCAATGTTTGCATGAAGGATGTGTAGATCTGCATGACCGACCAATGGTGGTGTGCAAGAAGGCAGGACCTAAAGAGAAAGGTCAAAGCAATGCAGAAACACAAAATTAATGCTGACCGTAGAAAGCAAAAGCCAAATCCCAACCGGATGTTATTTTTGTTTTGTTTTTTTAGGTCCAAAAAGTGGACCTGTCCTGACAATGGTCACCCAAATATTTTGTCACTCTCATACAATATTCAGTATACAGGGTTCCTTGAGTACTACACACTAAGAACATATAAAATAAAAAAGGCAAAAGGGCAAGTAGTATTAGATCTGCCAGACCCTGTTTACACCTGGCATTAACATGTATCTTGGGTGATGTACAGGTGTACTTACCAACGGTGTCATATTTAAGTGCAAAACAAGAAGAAGAAGCCACAACCACAGCAGGCAAAATGGACTCTGATGTCCTCTGGCTGCTCTGCCTCAACTCCTGGTGGACAGATAGCTTGTTGCTAAATTAACCGCTAACTGCTGCTGTTAACTATAGCTGCTCTTAGCTAGTTAGCTTAGTTAGCATACCAGTACAGTATTAGTAACCTGTAGTATTGATAGTAGGCTATTGTTGGTCCACCTTATTTTAGTGTTTATTCTACTTGAATCTGCTCTTCACTTCTCTTCTCCCCACACTCACACACAAACACACCTACACGTCTGTTCTCTTTCTGTCTCTCTCTCCCTGTATGTACCTGCTCTGCTCACTTTCTCCATCAGCAGTAAGTTTCATAAAGTCGCCGCGTTTAATAAACTCACCCACCAATCCATTTTCTAGTGTCGCATGTGGATCGACACCAACATGGTACTGAGTGACATCTGCAGAGGTGCGTTCACTGTCGCTCCGTAATGTAAAATGTTCCCCATGTCCACATCTCTTGCTGTGTTTCTGTGCAAAATGCTAAAATGGGTTACTAAATACTTTGGTAGCTGTTAAATGTCAAAAACATTGTAATTAAAGTTAGTGCAAGCTGTAGGCCTATATTTTGTAAAAATTACACAATAAACCTAATTTATTGTCTTCCAACTGCAATAATGATGATGATGATGATAATTCACAATCGTATATCAACAATAAACACAATTGCAACAAAAAGAAACCATTTAACTACTTACCCGTGGTAGAAGCACAAAAATCAAGGACAAATTACCAAATCAACAAAATCCCATCCTCTCAAACACCACTGTGGTCAGACAAAATGTGAGATGGTACAGAGGTTTGTTAGCATGGTCCAACCCTTTGGTTAATATGGATTATGGATTTTCTTTCAGCATATTTTACAGAAAGTACAACTTAAACACTGTCCAGTAGAAAAGGGAACTGCTATAGCGTTTTATCTCTTTAACGCCTAAAGTAAGATAAACCACTACTCCAGCTTAGCTGCAGTACTTCCAGCCTGATTAACATTATTTTTTAAGTCAGTGGTTTTGGCTCAAAACCTCAGGGCCTCCCAGACAGAAGGACTTTTGTTGTAGCCAGGAACTCACACGCTTAATTAATTCAGTAGTTAAAGGGGCCTGACAACTGAAGTTTGTAACATCACACAATTTTACTTTCTGAAAATGCATAGACATAGACAAGGAAATTTATTTTAGATAAATTTTTTGTTTGTTTGTTTATGCTCACCGTTTTTACTCTACTCTCCACCATGACCAGGATTTCTAAAAAACACAGCATAATAGCATTGCTCTACCTGACCTTCCTTTGTATGCCTTATCTTTTTAGATAAAACTCACTTTAAATGCATTTTAGTAAATCTGAAAGTCCTGTGCACCACACCATGTATTTGTTTAATGCTTGCTTTAGTGCATGTGCATGAAGGAGAGAAGTACAAGACATGCAAATGCCTCAGATGAATGTGTCCAAAACAAAGCAGACAATCTGATTGAGCTATATTGATAAGACCCTAACCTTTTTACAAATGATGGTAGTGATGGTATTTCAAATTTTACGTAGGTAAGGCATCAAAGTGTTTGTGCATAAGTATGTCTTGTGCGCCACAGACGTCCCCAGGGTTTGTGGAGATTTGCCCTCCAGCATTCAAATGCTGTACATGGAAAACAGAATGAGCAGTCTCGCTCTCGCTCTCTCTCTCACTCTCGCTCTCTCACTCTCTCTCTCTCAGAGCATGTATATGTAAATCTTAAGCGAGAAGGATCTGTCCACTTTTTGACAAGCTTGATTTTAGTGTTTTTCTGTGTGCATTTGAGCCAGTCAGGGAAAATAAATGTAAAATGCATGTGGATGCTGTAGATAAAAGGCTTTGTGTGGAAACTGTCTAGTTGACAAAACATGGTACATTGATTATGGCCTTACATTGATTGAAAGACTTTGGAATTGCACAGCAAGTCAACTAATGTCTGTACCAGTTTAACCAGTTGTAATGTCTTATATTATAAACGTGTTCATAACTCTCCATACCAAACGATTCATTCAACCCCAGACAAGTTAAAAACTGTTAAAAACTAAAAACTGAGCAAAAAACAGTACCAGAGAGTGCAGTACCGAGGCTGCCATCCTGCTACATTGGCATGGAATTGGAATTCCAAATACGTGCTATCAAGAACAGTGAAATTGTGTTACTGGTACTCTTCCTGGTTTAAAGATGGTAGACTAAAAGTGTTCAGAGCAGACAGACATTACATGCGTGTGTGTGTGTGTGTTGTGACAACAAAAACAGGAAGAAAAAATGTGTTTTTATGCGAGTCCCAAAAGTCAGATTTCACTGTAAGGTTAAAGGTTGGTGCCAGCTACTCTCTGTGGGTGATTTGCAGCAGCAAAAGCTTTGCTGATGGATTAACTATTTTTACCTCCATCTGGAATAACCCAGATGTTAAAAAGCTCTCCCCTCTTGGATTGGGAACACATCTTAACCATGGCTTCTTCAATATCTGCACCTCAAATCATCCATTCACACAGGATCAACATAGAAATGGACCATTTTGCCCTCGCTTCATTAGTTACAGATTTTCTTCATCAACTTTCCAAAAAACTCCCGTCTAAGATCAAGAGAAACTGATATCAAAATCTGAGGCAACAATATTCCTGTTCGGGTATAGATAATGGATGGATGGATATTCCTCAGTGAATGTTTGGCCATCCACAGCATTCATTTTGATGTTGATTTCTAAAGCTCATGGTTTCTGTGTTTTTCGGTAGTGCCTTGTTAACATTGTTGTTGTTACTATCACTGCTTCTCTCCCAGCCCCTCTGACTAACTCTACACTCTGAATTATTATTATTATTAATATGTATTTCGCTTGGATATTGTTTACATGCTGTTGGTTTTTAATATATATTAAGTTCAGCAACAGAGATTTTGGCTGACTGGTCTGTTATTTTTTTTTATTTCTATTTAGTTTTAGTGTTTATTTTTGCACATGCCCAATGGTTGTTCACGTTTTTCAACATTTTTTAGAGTTGCTATGATATTTAATACCTTGTTTAGAAAATAGTGAATGTGATCTGCCTCACAGTAGGAAACCAGAGCTTGTTGATTGCTTCACATAATCCATTGATACAGTGGTTCAGTCAAATCTATCCCCACTCTCATTCTGTCCTCCCTCAGGCTACAACCACCCTGCTCTCCTCAAACTGATGGCCAATCCCAACAATCTGGTAGGTCGTCTTCACTTACAAGATCATTTATGTCATCAGCTACAGTGTGGAATGCTATTCATTTCTCATCAAAATGCTACTGGCTTCTGCTTCTGTCGTAGTTGCATAGAAGGGTTTATTCCCAGGTTGCCAAAGACAGTGCTGACACACAGCTCACAGAGAAGAGAGGACTGCCCCAAAATATGACCAAATAACTGGCTGTAGTGTGAGTAGAGTGATGTGAAAGGATGCATGACATTAGGGATAAGAACATGGAAATAGATTTCCAGATTCAGCCTCCAGAACGTGCATTATCAGCTTGATTTGGACAGTCTAACTGATGGAACGCTAGGTGTTTCCGTTTTTATGCACATTTTCCATTTGGCATTTTTTTTTTTTTTGAAAGCGAAAAATTTTATAAACTCTTTAAACAATAAAAAAAAAAACTTTGCTTGGTTCAGGTAGAAAGGTTTGTGTATCGATAAAAGCAAAATGCCGTACCTGAAGCATGTGACTTACACATCCACTGAAGCTTCCCCAGAAGAGACCGTAACTTTCCTCTAATTCATCCATAAAGCAAACGTCATGTTTCCATCCAGGTTTCTACATTGTTTTTCAGCATCTCGGCTCTGACTGCAGCCTTTTTGATGACGTCCCCTTGTTATGTCCTCTTCTTCTGCAATGATTTAACAGCACCAACTATTTATGTCAAAGCGCTCAACTGCTACTACACACACAAAAGTAGTGCATAGAAACGAGCATTCATTTGCATTTCCTTTTGCCAATTTTCTGATAACTTGGTAGATATTTGGCTGTAACCATGAATTTGTCTTTGATTTCTGTATTTCTTTCAGAGTACACTTGTGAACCGACCCGCCCTGGGAATCTTACCGCCTGAGAACTTCCCAGACAAACTCACTGAAAGTCTTCTCTCAGTTAGTAACACACACACACACATTGAGATAAAAGTGTAATTATCGTTATAATGACATTGTATATAATTGTATACATCTTTTATTTATCAAGCGAGTTTAAGAAACATACTGTAACTAGTCTTCCCTCCGGCCAGGTGGCTCCCACTGGAATGAGCCGTGTTCAGACGATGGCCTGTGGCTCCTGCTCCAATGAGAATGCTTTCAAAGCAATGTTTATCTGGTACAGGGTGAGTACACTTTGTGGTTCCATAAACATTACCTGGTTAACTAATGTGGTGGAAAACACAGCTAACAGCACGAAGACATTTCCCAGCTGTACTAAGATCTGAAAAGTTGGGAGAGAGAGGTGGTGACACTGCAGATCCATCCATTGAAGTTCTTTTAAATACAAAAAATGTATTAAGGGAATGCTCAACTTTATTTTCTAACTGGTTACTGAGATTGAAGCATTTTGTTTTGAGAATATGTGTATTGTTCTGTTCTTAACAAAAATATTTGCTGAAATAAGAACTTGAATATTATTAACCCAACAACCCAATGTAAATGTAGCTTCATCTCTGCATGAGGGCCCATCAGTGTGTTTACTTTTGCTGTAGAACAAGGAGCGAGGCCACAACACACCATCTGACGAAGACCTCAGCAGCTGCATGATAAACCAGGCGAGTAAAAGGAATCTCAATATAATAATAATAATAATAATACAATAATATAATAGTTTGGGATTCCCAGCTATGTTGTACTAAATATTTGCATTTGTTCTTTGTTTCTCTTTTTATCTTTCTGTCTCAGGCTCCAGGGTGTCCAGACCTCAGTATTTTATCTTTCATGGGAGGATTCCATGGAAGGACCATGGGTACGTTATATACAATTTTTCAACCTGTACTTTATAGTTCCATGTTTTTGTGTTATGTGACCAATTGGGACAACAATTTTTGAGATGTGTCCAGTATAAAGCGAGCGCACTGCAGTCAGCAGCAGTGAAACAGGGCTGCAATGTAAAGTACGTCGACTAAAGTGCTTGTTTTTGCAACTGACAGGCTCAGATTATTATCGTAAGTGTCTGATAACACTGTGGAAAGGATCCCTACAGAGTTAGACCTTTAAAGAGTAAGACTTAACTAGAAACATGCACTATATCGCTCTCGTCAACGCCACCAGACCCCATTGACAAAAATAGTAATTTTACCTTTATGGTATACCGCTGCCTCAATCGGCTAGTTTGTGTTATTATATTTTTTTATGCTTTAACACCAAAGTCACAACACAAACAAACTAAACGACAGAGGCAGCGGAATACCAACAACTCCTGTGTTCTGTGAGGTAAAATCACTGTTTTTATCAATGGAGTCTGGTGGCTTCAACAATAGCGACAGTGTTTCTGGTTTCACGGCAAACAACCATTAAGAGTTATTATTGCCACATTGTAGGTCCATGGCTAACGCAATGCTTTTGCCTTTTTAAGGTTGCTTGGCAACGACACACTCCAAAGCAATCCACAAGCTGGATGTGCCGTCATTAGACTGGCCGATCGCCCCGTTCCCTAGACTGCAGTACCCACTGGAGGAATTTACCAGAGAGAACGCACAGGAAGAGGCTCGCTGCCTGGAGGAGGTAGGCTGTGTGTGTGCAGGGGAGCGTGTGCACGTGCACAGAAAGTACAGCTGTTAAAAGGCATAAATGTAGAATTAAACTAAGTCTCAATGTGGAAAACGATTTACAGTAAAAGTAACATTAGTATGCATGTCATCCACTCCAGTCCAGCGATTGTTCATACCATAGCCGCGGGGTGTCCTATATTTTCAGATAAAAGACAGCTTACTGATTGCAGCCTCTAGACACCACTTTATCTGAGCAGTTCACTGGAGCTGTTGCTTCTGTAGATGCAATCATACCAAATCTAAAAAAACAGTAGGAGTGATGTCTGGGTTTCCTGTTTTATTTTTCTAACTGATACAGACATTTGAAGGCATTATGAAATGTGAATGTCTTCAGGACAAAGTGCAGTTAGCCTGTAGGGTGATTTTCATCTGGCCGTTTGTTAAATAAAGACAGAACTGGAGCAGAAACTTAAAGTCACAGCAGTATTTTGGTTTATTGAATTGACTGAAATAATGAACTTGTGTGTATTGACTTTATGAGTTAAATACTTAACGTACCACGGCTATGGCACATCTAACTGTGTGTGTGTGTGTGTGTGTGTGTGTGTCTCCAGGTGGAGGATCTGATCATTAAGTGGAGGCAGAAGGGGAAGCCTGTGGCAGGGATTGTAATTGAACCAATCCAGGCTGAAGGTGGAGATAACCACGCCTCCCCAGACTTCTTCAGAAGTCTCCGCAACATTGCACGCAAGGTAACAGTTATCACTATGGCAACAGATCCTTGAAAAGACTTTAGCTTGTTGTGCTCATTCTGCGTTACCCCTACTTGGGCGTACTGCTATACTGGTTTACAGGTGAAGTGATTTAACACTGATTATTCTATTCAATTCCTTTTTATTTATATAGCACCAATTCATTATTATCAAGTCAGTGATTTATTAGGCAGCGAGTGAACATTTTGTCCTCATAGTTGGTGTGTTGTGGCCAAATTGTGATCAGTTGACGACTGGATCAGAGCATCTCCAAACTGCAGCTCTTGTGGGGTGGTCCCGCTCTGCAGTGGTCAGTCAGTACCTATCAAAATTGGTCCAAGGAAGTGAAAGCGATGAACCTGTCTGGTCTGATGAATCACATATTCTTTTACATCACATGGATGGCCGGTTGGGTCTGCGTCCTTTACCCGGAGAACACATGGCACCAGGATGCACTATGGGAAGAAGGCAAGCTGGGGGAGGCAGTGTGATGTTTTGGGCGATGTTCTGCTGGGAAACCTTGGTTCCTGACATTCATGTGGATGTTACTTGTACCACCTACCTAAGCATTGTTGCAGACCACATACACACTTTCATGGAAATGGTATTCCCTGATGGTAGTGGCCTCTTTCAGCAGGATAATGCGCCCTGCCACAGAGCAGAAATGGTTCAGGAATGGTTTGAGGAACACAACGAGTTCAAGGTGTTGACTTGGCCTCCAAATTCCTCAGATCTCAAATCCATTCGAGCATCTCTGGGATGTGCTGGACAAACGAGGCCGATCCATGGAGGCCCCACCTCGCAACTTCCAGGACTTAAAGGATCTGCTGCTAATGTCACCACAGCACATCTTCAGAGGTTTAGTGGAGTCCATGCCTTGATGGGTCAGGGCTGTTTTAGTAGCAAAGGGGGGACCTACACAATATTAGGCAGGTGGTCTTGATGTTATTGCTGATTAGTGTAAGTACTAATAATGGTTGAGCTTTTTGTGACTTTAACTTTATTTTACTTCCCTTGAACCAACATGGATTCAGGCTGCAGGAGAGTCATTAAACTTCAATGAGACGTACATATCACACACACACAGTGAGAAGCCATGGATCTGTCTACCTTGGTCACTTCCACATGTCTCCATCTGTTAACCTCTTATCTCCCCAGCATGGCTGTGCTTTCCACGTGGATGAGGTCCAGACTGGTGGAGGGTCCACAGGGAAGTTTTGGGCCCATGAGCACTGGGGCATGGACGACCCTGCTGACATTGTCTCCTTCAGCAAGAAGCTTCTGACCGGTGGCTTCTTCCACAAGGACGAATTCCAGGCTGATAAGGTTTGTCATTTGAAAACCTGTTTTCCACAATGACCACAGAACACATATTGGTGCTATTAGTCAAGTTTTATATGTTACAAGACACAAACACTCTAAAGCACTGTCAGTAGCATAGGAGGAATTTGTTGGGCAAGACAAACAACATACTGATGATCTAGCTATTCTTAGAGTTTCTCCAGGATTGGTGCTAAAGATTTCAAGTTTGTGCCGACTGTTGTGTTCGAGTCATGGCCCCATCATCTGGGGATTGTGAATGTGCTGAGCTGATGTAGTAGCAACCGTGCCAGAGCCACAGATATCCATTCATTACTGAAGTTTCTTCGATTACAAAGTGATGGTCAAAGAGAAAAGTCTAATATCTAAGATCTAATAGTTAGCCCAAAGGTCAGAGAATCACCAAAATCAGTAGAAATTCAAAAATCCATACCACATTTTTTGGCAGAAAACTCTTTGTGACGTCTTTCTCAGAGTGTTGTCATGATGTACAATGCTACACATACAAAGCTATATTATTTTTAGAACCGTAGATGTTTACTGTACATGTGGTCAAACATACACAGTAACATACGAGTGTTGCTGTCATTTTTACATGTAAAAGATGTTTAGAAGATCATTCATTTTTACTTACAGGCGCGCTTGTTTGTGTATCTGCTTTCTCTTTTTTCAGCCATACCGTATATTTAACACATGGATGGGTGACCCATCAAAGAACTTGCTACTGGCTGAGGTCCTCAATGTGATTCACAGAGAAAACCTTCTGGAGGAGGTGACCCGCTCTGGGAAAGCCTTGCTAAACGGCCTTTATGAGCTACAGGTAGTGTGTTTCTGTGTCTAGGTGTGCACATGTACACAGGTTTGTTTTAAGTGAACCACTTCAGCTAAGCATGAATAACATGATATTTTCTCGAGGCTGATTTTGTTATGCCAGACTTTCTGCTTTTCACGCCTAGAGAACTTACTGAGGCTGGTATCAGTTTCATAAAGTTTGAGTTTTGAGTATTTTATAACACTAGATACATTAACTTGGGTTGATAAACTATACTTGTTATTGTAAGTGTAAAAAACCCAAGTAATTTATCAAAACACCCGTTTAATAAAACATAAACTTGCAAGAGATTTTCCAGGTTTTAACCCACTGCTGGTTTCCACAGCCTTAGCGTGTTTGTTACAGCAAATTTTTAAGAGCAAGCTAAACCAAAAGCTGTTGGTATGTAGCCTAACCGTTTAGTTTAATTCAATTCAATTTTATTTATATAGCGCCAAATCACAACAACAGTTCGCTCTGAGCGCTTTTCATAAAAGAGCAGGTCTAGACCATTAGCCACAAATCTTTAATATTTGTCAAATTCTTATAGACTGTCTGGCTGAGACTACAGCCCCCACTCCCAAACTAGCTCCCCCTCCCTCTGCCAGCAGGACCTGTCAGGATGAATGATAGTGACTGATTTCTATGTTATACGCTCTTTTTGAACTTAAATATTATTTATTTTATTTAGTAATTTGCATTTGTTTTCAGGGAGATCAGTTTGAGTTTATGTAGCAACTTTGCCGCTCTAGAATATTTTGTTATATTAAAAATAGACAAACATTTTAATCCTATTCTGAATTTATTGCACAGCAATAAAAAAGAAGCAATAAGAATATTGATAAAGTACTTGATGGACTAACCCTCACTTCCACACTATTTATACTGCGGTAGCGACCACTTAAATATCTCTGGGTATGTTAGACTATTGTTGGCTAAGTTCTAAATCAGTGACCAAAGTTGATGAATGACAATATTTACTTGGATTTGTTGTAGTGTACTTGGATCATGCTTGGCATGAGTAGGAGCAAAATATGTGTGAACACCATGTGTGTCTTGTCCCCAGGCTCAGTACCCCGGCATATTGAGCCGAGCTCGAGGTCAGGGAACCTTCTGTGCCATTGATATCTGCGATGATGCAACACGCAACGACATCCTGCTCAAGACCAGAGACAAAGGTATGAAGTACATCACCGTTCATTCTTTTTTTCTTATTTGGGGGGTTGCCATTCATTCATTGTGGCCCGCTGTCGGTTTGAGTGGTTAGGGTATGGACTTCCTGACGTGGCCCCTGCTGAAGGGATGCACTGTACCAATGATCATGTCACGACGAAGGCTGAATTCAGACCAAATCTGGTGCTGCAGTGAAAACGCCAGGACTCCCATTCATTTAGAATGGGAGCAGTTGGCTTAGGCGGCTGCAGAGGATGCTGGAAAAAATACAGCGAGAATAGAAGCTTCCTTTGGTTTTTGTTCATTTGTTTGAAACGGAGAGAGAGAGAGACAATGGTGATCGAGCGTCCCAGAGAGTGAATAGGACAGGGAGCGCCGGTAGCCAGAAAGCAGATGAATCAGAGAAATTAATTCTCTGATTGTTTCACAGCAGTTATGTTCTAAAGCACAAACAAAGATGCACACCACTACACAACCCTGCGGCTATTCGCTGCAACGCCGGATTTGGATTGAATACAGCTTGTTGACTGATTGTCCTTTTCTTCCTCTGGCTTACTGTCGCCAGAGAAAAAAAACTTCTACTACAGGATATTTTCTTGTTAAATGTCAGAATCAGAAGGAGCTTTATTGCCAAGTAGTGTTTTACACATACAAGGAATTTGCTTTGATGTTAAGGTGCTACAGACAGACATCCAGCTGACATAAATAGATGTAGAAATATATAAATATGTAATAAACAAATGCAATAAGAATAGAGAAAAATAATACAACTGACAATATAAAAAAATTAAAATATAACTATCAATGGAACAACAACAATTTACAATTAACAACAAATTAACAACATACGTGCAATGTGATATTTACGTGTGCAGAGACGATTGTGTTATTTGGGGGGGTGTCAGTGGGGGGGCCAGGCCTTGTTGATGAGTCTAGCTGCAGACGGGTAGAAGACGTTTTTGTAGCGAGAGGTTTTGGTCCTGATGGACCGCAGCCTCCTGAGGGGGGTGTCTGAAGCAGTTGTGGCCGGGATGGGAGGCGTCAGCTGCAATCTTTCCTGCTCGCCTCAGTGGCCTAGAGGCTGATTTGTCACCAGATGGTGATGGAGGAGGTGAGGATGGACTCAATGATGGCGGTGTAGAAGTGCACCATCATTGTCTTTGGCAGGCTGAACTTTTTCAGCTGCCGCAGGAAGTACATCCTCTGCTGGGCCTTCTTGGTGAAGGAGGTGATGTTCAGCTCCCACTTGAGGTCCTGGAAGATGATGGTGCCCAGGAAGCAGAAGGAGTCCACAGTGGCAAGTCCACGACCATCTCCACTGTCTTCATAGTGTTGAGCTCCAGACTGTTCTGGCCGCACCAGGTCACCAGATGGCCACACCAGAGATGAGCAAGATGAGATGTGTAAATTACAGTGTAGATTTGGAATGCAGGTTGTACACAATCACTTTGATCCCTTTCATGGCTAATGTTTAAGGCCAATGCTATTAAACATCTGATCTACTGTGGCTCTACTCTTTCTTCTTTCCAATGTTCCAAATAGATTTTTTTGCAGTGTTAAAATGTGCTTTCCTCTGATTGGTGTCTGGAAAGCACATGCATGTCATTGAATTGTGTATATTCAGTAACAGTGTTTGTCATTGACAGGTGTCCTCCTGGGAGGGTGCGGGGACCGGTCAATTCGTTTCCGTCCAGCCCTGATTTTCAAGGAGTACCATGTTCACATCTTCCTCAACATCTTGAATGACGTGTTGGCACAGCACAAATAAATCATGACCCTGAAGGACCCTGACTGACACTACATGAGCCTGAGTTAATCCAGAGAGGAGGGAGGGAAACTCCAGACAGTCACAATAAGCACAATCCACATGATAACTCACACAGAAATCCCTTATATTACCTCTGTCAGGGCCAGTTGAGTTAATACCAGTGAAGACTGACCAATCTTTGTCTCCTTAGCCAGAAATGATAATGATGAAAGCCTCTTGCTTTTGCTGCCATAAAGATGTACCCAGAAAACCATTCAGAACAGGTGCCAGTGGATACTGTCGCACTGAGAATTTCATTGTTCATGTTTCCGTAAAGTAAATCTCTCAAACTCCCGAATCGTCCTCATCTCGATTCATGTTGTTACATGTAGTCTGACCCTACTAGTCGTACTCTGGAGGAAGTCATGACAGATTGTCCGTCGCCTTCTGTTTCACACCCTCTACTGCCTGAGAGTCAGAGGTCTGGAACAAGGCTAAAAGTGTGGATCGGTTCCTTTTAACGGGTAGCACAGCGTTAGCTAAATGTAAATAAGGTGTTGAAGATCCCAACTTTTAATTAACCTCACTTAATGGCTCAGTACAAACTCCTGCGTACAGCTTCTTTTAGTGCTCATATGTCGGCATCATCCCACCGCCTGACTCACAGTCACTGAAGTGATTGTAGTTGGCCTTTATGTTCGTTTTAAAAAGGCAGACGTATCAGTGGTGACTCTCTGTACGAACACACAATGAAGCTAAGATGCCAGCCTGCATGTCATTAGAAATGTCCTTGTTATGATTCTGACTGTTGTATTGCTGTTAATAGGAATGACTTTTCAGCTTGAAATGTTGTAGCCCAGAAAAGTTTTAATCATATATGGACCACAAAAGTGTCATAGATGACTTAGTGCCTGCATGTCACACAAATGTGCAATTTCTTTCTTTTTCTTTTTATGGGAATTTTAATTAAACAACAAATCTGAACACATTCACTTTACTCTTGAACAAGAGCTTCATATCAGTTGCCATTTTTGTTTCTCATTCACTTCACATTTAACGCCTCTGATTTGTGACAGAATTAAGCATAGAGTGGAAGTGGACATTTCCAGTTTGCTTTTTCAAGTTGTTTCGGAGGTGTTGATGAATGTTTGTGATATACATTACAGGGGCCCCTAAGGACAAAACATATGTAAAAAAAGCATTGAGAATCTTGAGTTGTTATAACAGGTAGCCACTCTGGCTCATTACTAGCCCTGTTAGGAACTGCCTCATCCACTGAAAACACACTTTAAAAACACTTCCGATGAAGCCTAAATCTCACCTTGTGTCACTTGTCCAAGTAAGCATTAAAGTGTGGAGCGCCTCATTGTTGGGCGCTAAGCCTTAATGGGCTCATTACTACCCCCTGAGGCCAAAGGGTGCCACTGGTACTTAATGAAACAGCAGTTGTAGTGGGGTTTTTTGCCCTTGAGGAACAACAAGGAGCCCATTCCACTGTCAAAAGCAAACTTTGACAAGCTACACAAAAGTGAGATTTATGCTTTATCAAAGTGTTTTCAGACTGTATTTTTTGAGAAAAGGCTTCAAGGATGAAGCTGGTTGGTTTAGCAAATGTATGTCTGGTTAACTTCCTTACCTCCGATGCCCAGTCTCCCATGCAGTGGATGAGACGGACCCAAACAGGGCTGGGTTGTTACCAAACTGTAGGTTGCTGTAGCTTTAAGCACAGGTCTGTCGAACAGGGTGGTCTATAAACACGTGGGATCATGAGTAATACATACAGTCTTAAACAACTTCACAACTTTTATAAATACTTGTGGAATTGTCATTTTTATTTTGTAAATTTGCTCAAGCTGATGGTCTCCTGATTCTGAACACCTCAGACCTTCATCAGTGTCTGTGAATGTTCCACGGAGCTTTTAGGCAAGTGTTAGGAATGTGTAGCAGAAAGTGTTACCACATTCATTTCTTCCTTTCTGATTATGAACTTACTACAATCTAATCTAAATATACATATGAATATATTTACGTCTTTTTACATTCATGTTGCAGAAATAAACCCTAATGTAAAGTATGTGTTACAGTTTGTTGCATATGAAGTACACTCAGTCTAACATATACATGAAGATTTAATGAAGTAAGCAGGGTCGGGTGGTACAGTGTCGAGGTTGAGCAATACGATGGTGATGATGACAAACCATGCCCGTCTCCTTGTCGGTGTCCATGATGACCTTTAAACATTTTTGACATTAACTATTTGCACTTGTGATCCGAGGTAGATCATTGTTGATGTAAGTTAATTAGATGGCTCTAACTGTTCATGTACTGTGATAAATAAATGCAGTTTTGAATAACTTAGTAGCGTTCTTATTTCTTGAGCATGAAAGCATATTTTTGACCTTGGGAGCAGTAATTTGACAAAAATGAATGAATAAATTATCTTCACTCAGGTTTCACTTACTAAGTATTTCCAGAGTTTTCAAGGACATAGCATCAGTGATCTAGTTAGGTAATCTAAGCTATAGCTTTTGGGAATGTTCTGATAATAATTTCCTAAGAAGATTCCTGGGAAGAATTTTGTAACTAAATACCAGGAATTTCTTTGAAAGGAAAGCTCAATTTAAAGCCAAGTAAATATTTATTTATTACTCATTTATTATTGTTATATGCATTAAAATGTCACCAGTTTATTTCCATAGGATAAAAAACTTGTGCCCTGGCTGCACGCCAAACAACATGGACAATATACATTCGGATCAATTTGAATTTTGCTAACCTGAATGTTTTGTTTTATAGCAATTGCCCGTGTTGTTAATGATTGATTAAAATAAAATCCACTGGGCGGGTATAACAGAAAAAGTAACTGATCTACTGTAAGATTTCTTAATATACAGTCTCCGGGTGAGTGATCAGTGTAAATTTTTTTAAATCCTGCTTTTGAAAGTCTTAAAGTATACCAAAAATGTTCAACTTCATAACTTATTTTTGAAGATAATGCTTCATAGTCTTTGTTCTTACATTTGATCAGTTCTGACCTGTCTCATGATTAGTTAAGTGATTCTACTGGTGCTTGTTATAAATGTCAGGACTGACCTGAAACCTTTCTGTATATCCTTACTCTACTAAAACAAGGCTAATTTAAACAGACAATTTGTGATTTTTAAGTGTACAAGCCTGAATTTTCAAAGGTAAAGAAAATCTTTGGACACCATCTGTTGTGGTGGTAGGCCGGCTGACGGTGAGTGTCCTGTTTTTTTCCTCCTTTTCATCAGTTATTCTGCTTTTTCCCTGGTTTTCTCTGTTCTCTGCCTGCCTCCCTGTGTTTCCTCCCCTGTGTGTGCTCTCTCTCTCTCTCTCTCTCTCTCTCTCTCTCCCCCTCTCCCTAGGTTATTATTCCTCATGCATTCATGTAAAAGCAGAATTTTACTGCTGTAGGTGTTGAGCTGGAGCTGCTTTAGAATTATTTTGACTGCAACTAATGATAATTTTCATTATAGATTAATCTGCTTTTTATTTCCTCCATTAATAGTTGGGATATATACGATACTAATGTCCAAAACACATCTTTTTGTTAAATCAGGGAATATCACCTGCACCTCTCCACATAACACTAATCCAGCTGTTCCAGCTATGGTGTGTGTGTCAGTAACGTTAAATATCTTGCCCACAGACCTTCAGCTTATTTCTAGTTCACCAAGATGTGCTGTTGTTGGGATGTTGGCTGTAGCAGCAGGAGAGCTGTGAGTATCACTGTCTGGAGCTGCTGTGCTGGATTTCTCCCCAATTCCATAACATTACCCCTTCTTAAATTTCAATGTCAATCAACTGATCATTTCAGCTTGGTATAAACTGTGGAGTTTAACAAGTACCTCAAATGTGTACTTAAGTACAGTAACTCACTTTGGCCTTACAAAAAATACAGTGATAAAGTATTCAATAGTAAACTATATACACTTGTACAGAAAAATTTAGACTGAGGAGAGTCCAGTGGTCCAGCAGAAGCAGAAGTTGTTGTCTCCTACAGATGAACCTGGGTACTGCAATGGATATTCTTACAACTCATGAGAGGCAATGTCCCTACCGCCACCTGCTGGTGTAGCTAATAAACTGCTCTCACATGTACAGATCTCTGTTTACAGATCTCTGTGGTACAGAGTGAACAAAATTCCACAAATGTGTAAAAAGGAAGTCACAAATGTAACGTGACCTGCAAATTGACAGGAAATGATCTGCAAATGTGCAAACACTGTTTTGTGTGTAAAAATCGATCCACTAATGCATAAATAACACTTTGTATGTGAAATTAAAATATGTGTGTACAGAGTAAATTGACCCACAAACTGACAGAAAGCAATCTGCTAACTGTTTTGTGTGTAGAAGTCACTCTGTATTATTGTGGATATGATTTTACACATCACAACTGTAAAAATAAATATTTGTAGATAGTGAAATATTTGTGCATCATAGTACACATTTGTGGATTGTTTTCTGTGGATTACAAATATTAAAGTCCAATAAAATCTTCCATTCGGTATATACCAGTACTACTGTCCATCACTGATAATTTCTCAACATCCCTGTTAATTGTTGTCAAATGTATGAAACAAATGTATTTGCTTCTGTGGGTGATACAAGTTCATGTTCCAACCTTTGAAATGTTGTCATACAGACACCATACAGAATAATATGTCTCTTTTATGCAAAACAGATCTACATACTTCTAGACTTAAGATACTTTTTTGAAACTCTTAAAACAGCCTCATACCTACCTCACACAATTAGCTAAATAGCACATTTTCTGCACAATACCACATTTTGCTCTTTAAACACCCAACTCTACATTCAAAATGCAAAAAAAAGTTCTCTACATACACAAACTCTATCAAAACACTGCAAACCTGACTCAAAATCAAATCACTCTGTCTAAACACTTACACGTTATAATTAAAAGCTTTAGTAGCAACACGAATTGCAGCCAGTGATCAACAAATAATCCAGCCTATGTGGCTTTTGTGTATAAAATACTGTCAAATACACAAACAAATGCACAGAAGGGAAAGAAACAAAAATGCACAGTCCTGTTCTAATCATATGGTCTTCACATTCTCATCACATCTAATATCATCTCTTGACATGCACCTGGATGGAAACGCTTACCCTGGTTCAATTCCTCTCCCTTCTCCTTCTTCCTCTTCCTGGCCCAACTATTCCTCTCACTTGTCTGGATATTATCATGCCTTCTTTCCTTCCTCCTCCGTGTTGTTCTGTATCCACACTGGATAAACACAACTCCAGAAAGTCGCCCCCCCCCCCCCCCCCCCCCTTTTTTTTTTTACACTGCATTGTGTATCTAATTGAAAGAACTTCAACACCTAATTAGCTGTGGTTGATCTATTTTAACCAAATTAAAATAAATCAGCTATTTCTCAATGTTTCAATGATAAGTTCATTCAGAAATGCTTATCAGCTGTTTCAGTATAGATTTTGAGCTGGTATTGTAGCAGAAGTAGAGGCTTTATACATTATTTAAGGTTTTGATGTCTTCATTTCTGGTATGTTGTGTTTGTGTGCATTTGTAAATAACAGAAATAACATCCATAGTTTTGTTATAGGGTAAGCTTGTACGTAAAGACAAACTTAATTGAGTGCATATTCTGTGGAAACAACATGAATTGTGTTAATGGTATGGCCTGAACAGACTGGTGTTGGGCTTTCTGTGTTTAGAGTTTTGAAAATGTGACTACAGACTGGACAAAAGAATGTTAGCGGTTGTAAAAAACTGTAACTCCTCACTGTGCTTTACGCACGTTTGTGTAATGTGACCATGTCACAACGTGGCGGTTAACAGCCTATAAGAATTGATCATGCCGTGTCCTACTTTTAATTGGTGAAAATCCCCTTTAGGGCGAAGGTGATTGGGTAGCTGAACACCAAGGCCCGCCTCCCTGAGGTTGTTATTTAAAGGTACAGAGTGCCAACGCGGAGCGAGCTGCTGTTCACAAACTCCAAAGGGAGGTGTCGCGAGAAGCTGCCAAGAAAACTGGTGAGTTAATTTTGTTCTTGCCTCTAAAAAGTGGGATTAGAAGAACACCAATTTACAGTATTTTAAAGCTTGTGTGGCTCAGCCGTTGGACAGTGCATATAGCTAGAAGTGGACGAACTTCCAGCAACATGAATGGAAAAGTCAGAATGTGTGTTCAGTGATGGGGTTCATGTAGACTGCAGGGCTGTTCTTATCCCTGTTAGCATTTTAACGTTAATGAGGATGTGGAGTTCAGCTCAGTTTTTAACTCTATGACGTCCTTCTACAGTAATACTGGGATTAATGGTGACGTGACTCTGTGGATAAAAGCTTTTCTTTCGGCCGAACACAGAGGGTCACTGTAAGGCTGGCCCCCACTGTAAGGCTGGCCCCCACTGTAAGGCTGGCCCCCACTGTCAGGCTGTTCTGCTTGTGTACAAACTGATGATTAAAGAGCAGGATTCTTGTGAGTTAAGTATGCTGATGACATGGTCATAGTAGGCCTTCTATGGCAAACTGCATAATGGATGGGTGCAAAGATCAGATTTTCTTCACCAACTTTACCTACTTCCAGGGAGCATGGAGAAGGGGGGGAAAGTTTAAAGAGGTCCAGCAACACTTAAATGGAACAACTCTGATGTTAAACCAACACATTTTGGCTTGTGGCCTTTATCAGGGTCATCATGGAACACATTACAAACAACATTTCACTAGGGTAGGTATGAAGCAGAATAAGAGAACTTTTTAAAAAAAGGTTTAAAAAATGATAAACAACCAATTTTGTACACCAACACACACGGGTGCAAAAGTAGCACATTGGAGATTAAAGATTAATTGTGCAGAGCAGGATTTCACAGCAGGGCCCGCAGAACTTTGAAATACAGACTGGTGTCTGTGTTTGAAAATACCCAACCTATTTAAACTTCTATTAATGCACAAACCATTTCACCACCTCAGCGGACCGACTCAGAGGGAGTCGTCCAGCTGTAGAGAAACTTTCCAGGACTCTCAGTAAGAGCATGCCGCCCAGGTTTGGTCACAGGAAGCTGGTTTGAAACGTTAGCATGGCCAGCTGCAGAGCTGCTGAACAGGAGACACTCCTCTGCTGTTATTCCCTCAGTTTGAGACTCTGACCTCTGGGAGGCGCTGTAGTCTTTTATTCCAAGCATTTGAGTCCGCTCTGGAAATGAAAAACTGATGTGGGACTCTAGACTGCATTCCATATATACTTTAACTCTACAGAGTTTTATTTTATGTCATATGGCCAGTATTTTAATGCTTTGACTCGTGTGTCCTGTCATGTTATATTTGTTGTTTTGGTTTTTATGTTTCTTAATATTTGACTCTGTCCCCCCCAGCCCAGCCCCCACCAGTCAGTTATGATGCTGCTGAAGTCTCTAGCGTGCCTCTGCGCCCTGGCTGCGGTTGCCTTTGCTGTACCTGCTCAGGAGAAGCGCGTCCATCACCAAGCTGATCTGAGTGGCCGCGCCCACGACGACACTCACGGCTTCCAGTACGACCACGAGGCCTTCCTGGGCAAGGAGGAGGCCAAGACGTTTGACCAGCTGACCCCCGAGGAGAGCAAAGACAAATTAGCGTAGGTTTTACCGACCCTCAGGATACTCTTTCCAAACTGTACACTGCTGCCACAAACTGTTTTTATTTATTCACTCATCAGGTTTTCGTTTTTGGGTGGCTGACAGTATTGCTATCAGGGTGTGTGACGGTTCTAGATCCAAAAGCATGGAAGAAGCAGATGATTTCCATCAACCTTATCCATAACCCAGACCCCATCTCTCTCTACAGGAAGATTGTGGACCGCATTGACACTGACAAGGATGGCTACGTCACCCATACAGAGCTGCATTATTGGATCAAACACCGGCAGAGGAGGTACATTGAGGAGAATGTGGACAAACACTGGAAGGACTACGACAAGAACCAAGATGGCAAGATAAGCTGGGAGGAGTACAAAAACACCACCTACGGCTACTATCTCGGTAAAGATCCTAACTCGTCTGACCCAGTCTTCTCCCTTCTTTACCTCTGCTTTATTTCTTCCTTTACCACCTCCTTTTCTTTTCTACCTCCTTCTTTGTGACATTGAAACTGATGCCATTGTGTCAGCCATTACAACTGTAGACCACAGCTTTCAGTCACTCCACATGAGCTTCAGCAGCAGATGGAGAACTTTCATTTTTCTGAGCACTTTGACAGTGACTTCTACACGAAAAAGACCCTTTTTTAGGAAACCTTGTCTCTGTGGAACACCACATATTTTTTTTTTTTTTAGATGACGAGTTTGATGATGTGGAAGACAAGGCCACCTATAAGTCCATGCTCACCCGGGACGAAAGGCGCTTCAAGACAGCTGACCGAGACGGTGACGGCATTGCCACACGTGAGGAGTTCACTGCCTTCCTTCACCCAGAGGAGTTTGATTACATGAAAGACGTGGTAGTGCAGGTAAAATCTACTCTCTAACCACCAGGAACTTTGAGTATTTTTATCATGCTAATTCTATAGCTCTGTGGATGACAACGTCAGTGGTCAGCCCACCACTTTGGTCCTGACTAAAATATCTCAAGATCTACTGGATGGATTGGAACCACATTTTGTAGAGAAATTCACGGCCCCCAGAGGATGAAATCACCTTAGGAACATGCTACATTTTTATCTAACTTAGCACTATAATCAAGGTAGTTTATTCATCATTAAACAACACAAGGTTGCACAATGAAATGAAAGTTGGTAGGCCCTTCATGCTACACACAAACATTATAAATGGTTATGTACATACATAATTTGAGGATTAGTAAATGCTAGCATTCTAATACACTAAACTAAGATTGCGAACATGGTAAACATTATACCTGCTAAACATCAGCATATTAGCATTGTGCACATTGAGCAGTCATTACTGAGCTGCAGATAAAATCAATCATAAGATCAATATTTTATGGCTCAGACAAAATAAACAATTGATGCGTTCTGGCTGACAAGTTTCACGTTTTACAAGCATAAATACACATTGGCAGCCACTATTAATACATTTGAATGGATTTCCACATCATATTTTAATTTTTTTTTCTACCCCTGGAAGCTCCGTGCCTTGGAATATAGTATTTTTGCCTTGTTTGCCCACAGTGCTTCTAGCCTGACAGCTGTGATACTGTTACAGTGATGGAGTACAGTCTGTTACTTTTCATCGCCCCCGCCTCCTCACAAAACTCTTAAAACTAAAGTAATTAAAAAAATAAAAAATAATTTTCTCATTTAGGAAACTGTGGAAGACATTGATAAGAACGGGGATGGCAAGATCAACTTGGATGAATACATTGGTAGGTGACTCCTCCTGTTTGCTCTCCTAACTGCCCCCTCCACTCCTCAGCTGGAGGCCATCTGCCCTAAGTGTGTGTGTGTGTGTGTGTGTTCTGCTGCTGATCCACAGGTGACATGTTTACACCAGAGGACGGTGATAAGGAGCCTGAGTGGGTCCAGACAGAGAGGCAACATTTCACAGAGTCCAGAGATACCAACAAGGTAAAAGCTGCTGGCTAATTCAGAATTGGAGTACTTCATTTTTGGTTGCTTTGTCAACACATCAGAATTAGATTGTTACAGCCGCAGTTTAGACAGCTGGACAACACAGTGGAGCATTTAGCAGCTGGAGAGCCAGATATGTCCTTCAGGGGCTGGTGGAGACCAAAAACAGAGCTAACAGAATATGGACTCCCATTCAGCAGGCGACACAAACGCCACTCCACCTGGATGGTCAGTGTTCCTCCACAGCGACAGAAGACGTTATATAACTGTTTTCACAGGCTCGTTGTAGATCAGACAACCCAAATAAAGTTGTGAATGTTGATGTTGTATTTAGGTGCTACAACAAGCCAACGTTCTGATCTGTGTTTCCTTTCTGTACACAATTGTTTGCGATGGTTCTTGCTCAGTTTTCTGCTTTCACATCTGGAGTGGATTCATGTCTGAGTGACACCAGCCTGTTATTTCAGTTAGTCTCTCCCTCAGTAATGCAGCTGTGTGTTGTGCAGGACGGCTACCTGGATGCTGGTGAGGTGGCCCACTGGATTTTGCCGGGAGAGGTTGACCATGCTGACAATGAAGCCAAACACTTGATCCATGAGACAGACACTGACAAGGTAAACCTGCCACTTTAATAGAAACTGAACCAAAAGCTCACTAGAGCCCCAGATGTGGTTTAATCTGCTGCTGAAAATAGTCTCCAACAAATGCACCATTTCCTACTGATTGATTATAAACTACAGTGGGCAACTTGAGAAAAGTACTGTCTTTTTTTCAAAAATGAAACTACATATTTTTGAGCCAAAGATTTACTGTATGTGTCTTGGAGGAACCAGTGGGCTTGTGGCTGAGAGCTACAGACAGGGTAGGGAAGTCAGAAAGTAGATGGACTAACACGTTGTTGACTTTGGTCTTTTCCTGGGTTTTACTGACAAAAAGAAAAATGAAATACAGTCCAATACAACAGCCCTGCAGTACCTCTATAAAGCTTATATTAATGTTTTGTTGACAGTGTATCAGGTGTCTTACAGTTGGTTTTTAAATTTGAATCTCAATGTAGTTTGTAATTGAAACTCAGTAAAATAGACAATAAACAATAAATAGAATAAAAGCAAATCTATGTATAGAGACTAAACTAAAACCCGGGCCATAGTCCACTCTCCCATTCTAATACATGTTCTACATTTTATACACCGTAACATCCTGTACATATAGTGTAGTACTGTACACTACTCCTACTTCTGTACAGCAATGTAATTATTGTCCGGATGATAATAAAAGGTGGAAGGGTACATGTCGAGTTAACATGGTGGAAATAATTGGGCAAATTGTCGGCTAATTATTAACAAGCTTCTCTCTGTGTCTTGCTTTCTCTTACTCCTGCTTTTCATCACCCCCCCCACCCCCCTCCTTCTTTCAATCATAAACCAATGTTGGATGGAATCTGGTGATCAAACACAGGATGGGAAAATAACCAAGAAGGAGATTCTGGCCAACTGGAACATGTTTGTGGGCAGCCAGGCAACCAATTACGGGGAAGATTTAACAAAGAGACATGATGAACTTTGATGAGCTGCCAGAAGCTCATTGGGGTTTATATTTCACTACTATGGAGAATTTTGTTACAGTGATATTGTGGTGGGGGTGGGAGTCCTTGGGACAGTAAAGTAAGGTTCCGACTCTGGTTTACTCGCACTGTAATCATGGACCCTGCACGTTTACATTCACACAGGCGTACACATTGAGCATGCACTCACATACTGTGTATGTGAATACAGGTCCACACACACACACACACACACACACACACTGCTTTGTTTACATATCCATTTGATTTCTTTTAACTGAGACACATATCCTCATCGATAACACACTGCTGTTGTCCAGTGCAAACTGTCCAGTCCAAAATATCAAAATTACACACTAACAGACCCGTGGCTAGCGGCCAACATGCACTGGCATCCAGCTGAAACAATGAAACAAGGTATGAAAGTGGTCTCAACACATCAGGATGCAATCGTTCTTATATAATGATTTAAAAAAAACAGACCACAATGGGGATACAGTGTTATCTGAAACAGACAGGTACATATGTGAGAAGGCATGTGAGCATGTTGGAACCCTATCTGTTAAGGAGTATGAAATTCAATATTGGAAGAGTGACTGAATGGCTGTGTTACTGACTTTTTGGGGGGTTTGATTAGTAAATAAAGTCTTGTTTTTCTACATGTTTTTTTTATGTTGCACTAACTACTGTTGAAACTCCAGTTACATTTCTGTATTATGTTTGTAATTCAGGTAAGTGCTATCAGTTCAACGGTGTAGCTCTCTGCTTATGGGAGGTGTACTCATGCTGGTACCTGATTGTTACAATTTCCTACATCACATTTAGTTTAAATTTGCTAAAGCAGTGTTAGGGCTGGGGGGTAAATTCAATATTAATTATCAGCTGAATCGTATTGTGGTGTGATCCTATCACGTTATCATTAGTCCAGATGAATAATTCTAAGCAGTTGTATTCAAAGTTGCATAGATTGAATGATTATTTTATTTGTAATATGAGATATAGATATATCTATATCAGCCTCAAGTCAAAACACATCACATTTAACAGAGCAAACAGATCCTACAAGAGGCCTTAACAGACCTCCTAAATCATTTTTTCAGCAGGAAAATGATGATTGGGAAAAGTAAACCACTGATCTCTTTAATAGTTCTTTCCAAAAGCTGTACACCATCAGAGTACAAAGATTGTCTTTAGGGTCTCTTTTGACCTGCCATTCATGCAATCATTTACAGATTCAATACATGATTCAGCAGTGATACATTATCAGACAGAACAGATGAAATAAGAGATGATGTGTGTGCTTATCCTTTCTCACACCTGACTCACTTCCACACAAAGTTTTAAAAGAAAATAAAATGGTTTGCGTCAGGAGAGTATTGTTTTCTCACAGGGAAGTCAGGGGTTAAAGGCTATGCATGTCAGTACCCCAATTTCCTTTGCTGAAGCCCTAATTGAAGCCCCTACCGCATATGTGAAAGTTGCTCATATTTCTGTTAAAATAAGGTTGACAGTAAAACCCACTTCCTTTGTTACTTCTTTCAAAAACATCAGCACTAGCAGAAATAGATCCTTCCTTAAATGAAATGGCTCACTGGCATCACAGTCGACCACTCAGTTTGCTCAACTCTCACAGAACTGCAGATGTTCCATTTCCAAACTTTCTGGAACAAGTAAGTAAGCGGACCTTGACATGAGACTGTTATGTCAACTGTTAGCCAAAAGAATTAACTTGTCAAAGCTCAAGCTAAAGTCAACATGGACTGGAAGTCCTTTTAGTGACCTGAGGGGCCACAACCCACGTTACATTTACAAGAAACAGTCAGAAGGGGCAGGAGTGATTAAACAACCAATATAAGAAATTATGGAAATGACAATCAAATGCTACATGCATTATATACTGTACATCAACATTCTTAGACCATATACATGCATTGGAAATAGCTGTACAAGTGTATGTGCTGAAGGCGTAACACAAAAACTGTTCTTAGGAACTTGGAACTTGACTGCTGAGTGCTTATTAGTGTTCAGCCTTTTCATCTGGAGTTATTTGGCTGCACTGAAACAATCACAAAGTAATTGTTTCCCTCTGGCCTCTAGAAGCTTACCTACCCTTCAATGACATGCAGAACAAAAGCCGTATAAACGAACTGTATTTATTTCCATATTTCTGCCCCTCCCTGTCCTCTGCTCTGCTCGTCAGGATGGCCGTCTGACACTGTCTGAGCTGCTTGACAAGATGGACTACATCAAGACCAGCACCATCACTGACTACGGAGGCATGAGGGTGGACGGCCATGATGAACTGTGAAAAATGTACCATTGCACAGGAGGAATTATGTTTTTATGACAGAGCAGCTCGGATTCAAAAGAAGCACTGCACTATATAAAATATGTATAATAAAACAGCCAGCCATTAGTTTTGTATGTTTAAGTGATCCTTAACATCGTGTCTACTTGATGGAATGCTGTCAAAGCTGCCTAATGAGATTCAAACACACACAATGACTATAACTCATCTGCAGTGCCTGCCTGAAACCAGGGATGCAGACTCATCAGGGGTGACTAATGGAAACCCTCCTACGGGGGTCTGGGGGCATGCCTGACTGTGAAGGAATTTTTTTTTTTTTTTTTAAATGTTAGCTTTAAAATGTGAATTTCTATTTGAACAACTCTATTACTAGAATTATGACATTGCCGTCTAAACAGAACGTCTGTGTCTGCGCATTTGCCCCTTAGGCTAGGTTAAATGTCTGCATATTTATCTCATGAATTAGTCTCATAGTCATAAAAGCTAATTGTTTAAAGTGGCAAATGACAAGTTTTTAGCTTTAACTTATCTTATGAAGTAAATGTTGATTTTATAGTGCAAAGGCTATTGAATGATGACACCATCTGAGTTTAGATTGGTTCTCCTTAAGCCTCTCCTGGGGTGGTGGGTTGAGAAGTTGTCTGTCATCACTTTAACGTAATTATGGTTATGACAGTATTGCTAATATTATCTTAGTATATAGAAAATGAAACTCAGGGGCCAAGCACAGAAGCCAGGCCTTTTTTTGACAGCTCAGAAGGCCTAGATAACACAGGGTTTATACAGCAATCCCGAAGTAAACTTCAATACATTTTTAAGACTTTTTTCAAGACCTTTTCAACATATCTTGAGACTGCTGCGCCATTTAGATTAGTAACCGGTTAGGTCAGCCTCACACCTTTAAAAAGGGGCACTGTGGAGTTTTTAAAATGAATTTAAGTTAGTTCAAACTAGATGTTAGCTTGCCTACAAACGTTGTCCAGTCAATAACTACCTGACATAGTTGTAACTTATTTTCTGGCATAAATATGTGAAGGGTGTACTGCTGGTTGCAATCTGAAACCTTGCTGCTAGAAGCCACTAAAACTACACAACACACCTTTAACTTACATTTACTATAAATTGATTTTGAGACTGTAAAACTAAACATTCTCTTTGTGATAACTTTCATCAAGCACTGTATAAATACAACATAATTTAAACAGGCCAGAAGGGAACCAAGCTGAAGAGAATAAATTGAGTGATGGATAACGTTAATAGTGTAGGCGGTGTAGTACAGACATTAGCCATCAACCTCTGCTGTCTGCATCCTGGAGCTGATTTGTGTAGATTTTTAGAACAATGACTTTAGTTAAACAAACTTTTTTATGGTCCACTTCTTTTAAAGTTAAGAAGCCTAGTTGCTGCAACTAACCGCCCGCCGTATTATGCATATCACTCTAAACCTCAATATAATTTTAAACTAGTCAGTTAGATAAAGATTCACCCACAAATAGCAGAAATGGGGACTGAAGTTCACTCAAGTCGCACACACAGTGACTTGAGACTTTAGACTCAGACTCAAGACTGGGACTTGTGAACGATCAGGAAATGTCTGACGATGTCTGATATTGGTGTTGGGTGAATATTTTGATTGCCACACTTCGCATGCTGGGTTTTCTATGACTCTGAATTGAGACTCGACTTGGACCTGTGAACAAGGACCTGACAATTGACTTGGACTTGCAAAAAATGACTTGCGAGCATCTTTGCTGTACAGTTGTAATGAAGGGGGAAATGAGCTACAGAGACCAAAACTGTTTTTGTACCAGGCTATAAACATGTTTATTTAGGTTCATTTTATTTTACTTTTCATACATTTTACTGCACATGGCAAAGAATGTAGGAGCAATAGATCAATCCAATCGATTCTACTTAAAGGGATAGTAGGGAATTTCTGAAGTGGAACTGTATGAAGAACTTATCGACAGTCAGTGTAGTACCTGCAGTAAATGGTCAGTGCATCCTCAGGAGAAACGTTGTATCTGCACAGAAGCTAAGCAGTGTACTGCTGTGGACAGGATCATGCAAAAACAGAAGTTCTACAGTTGAGAAAATGTAGTTCTAAAGGCCTTGACTGAAGTGCTGAAAATATTCTACACACAGCATCAGTGGGGCTTTTTTTAATTGGCTAAAACACATTTTGCAGCTGACAGTACATTGCTTAGCTTCCATGTCGGTACAACTCTTTTTCTCCAAACTGGCGATATGCCGACCCCCCATGTACTGCAGGTAATACACTGACAGTGGAAGTACCTCATACAGCCCTGCTTCAAAAGTCCCCAACTAACCCTTTTAAATGAAAGCACATGGTTCCTGCAAAAAGGAACGGGCTGAGGTTGAATAGTGAAGAAAGGTCCTTCTGCCAAACCAGCTCTGCCTTATCTTGACACAGTCAGTAAAGCCATAATGAAGCTTTCTAAAGAGAACATGTAATTCAGGAGGGAATTTTGCATATCTCACATGACTGACAAAATGTGTGAAAGACAAAAAAATACAATTGTCAGCTACCTACAGGAACAAGACAGATATGCCAGCACAGGTGAAAAGAGCAGTCCGTTAGAAAAAGAAGTCACCGTTTTACACTCCACAGAACTACGGTGAGGATGTACATGAAATCGTGGTGACGGCGCTGTGCTCACATCCTCCATCGTCTCACACTTGCATCACTGGACGAGCCTCTTTTGCACGGAGGTCCACCCCAGAGGCAGCGAAGCCGGTCCCACCCTGTCGGAACCCATTACAGACCATCAGCACTGCTTTCACACTATGTGACACATCTGACTACAAATACATTTTGGAGAAATCTGGGGGACAAAAACCATTAGTAAATCCTGTTGCTGCATTAGGGTGTAGCAGACAGAGCTAAAGACGAGAAAGCAATCCACCCCACAGAAGTACACACATACCCTCTGCAGGGGTATGATGTCTTTGTCCGACAGCTTGTCTCCAGTCACAGGATCAATCATGTCCTTCTTGATCAACTTCTCCACACACTCCTGAGTCACCACGGCACCCCTGAACACACGACAGAGTATCAGTTATCCGCTCAGAGTCCTGACAAGAGAACACCGTGTGTGTCAGAGCATAGGTAGACATGTTGGCACTCACGAGCGTCTCAGAACAGCGCAGGGGACACTGTTGCCCAGGACGTCTCTGGTTACGGCGCACACATACCTGTCCTGATGAGAGAGAACTGGATTATACCTTACTACCAACAGTAGAGGAAATCCATCTGTTCATGCATACAGAACAAGACTTGAGCAGGACTGAAACGATTCATCGATTAATAAAATGCATCGACACAAATTCTTTGCATCAATGCTTTGTCTAATCCATGTAACTATACAGCACAGTGTTCAAGGAAGTTTTTCCTTGCCTCTGTCGCCTTGTGCTTTGCTCTTGGTGGGAACTGTTGGGCTTCTGTAAATAGCATCATAGAGTACGGTCTAGACCTGCTCTTTTATGAAAAGCGCTGTGAGATAACTGTTGTTGTGATTTGGCGCTATATAAATAAAATTTAATTGTTCCGCAGGGACATTTATTACTGTCGCACATCGCGCTTACGCTGTGAACACGACGTGATTATGATGGAGCTGTTTGCAAAGTGGGGGAAGAGAGAGAAAACAGTGAGGGACAAAAGAAGAAAGTGTCCAAAGTATGGGATTATTTCAAGCTAAAGAAAACAACTCAGTAACTAATGTTACTGTCCGTCCACCGTAAAACAAAACTTTTGTCGCCTCGGCAACAGCACGATGGCACCTGATCAGAAAGCAGCCAGTGTTCTGCCAGCGGACCACAGACAAGGTAAACAGTAACTTTAGCATTCAACTGAAATCCTGATTGATTGTTGAGTTGAAGCCAAAGTAAGCCGCAGTCCTCAGCTGAAAATGTGACCACGTGCGTTTGTTGTTCTCCTTTTTGGGCTGTGAGTTGTGATTTTACTCATATGAAACAGTATATAGTATGTTGTTGAGAATTATTTTAGAACATTACAGCCTAAATTGTTATTAATTACTAGAGCGATGGTGGTCTACATTGTCATCATTTAGTGTTATTTTATGGTGTAAAGTTAAGATCACAGTGTTAAGACTCTGTGTCTAAATGCCCAGAGGCAGTAGCACATGTGTGTGTGTGTGTGTGTAAGCAGACACGGGTGCTCTGGGAGCAGAATGAGCTCAGCAAGGCATCATCAAAAACAGCAGCAAAGTTAAACGTAGAAGCAGAATTAGTGAAAATTGTGTTACAAAACATACATAAATGTAGTCCATCACAGTAAGAATGTCCTGTCTTTAGCACAGAGCACAAGAGACACCAGCTTATTCCACAAAGTCAGGTCATTGGTGAAAACAGCATGATCAGCAGAGGGCATCCCTAGGTCATCATTTTTGATCATTTTAGTATCCTTAATTAGTAGTAATCACTAATCATTCTTAATCATTTTATTATCGTTAATCAGTATTAATAAGTAGTCATTCTTAAGTCAGAATTTTTAATCATTTTATTATCCTTGATTAGTATTAATCATAAATCATTCTTAGTTTATTAATTATCCTTACTTACTTCTTAATCTTTGAACATTACCTAGATGTGCCTTGTCTTTACTTAGAAGTGCTGTGCTGTAGTCATGAATGCAGTAACAAGCTCACTGGGGTTAAGATCCCTGAGTGGGAGCACTGACTGCAGACACTGAGACTATGCACGCCTTGTTCAGCTGTTATCTACTGTAGATTTATGACTGCAGGACAGGCTGCAGGTGTTCAAAATCTGCAGTGACAAGTGCATGCTTTGGTCTGCTGTTATCTACTGCTGTTATGACTGCATGAGGAACTGTTGATGTGTCAGTCTGCTGATATTAAGACTACATGTTTATTTACTTAATTAATTAAGGGGTCGATTGTCAACTTCCAAGCTCTGATGCTTAGAGCCTGTGTGAGCTTTGAGTGAACTTGCTTATAGCATCATGTAAGCATTTGGTGAACTTGCTGAAGGAGCATTTGCTAACTTTGCATGGCAGAATGGGTGAGCTTCTGAGGCAGAAAGCGGATGAACAAATGATAAGCAGAAAGTAGAAAACAGCCAGTATAACAACAAGATTACTGTAAGAAGCATCAATGAAACAGCACTACATGTTATTCCTGTAGTAATGTTTTAAGAAATATAATTGTGTGTCAAATTATAGATGCATAACTTTTGAAAAAACGGTGAGATTTGAGTTGAAATATAAATGATGAATTTCTTATCCTGTAATAGAAAAATATAGAAAGTCAACAACACAGAATGATAAATGATAGTTGGAAAACTTGTTAATTGGTATAACAACACATGTGAACAGCATAAAAGCAGAAGATAAGAAATTCATCATAAAGAAAGGAAGGGGCACACCAGCCCAGAAGAGATATATAGAAGGCTGTCTGCAGACCATAGGGTTGACTCCATCCTCCGACCTGCAGAGATGTTGTACGGGTTTATTTGTCCTGTTTCGGAATAAACTCTTTTGCACCGACTCTTGACCGTCTCCAGAGGAGAATTTATTGACTATTGTGGGAAGTTAGAGTATTTTGACATAAGTTTATAAAGCTGGTGAAGGTGGGGACAAGGCTCACATCTGACCCAACAATGTGGCGGTCAGCGTTGAAGCAATGAATAGGAAACACTGCAGTGTGGTGCAGATTCTAGAGACTGTCATCTTAGTTCTGATAGTGGTAAAATTGCCTTATTATATAAATTGGTTTTTCATGCACTGGGATAGTGCATGAAAAACCAATCGCTGATCATCCCTTTAACAATTGATTTTCTCCTTACAGCCTCATTTTCATTAATGTGCATAGTCCCTTCTTAAATTAGGCTAAATAAACATGTCACTATCATTTTAAGATATAAAAAAAATACTAACCTAGCTTTTAATCTGGAAGTAAAAATAAATTTTTAAGTGAAGGTCAGTTTGTGTTGCAGAATGTGTGCAACTCGCAAATCGCAACAAGCCTACTGGACCCCTAACAAAAAGAAAGCTGGATTCTTCAGCTGCCTTCAGCGCCAACAAGTTGGCCAACAGACATCAATGAAATGTTTGTGTATACAAGAACTGATACAGCTCATACTCGTGATGTGGCATCTCTGGCAACTTTCTGTTTGGTTAAGCTGCAGTCTGATGGACAAGTTTGGAGAGGTCAGTCAGTTCTTGAGCCTTCCTAAATGTGTGTTAGCAGTCATGTTGGGTTGTGTGGTTTGTTTTTCAGATTTTTTTAAACAAAAAGGTGCTAGTAGTGGTGGATGTAAACTGACCTGGCGGGTAAGCAGGGCCACTCGGTCCAGACTCGAGTCCAGCGGGGTGAAGCGCACTGTGATAAGCTCATTCATTTTAATGGGTCGTCCTGACATGGGACACAACACAGCCTTGCTCTGACGGACATCAGGGAAGGAGAGAAAGGGCAGCGATTACAAACGCATACATTTCACATAACGTTACATCAGTCTAGTAGACAGAGACAGGTTTCGATCTTTGGATCCAAGGTCACGCTGACTTCTGCCTTTAAAATAGTGTCAACATTAAACAGAGCGATAAACAAATCAAACAGAGAGAATATCACATCACTTAAAGCAAGCAGATGACCTGGCCACAACTCCAACTGCACACACAGTGCGTGACACAAGCCTCTAGCCCCACGAGAGGCTGTAAGCTGAATTACACCTGCTGGAAAACACCTGCTGGAAAACACCTGGGACCCACGGTTTTTCACTGCCCGCTATTTGTCCTGCTCATTCAGACAGGAGACCAATATGTTAAACTGCCATCAGATTACCATAGAGAGCTGCATGTCTGCCAGGGGCTCAACAGTATTGTCTATGAATATAATCCCCCAAAGTAAACACTGAAAATATGTAATTTGCTGACTAAGAAACAGGATACAACAATGCGTGTGAAACCACAGGAGAGGCCACTCACTGGTTTCTTGAGCTGGGTAGGCTTGGCCTCTGGTGTCAGAGAAGGAATCCAGAAACTGGGCAGGCTCTGGCTGGAACTGGCAACTGAACCAGCGCTGGAGGACTCTGCTGAGCTGCTGTCTGTACTGGCCTTCTCGCTTCCTTTGCTCTGCGCTGAATGGGGAAAAACTGTTGTACTTTACACTTTCCACCGGCTCAACACTGCGAATGCCTTTTCTAATTATGACTGGAAGGCTGAGAAATTTAAAAGCTAGTAATTGGGACAAGATGAAGACAAAGCTGTCGAGATCCTGAAGCACAGATGTTTCGAAACGTGGTACAAAACGCCAGTGTCAGGTGACCATGGTCATATTTGACGCTTTTGTCCCAAGGACAGATGATCCTTTATTTATTGGCTAGAGCAATGTGCTGTATATCCATACCTATATATGAAGGAAAAAAAATACTTCTGCATGTAGAATTTGGAAACGCTGGTCAGTCCTTGTTTCACTGAAACCACAATCCAGATGTGATGAAATCAAAAGTGACCAGTAGGTGTCACTTTGGAGACAGTTGTTTCCAAGCCTCGACACAATTTCCAGCACAATTGCTGGATTGGCCAGATCTTCTTTTAAAAGTGATCATGTGGCATGGTTGAAAAAAAGAATTTACAAAAGCTAAATTAATAGAATTATAAAGATTATATACAAAAATTAATTTAAAAAAAAAAAAAAAAAAGTCTCCAAAAGTGCATATGATTTTTCCAGCAGCACTTTTAGTGGCAAGTTTTTTCATCTGCGCACCAGACACTGTTACCAGGTAGCATTTATGAGCTGCAGTGAAATCAAATGTTGCTACTTATTTGATTAGTTATTGTGTTATTTAACATTATAGGTTGTCGTTGCTCTCATGAAAACAAAAATGCAGTTCAGCCGAATTAAAAAACCCATCTGTCCTTCTCCTTAACAGATGTTGACTGTGAGGCCCAGTTCAGGAGTTTCATGGTAGGAGGAGGTTTTTTGTAATAATGACCTGAAGTCATTATTACAAAAAACCTCCTCCTACCATGTGTCGCTAATGTGGACATCTTTTTCCCCTTCAAAATGAGCCAGTTTAGTGTGGACATGGTCTCAGTTCAGTGAGACAGAGGGCATGCAGTAATATAATGAAGACAAACACGTACCAGATGTGAATGGGTTGATGGGTTTGGACACAATGCTGTTCTCCCTGGTTTTAAACCGCTCGACCCTCTCTCTTTCCTCTGACTTGGACTCAAGCTGGCTGTTGCTCTTCTGCGCTTGCTTCTGCTTCTCATACGCCTAAAGAGTTGGCGAGGAAAACACAGCAGAGTTTTATGACGGGAGGAGTTTTTGGTCTGAGGGAAATATCTGCTCACTGCTCCACTGTGTCTGAGCAGGTCGTGTACAGCTTTTTTACAGCTGCTCTCTGAAAACGATGCTATGAGAGTGCTGAGAGTGGACTGCAACAGCAAAGACAGACAGGTTAGCAAAGACTGGAGGAACATCAAATGCAGATGCCTCTGTGCACCAGCTCACTGAGCAGTTTGGGGAGTTTGAAAATGACGTGAATAAAATGCTGTGACCTACAGAGGATTTTGGACCAACATGCAAGACAATGCTCTCCACCACCATCTCCATAAGAAGAGATGATATAATATTTACTCATCTCCTCGGTGATGTATGTGACTGTCTCTGAAGCTGTATGTCCTTTTGTACTGTCTGGCTGTGTTTCCTTCTGGATTTCCGTGAGATGACCAGATTAAATAAAGGTGGTGTATATAAATGAGGGAATATCTTGCTGTTCATTCCTCCAATAGAGTTTCAGTGGAGGCTTGTGGTGGCCTGACTCCATATTAAGACACTTCCTGTCCCCCATCTGTATAATACTCAACAGTATTAAAAGACAGTATAGATCAGAGGTTTTCAAAGGCGGGTTTCAGGAGAGACACAGTTATTACATTAGTTAAAGACAGAGTTTTTTTTAGGAACTGTCTTTCCCTGAGTCAGAAACTAATAAATGCCTTAAGAGTCAACAAAGAGCTTTACTGGAAGTACTTGGTATCTGAAGTTATGTCAAACAGCAATATTAGGCTACCTTGGCTCATCTGTTGGGTGTCTGTGATCATAACATAATCATGACCAGTGTTGGGCAGTAACAATAACTGTAATAATATAAATTTTCCCAGTAACTAGTAGTGTAACAGATTACTTTTCCAAAACAGTAATATTCTTACAGTTACTAATCCAAGTAACGCTGCGTCACTGAACGCTCGATCCTTGACGTGAATGCACGATTGTGCTGCAGGTCAGCGGCACCGGATGTTATGTTTTTATGGTCAGCTGTTAGCCAAGAAGCTAAAGGTAGACTGGAGAATAAGGGAGAAAGACGTTCTTTTCACAGCTGTAAGCATCACTGTTGTTGTGTCACAGTCTAAGATGAAAAGAACATATACGTCCGTTGAACAACTTTGTGTGACCAGCAAAAAGCCATTCTATATTTAATTTATTGAAGCATCTGCTGAAGCAGCACAGCAACGTGAAACTTACAGAAAGAAACTCCGGCAGCTGCTGCCAGCGATGCTTGGACTCGTCAGGAGAGAGTGGAGTTAAGCAACGTTTTGTAAAAATACTGACTACTGCTCTTATAAATACATGTGTAGAAAAACAGTAGTTCAAACATCAGGATTAACTTGCTTCATTTTTTTTATTTCAGCCAGTGGTGTTAAAAAACGTTATATGTTCTGTAAAAACCAAAGTCCTTGCTGCTGATATGAATATAAGTTAAAAAGTCAGTAGAGACGGCTTTGTTTGGGGAGGGGGAGGGTGGTGGTGGTGAAAGTAAAATAGTAACGTAACTTGTTACTTATCGCCCAGTAATAAGTAACTAGTAACTTATTACAATTTCTGAGTAACTTGCCCAACACTGATCATGATTCCATAGAAATCCAGGAATTAGAACCAAGCAAATAGCAAGGGGGGGCGAGGGGACACCTTTTTCCAAGCTTTGTCTGAGGAGAGGCCCACACTGAAAACCCCTGGTATAGGTGAGGAGACTGACTGGAGGCGTAACAGTCCGTTGTTGTCCAGTACAGTCAGCTGTGTGGCAGCAAAGTTAAGATACAAACTTTCAGCTGTCTTTTTCTGCAATCGTCCATTTTAAGTGTCAGCACAGCTGTTTTTTTTATCAACCTTGTATTATTGTCAACTTCGTCAAGACGATGCGAGGCCAATCTTTTTGTTAGCCAAATAAAAAAAGAAGGTGTCTAGAAAAACAACCTGATAACCTTAACGTGTATGCAACAGTTCAGTGTGGACGTAGTCTGAGACAGCGTGGGGCTTACCTTCATTTTTTTCGCAATTTCTGTCTTCTGGTGGAGGATGTATTCAAGAATGGCCTGTTTTTCATACAAGTATCCATCTGGACTGAGGCAGCAACAGAAACAAGACATACAAGTTTGGATCTGTGGCCACATGATAAGGTTATACATTGTGTGTGTATGTGTGTGTTTGTGTGTGTGTGCACGTGTGTGTGTAGGAGAGAGAAACATACGTCACCACAGGATCCCGGCAGGGCTGCAGGGACAGGCAGCAGCAGTCAAAATCTTTGATTGCATCTTTACCCAGTCGAATGCTCTGTGTCCCGTAACCAGACGCCGCTGAGCAGGAGGAGAGCAACACATATTAACATGTTCCCCGTGTTTCAAGTTCATTACCACCCCTGTGAAGAGCACTCAGAACATTAGGGGACTGGGTTGGGGGGACTTCTCACCTGTGTCTTTCTTCTTCTCGTGGTATGTGTAGACAGCCCCGGCTGTGCAATTCTTTCCATGGCGAGTCATTGTACTTCAGATTTTTTCCGTTTAATCAGCTAATCTAGAAGTGTTGGAAGGAGAGATAACTTCATGGTGTTCATGATGCTTTGGGCATTGATGCTAACATTAGCTGCTAAACGTAAACATCAAAACACATGCACAGACTTAATGTATTCAGAAAAGGTTTCATTAGAAAAACAACAAACGAGCCGTGGCTAAAGAACAACTGTCTAACAGAGTCATTACCTGTGCCGTTTAGAGGGTAGAACGTTACCTGGAGAAGAAATATGTAGAACAAGCTCCAAACATCGACACCTCTGCCTCTTCTCCTGCTTCCGCTTCCGCCTTCTTCTTCTTTGGGGTTTTATGGCAGCTGCTGTCATCCTCCATGTTGCACCACCGCCACCTTCTGGTTTCATTCTGCGCTCCAATCGCAGTTGGATATCGGAATTTCCGACCAGAAATTTACAAGCTCAAAACGTAAACACGACACATGGCTGACCGTGACAGACTGGTGTTTCTTATGTACACACGACTCAACTCCCTGCAAGTGCCCTTGGTGTTACTTAAAAAGATAGCCGTTGTAATGAAAATTGTTGACATAGATATGACACTTGTAAAGTTAACTGTTCACGTCTTGCCACATCAGTAGGTCAGTAAATGTATATTTCCCAATGTTTTTACATTTTAACATTTTTAACGTTAGCCCGAATAGCCTAACTTATGTGCAGAGAAGATGACTTTCAGAAACTGTTAACCGTAACCAGGTAGCCTAGCTAATAACAGTGACGACATATTTTCACATCAATTAAATGCAGAACATGTTTTACTAGGCTATTTGATAGTAGGCATATGTCTTATTTTAATGCAGTACAGGCAAAAATACTTTACGTTGCCTTTTAGTTGATCTGCGCTTCCACGGGTGTTGCCTCTTCATGAGGTCGGAGTGGGTGGATTTGCCCTGAGTTTACATTAGGAAACCGCGACAGAGTGGCGTTCCAATGTCGTAGGAGGTGGGACATGTTCGAGTTCCGAGTTGTCTCGAACGCAGCATTATTCTTCGTCAATTACCTGGCGCCGGTGTTCTGTTAAAAACAGTTTCCCTGTCGATACGCGTTACTCCATTACCTAAAACTGAACCAAAGAGGGCGCTACCATTCTAACCATTTTTTTTGTTGGACCAGCAGCCACAAGCATATGCGCATTAGCCCTCACGCTTTCACCCTCTCTGGCTTTTCCCGCAAAAATATATATTTCATCATGGAGAAATGATAACACACTAACACGCTGAGTGGTTACAGAGTAACCAGCACACATTCTGCAACACAAACTGACCTTCACTTAAAAATGTATTTTTACTTCCAGATTAAAATCTAGGTTAGTATTTTTTTATATCTTAAAATGATAGTGACATGTTTATTTAGCCTAATTTAAGAAGGGACTATGCACATTAATGAAAATGAGGCTGTAAGGCCAGATTTAACCTTACAGGCAAATTTTCAGCTGCAGTTCTGTCAGGGAAAATCAACATTTTATACACAAGTAAAATATCTGCAAATTGTGATCATGTTTTCCCACTTCAAGAAATGATATTTAATTCAGATGTTACGATGAAGATATGAATTAGACTTTTTACCCAATATGTAGGCTTACAACAAAACATATTTTAGTTGCTGTGATTGTTCTTCCTGTCCATACTAGTAGGTATCTTCCAAACCTTTTAGCACAGTATGTTACAGTGTGCTTCCAGAGTTTCCTTGCAAAGCTGTGGCAGAGGGATAGTGAGGGAGAGGGAATGTGGTACTAAAAGACTGTAACATTAGAAGTTCACTTGATTTACCAACTCAGACACCTCATAGAACACCAGAATTAATTTATACACAGTACAAGAACTGTGCATTTTGTCTCCCGTCACTTACACTGAAATTGCTTTAAGAATGATCTGTCTGTAGCCAGTACAGACCATGAACACGTCCATGCTGGGCATGTGAGTAGAGGCTTTAAAAGGTGTGTAGATCCATCAGGGGCATCAGTAAATGATAAATACTGTTTGGAGAGCAGACACTTCAGGTAGCTATTGAGGAAACTATGTCCTGAACCAACAGTTAGCAGTGCCTCTGTTTCCCTTATATGTACATGTCTTGTTTATTTCTGTGTGAACAGCAGCATTTCCTGCCTATGTGACTGTGGATTTCCTGTTAGCAGATCCCTACACCCATTGCAAATAAAGCTCCAACTAACAGATGCACAGAATCAAATGTCACTGGCTTAAAAGAGATAAGAAATTAAGGATAGAAAAACATCATCCATAAGGAATGGAAGTGGCAGATGTCTCTATACCTTATGCATGTAAGGAATTCACTGGTTTTAGCATTGACTGCCCTGGTTCTTCAGTACCCTAGTGAAAATTAAACCTCAAAATACTTGAGTGAAAATTAATACATTTTTTGTAGCATGATATTCTCTCAGGATGCAGGAAGACATGAATCAAGTGTAATCAGGGAGGAGCATCTTCTTGCATAGATAAACACAGTAGATCTATAAACACCCAGTTGGCCCTGTAGTTATCATCTTAGTTCATACCAGCAGGTCCAGAACTGACCATATAAGGTCAAATATATTCAGGTTGTTAGGTTTCTATGGTGACACACTTAATAAAGTCTGAAGTTAATGATGTGGCGAGACTGGTAAAGGATGCTATAGCAGATAATAAGTGGGACTAGACCTCCCTCATAAACAACTATCCCCCATAGACAGCCCGCCCAGCAGTTATCAAAGCCACTTCTCTTTATCTGCACTCTTTGAACATGAGCCCATCACTATCACTCCATCAGCACCCTGCCCTCCAGCTCACCATCACTTCCCATCCTGATGCCTGATGCACATTCTTTCTATCTTCAACACAAACACTACATTGCAGTGAAGCTATAACATCAGAGCGACGCTATACCATCAGAGTGTAGCTATAACATTGCAGTGAAGCTATAACATCAGAGCGACGCTATACCATCAGAGTGTAGCTATAACATTGCAGTGAAGCTATAACATCAGAGTGACGCTATAACATCAGAGCGACGCTATACCATCAGAGTGTAGCTATAACATTGCAGTGAAGCTATAACATCAGAGCGACGCTATACCATCAGAGTGTAGCTATAACATTGCAGTGAAGCTATACCATCAGAGTGTAGCTATAACATTGCAGTGAAGCTATAACATCAGAGCGACGCTATACCATCAGAGTGTAGCTATAACATAGCAGTGAAGCTATAACATCAGAGCGACGCTATAACATCAGAGCGACGCTATACCATCAGAGTGTAGCTATAACATCAGAGCGACACTATACCATCAGAGTGTAGCTATAACATTGCAGTGAAGCTATAACATCAGAGTGACGCTATAACATCAGAGTGACGCTATACCATCAGAGTGTAGCTATAACATCAGAGCGAAGCTATAACATCAGAGCGACGCTATAACATCAGAGCGACGCTATACCATCAGAGTGTAGCTATAACATCAGAGCGAAGCTATAACATCAGAGCGACGCTATAACATCAGAGCGACGCTATACCATCAGAGTGTAGCTATAACATAGCAGTGAAGCTATAACATCAGAGCGACGCTATAACATCAGAGCGACGCTATACCATCAGAGTGTAGCTATAACATCAGAGTGACGCTATAACATCAGAGCGACGCTATAACATCAGAGTGTAGCTATAACATCAGAGTGAAGCTATAACATCAGAGTGACGCTATAACATCAGAGCGACGCTATAACATCAGAGTGTAGCTATAACATTGCAGTGAAGCTATAACATCAGAGTGACGCTATAACATCAGAGCGACGCTATACCATCAGAGTGTAGCTATAACATTGCAGTGAAGCTATAACATCAGAGCGACGCTATAACATCAGAGTGTAGCTATAACATCAGAGTGACGCTATAACATCAGAGTGATGCTATACCATCAGAGTGTAGCTATAACATCAGAGTGACGCTATAACATCAGAGCGACGCTATACCATCACAGTGACACTATAAAATTGCAGTGAAGCTATAACATCAGAGTGACACTATAACATTGCAGTGAAGCTATAACATCAGAGTGACGCTATAACATCAGAGCGACGCTATAACATCAGAGTGACGCTATAACATCAGAGCGACGCTATACCATCAGAGTGTAGCTATAACATTGCAGTGAAGCTATAACATCACAGTGACGCTATAACATCAGAGTGACGCTATAACTTCAGAGTGACGCTATAACATCACAGTGACACTATAACATTGCAGTGAAGCTATAACATCAGATTGACGCTATAACATCAGAGTGACGCTATAACATCAGAGTGACGCTATAACTTCAGAGTGACGCTATAACATCACAGTGACACTATAACATTGCAGTGAAGCTATAACATCAGATTGACGCTATAACATTGCAGTGAAGCTATAACATCAGAGTGACGCTATAACTTCAGATTGACGCTATAACATCAGAGTGACGCTATAACATCAGAGTGACGCTATAACATCAGAGTGACGCTATAACTTCAGAGTGACGCTATAATATCACAGTGACACTATAACATTGCAGTGAAGCTATAACATCAGATTGACGCTATAATATCAGAGTGACGCTATAACATCAGAGCGACGCTATACCATCAGAGTGACACTATAACATTGCAGTGAAGCTATAACATCAGATTGACGCTATAACATCAGAGTGAAGCTATAACTTCAGAGTGACGCTATAACATCAGAGTGACGCTATAACTTCAGAGTGACGCTATAACATCAGAGTGACGCTATAACATCACAGTGACACTATAACATTGCAGTGAAGCTATAACATCAGATTGACACTATACCATCAGAGTGTAGCTATAACATCAGAGTGACGCTATAACATCAGAGCGACGCTATACCATCAGAGTGTAGCTATAACATTGCAGTGAAGCTATAACATCAGAGCGACGCTATACCATCAGAGTGTAGCTATAACATTGCAGTGAAGCTATAACATCAGAGCGACGCTATAACATCAGAGTGAAGCTATAACATCAGAGCGACGCTATACCATCAGAGTGTAGCTATAACATTGCAGTGAAGCTATAACATCAGAGCGACGCTATAACATCAGAGCGACGCTATACCATCAGAGTGAAGCTATAACATCAGAGCGACGCTATACCATCAGAGTGAAGCTATAACATCAGAGCGACGCTATACCATCAGAGTGTAGCTATAACATCAGAGTGACGCTATAACATCAGAGCGACGCTATACCATCAGAGTGACACTATACCATCAGAGTGACACTATAACATCAGAGTGACGCTATAACATCAGAGCGACGCTATACCATCAGAGTGACACTATAACATTGCAGTGAAGCTATAACATCAGAGCGACGCTATAACATCAGAGTGACGCTATAACATCAGAGTGACGCTATAACTTCAGAGTGACGCTATAACATCACAGTGACACTATAACATTGCAGTGAAGCTATAACATCAGAGTGACGCTATAACATCAGAGTGACGCTATAACTTCAGAGTGACGCTATAACATCACAGTGACACTATAACATTGCAGTGAAGCTATAACATCAGATTGACGCTATAACATCAGAGCGACGCTATACCATCAGAGTGAAGCTATAACATCAGAGCGACACTATAACATCAGAGCGACGCTATACCATCAGAGTGACGCTATAACATCACAGTGACACTATAACATTGCAGTGAAGCTATAACATCAGAGTGAAGCTATAACATCAGAGCGACGCTATAACGTCAGAGTGTAGCTATAACATTGCAGTGAAGCTATAACATCAGAGTCACGCTATAACATCAGAGCGACGCTATAACATCAGAGTGACGCTATAACTTCAGAGTGACGCTATAACATCAGAGTGACACTATAACATTGCAGTGAAGCTATAACATCAGAGTGACGCTATAACATCAGAGCGACGCTATAACATCAGAGCGACGCTATAACATCAGAGTGACGCTATAACATCAGAGCGACGCTATAACATCAGAGCGACGCTATACCATCAGAGTGTAGCTATAACATCAGAGCGACACTATACCATCAGAGCGACGCTATACCATCAGAGTGAAGCTATAACATCAGAGCGACGCTATAACATCAGAGCGACACTATAACATCAGAGTGACGCTATAACTTCAGAGTGACGCTATAACATCACAGTGACACTATAACATTGCAGTGAAGCTATAACATCAGATTGACGCTATAACATCAGAGTGACGCTATAACATCAGAGTGACCCTATAACATCAGAGTGACGCTATAACATCAGAGCGACGCTATACCATCAGAGTGTAGCTATAACATCAGAGCGACACTATACCATCAGAGCGACGCTATACCATCAGAGTGAAGCTATAACATCAGAGCGACGCTATAACATCACAGTGACACTATAACATTGCAGTGAAGCTATAACATCAGATTGACGCTATAACATTGCAGTGAAGCTATAACATCAGATTGACGCTATAACATTGCAGTGAAGCTATAACATCAGAGTGACGCTATACCATCAGAATGTAGCTATAACATCAGAGCGACACTATACCATCAGAGCGACGCTATACCATCAGAGTGAAGCTATAACATCAGTGCGACGCTATAACATCACAGTGACACTATAACATTGCAGTGAAGCTATAACATCAGAGTGACGCTATAACATCAGAGTGACGCTATAACATCAGAGTGACGCTATAACTTCAGAGTGACGCTATAACGTCAGAGTGTAGCTATAACATTGCAGTGAAGCTATAACATCAGAGTCACGCTATAACATCAGAGCGACGCTATAACTTCAGAGTGACGCTATAACATCACAGTGACACTATAACATTGCAGTGAAGCTATAACATCAGATTGACGCTATAACATCAGAGTGACGCTATAACATCAGAGCGACACTATACCATCAGAGTGAAGCTATAACATCAGAGCGACGCTATAACATCACAGTGACACTATAACATTACATCGAAGCTGTAACATCAGATTGACGCTATAACATTACAGTGAAGCTATAACATCAGAGTGACGCTATAACATCAGAGCGACGCTATAACGTCAGAGTGTAGCTATAACATTGCAGTGAAGCTATAACATCAGAGTGACGCTATAACATTAGAGCGACGCTATAACATCAGAGTGACGCTATAACTTCAGAGTGACGCTATAACATCACAGTGACACTATAACATTGCAGTGAAGCTATAACATCAGATTGACGCTATAACATTGCAGTGAAGCTATAACATCAGAGTGACGCTATAACTTCAGATTGACGCTATAACATCAGAGTGACGCTATAACATCAGAGTGACGCTATAACATCAGAGTGACGCTATAACATCAGAGTGACGCTATAACTTCAGAGTGACGCTATAACATCAAAGTGACACTATAACATTGCAGTGAAGCTATAACATCAGATTGACGCTATAACATCAGAGTGACGCTATAACATCAGAGCGACGCTATACCATCAGAGTGACACTATAACATTGCAGTGAAGCTATAACATCAGATTGACGCTATAACATCAGAGTGACGCTATAACATTACATCGAAGCTGTAACATCACATCAGAGTGACAATATAACATTACAGAGAAGCTATAACATCACATCAGAGTGACAATATAACATTACAGAGAAGCTATAACATCACATCAGAGTGACAATATAACATTACAGAGAAGCTATAACATCACATCAGAGTGACGCTATAACATTGCAGTGAAGCTAGAACATCAGAGTGTAGCTATAACATTGCAGTGAAGCTATAACATCACAGTGACGCTATAGCATCAGAGTGAAGCTATAACATCACAGTGACGCTATGACATTGCAGTGAAGCTATAACATCACAGTGACGCTATAGCATCAGAGTGAAGCTATAACATCAGAGCGACGCTATAACATCACAGTGACACTATAACATTGCAGTGAAGCTATAACATCAGATTGACGCTATAACATTGCAGTGAAGCTATAACATCAGAGTGACGCTATAACATCAGAGCGACGCTATAACGTCAGAGTGTAGCTATAACATTGCAGTGAAGCTATAACATCAGAGTCACGCTATAACATTAGAGCGACGCTATAACATCAGAGTGACGCTATAACATCAGAGCGACGCTATAACGTCAGAGTGTAGCTATAACATTGCAGTGAAGCTATAACATCAGAGTCACGCTATAACATCAGAGTGACGCTATAACATCAGAGTGACGCTATAACTTCAGAGTGACGCTATAACATCACAGTGACACTATAACATTGCAGTGAAGCTATAACATCAGATTGACGCTATAACATTGCAGTGAAGCTATAACATCAGAGTGACGCTATAACTTCAGATTGACGCTATAACATCAGAGTGACGCTATAACATCAGAGTGACGCTATAACATCAGAGTGACGCTATAACTTCAGAGTGACGCTATAACATCAAAGTGACACTATAACATTGCAGTGAAGCTATAACATCAGATTGACGCTATAACATCAGAGTGACGCTATAACATCAGAGCGACGCTATACCATCAGAGTGACACTATAACATTGCAGTGAAGCTATAACATCAGATTGACGCTATAACATCAGAGTGACGCTATAACATTACATCGAAGCTGTAACATCAGAGTGACGATATAACATTACAGAGAAGCTATAACATCACATCAGAGTGACAATATAACATTACAGAGAAGCTATAACATCACATCAGAGTGACAATATAACATTACAGAGAAGCTATAACATCACATCAGAGTGACGCTATAACATTGCAGTGAAGCTAGAACATCAGAGTGTAGCTATAACATTGCAGTGAAGCTATAACATCACAGTGACGCTATAGCATCAGAGTGAAGCTATAACATCACAGTGACGCTATGACATTGCAGTGAAGCTATAACATCACAGTGACGCTATAGCATCAGAGTGAAGCTATAACATCACAGTGACGCTATGACATTGCAGTGAAGCTATAACATCACAGTGACGCTATAACATTACAGCAAAGCTATAGCTTCACATCAGAGTGACAATATAACATTACATCGAAGCTGTAACATCACATCAGAGTGACAATATAACATTACAGAGAAGCTATAACATCACATCAGAGTGACAATATAACATTACAGAGAAGCTATAACATCACATCAGAGTGACAATATAACATTACAGAGAAGCTATAACATCACATCAGAGTGACGCTATAACATCAGAGCGACGCTATACCATCAGAGTGTAGCTATAACATTGCAGTGAAGCTATAACATCACAGTGACGCTATAGCATCAGAGTGAAGCTATAACATCACAGTGACGCTATGACATTGCAGTGAAGCTATAACATCACAGTGACGCTATAGCATCAGAGTGAAGCTATAACATCACAGTGACGCTATGACATTGCAGTGAAGCTATAACATCACAGTGAAGCTATAACATCACAGTGACGCTATAACATTACAGCAAAGCTATAGCTTCACATCAGAGTGACAATATAACATTACATCGAAGCTGTAACATCACATCAGAGTGACAATATAACATTACATCGAAGCTGTAACATCACATCAGAGTGACAATATAACATTACATCGAAGCTGTAACATCACATCAGAGTGACAATATAACATTACATCGAAGCTGTAACATCACATCAGAGTGACAATATAACATTACACAGAAGCTATAACATCACATCAGAGTGACAATATAATATATATATATTTCAGAGAAGCTATAAAATTGCAGTGAAGCCACCAATCTGATGTAACATCAAAGTGAAGTGATGTACTGTAAAACCAAAAGGTTTGACTAGAAGGAGTCTTTACCAAGTGGTCCAGCAGCAGGACGTATGTGGAATTGTTTCTGGACAACAATGGAGGTCTATAGAGCTCCATCCTCTACAGAGGAAAAAGATGGAATTTGATACACAATACTTGTTAATTGATACAGTCTGGTTTGGGTCATTTCAATGAGATCTTATGATGATTTGCTTACAGAATAATCCACAATATCATTTATTCTTCAAGATCCAAAGCTTGCCAGCCAATAGTTACTTCAATACAAAGCCATTCAGGTGTCATAAATGTTGTTACTACCCTGAGGAATCAAAGACATAGACCTCACTGTCTTTTTGTACTAACCTCCTCCTGCACGCTGGGATTGTTTTAAGACTTCACTTCACAAATGTGAACCTATTTCAATGCAGAGTTGGCTGGGAGTTCGTGTGCTTGTCACACAGTGACAGATACGCGATCCGTTAACATGTCATGTCAACATGTTAACAGGTACATGAATCTCAAAGATCATAAATCACTTGTGAGTGACTCAGTCACACATGAACATACCAAGCATACTCAATGAACAACAAAATAATGGATCAATGAGATTATTTAGTACAATAATATAGAGATGGCTTAAGTAAAGTCAGTTTTACTTTAGAAATCAAAAAACCCTATAGTTATTTAGTGCTGAGCTTTCCCTGACCTCTAGAACTTTATTTACAGCCATCAAACATCTGCATCTCTTTATCTCTCCCTTTCTCATTAACACATCCCCCCGCCCCCCTCGTGGTTTTGGGTGTTTGTTGTTAGTTTCCTGTCACAGAGGAAGTGCCTCACCCAGCCGCCTGGCTCCCTATTGGCCCCAGATGAACACTGATTTTTTGGGAGTGAGACAGACTGACGGCACAGAAGGATAGATAGAGGGACTGGAATATGGATAGGGAGCACAAGAGCACAAGATGAGGCTGAGGGCAGACGGCAGGAAGATCAGCGCAGAAATGCTCCAAATATAGATGAATGAGAGCTGGAGAGAGCAGACGCTTGACTGCCAGGGAGGAAATGGCTGTGAGTTGCAGGAGGTAAGCATGCACTAAACAACGCAGACAAACAACTAAACTAACTTTATACTCTAGCAAATTCATTTGAATGTGCTCCATGTTTTTACACTTTTTGTTTATCTTGTGTTTAATGTTAACAGGTCACAAAAGAACCAAACATGTTAACTAGCCTTTTTACGTCTTTCTGAGTTCTTAATATCTTTAAAGTAACTTTAACTTTAGGAGGGATTTTCTAGAATTTAGTGTAATATGTTTTGAGCGTGTACTGCATTGTCATGCCTTTCCCTGCTGTATTTCAAAGGCCTTTTCACAGTTTAAACAAAATATATTTTAGGATCCAGTAACAGACCCAGTGACTTGTTAAGAGTGGAGATGTAGTTTAATCTCACACTTACAGCGTGCTGCCAGTCCTCCTTCATGCCTTTCTTGGTCTGGTCACTCCCAATCCTTGTACCAGTGTCTTCATACACAGTGACGCTGGACGGGTTTGGGGGGGGCTGTGCTAAGGACTGCTGGTGTTATGTGCACAATTATCTCCTGTTGACTCTGACTCTGTTTTCACTCTCATCTCATTGATTTTTGGAGTTGTGTCTTTGTGATAAATGCATGTTAATGCTCTTTGAAATTTTGTATGGTTGCAGTTTTGCTGTGACAAGTGGAAGAGATCAACATTAGCAAGAATGGAAGTTGGTAAATCACTGGCTTTACTTCTGCTTCCTTATTGCTTGACGTTAAGATCTTATTGATTACTTTTAAGGTTCTTCATAACCTGGCTGTGGATTATATTTTGGATCTTTTAGTTCTTTGTAAGCCTTTTCATAGTTTGAGATCTGTGTCAGGGCCTGAGGCTCTGGAACGACCTGCCTGAGGAAATGAGGCAGGTCAGAATCTTCAATTAGAAAGCATATTCAGATTTTATCTGAGCTGCCTGCTTATTTTAATGTTTATCTTTTCTTGTTCTTATTTCTTATATTTATTCTGGTTATTTTAATGTATTTTTTTTATTAATTTTCTTGTTTCTATTTCTTATTTGTATTTTGCCCTTCATGTATTTCATCATTCACTGTGGTTTGTCAAGTTTTAGCATTGATCTGGCAGCATAAGCAAACGATCCTAACTGAGCTGCACCAACTTCAAACCAGTGAGAAGAACACAAATATAAAAATATTCAGATAAGAAAGTAGGTTTTTCGCAGCCAAAGGACGAGGAACATGTCGTGAATAGACCCACAGAAAGAACAAATTCCTCCTGCTAATAGGATCAGTTTGATGTTAAGCATTCTCTTGGCTCTTGATTGAGTGTTATCCCAGTTGTTTTTAAGTATTTATTACAAATAGCTGTATTGCAATATTGTCCTAACCACCAAAGAGCGTGACTGGCTCCCTTCAGGCCGCTGCTACGGGACACTCAAAACAGACACAGTTGGCATCTTCCACTCTGTTACATTCATGTACCCACTGACAGACTGTAATGTTAGACATAGACATAGACCAAGTGCACTTTGTTTCACATTTTACTGTACCTTTCTTTGGCTTTTTGTATTTAGCGTGGGTAAATGTAACTGTTTGTTGATGCTGATTATTCATTCATGTCATTCATGGTAATAATAAAGTCTCTTATGTCTCTGAAGTGTCTTGTTTGTATGCATCTATAGAGCGGGACCATATTGCATGAAACCAAAAAGAACAATGCAAAAAAGCAGAAACGTGCACCCTGAGTCACATTCATAAGGCAGAGATAATGCATCATTCTGTTTTTAAACATGGATATACATATATATATATATATATCACTTTGCTACGATGTAAAGTAGTGAGTGTACAGCTTGTATAACAGTGTAAATTTGCTGTCCCCTCAAAATAACACATCACACAGCCATTAATGTCTAAACTGCAGGCAACAAAAGTGATTACACCCCTAAGGGAAAATGTCCAAATTAGGCCAAATTATTTTCCCTCCCCGTTGTCATTTGACTCGTTAGTGTTACAAGGTCTCAGGTGTGAATAGGGAGCAGGTGTGTTTAATTTGGTGTTAATGTTCTCACACTCCCTCATACTGGTCACTTGAAGTTCAACATGGCACCTCATGGCAAAGGACTCTCTGAGGATCTGAAAAAAAGAATGGTTGCTTTATATATGATGGCCTAGGCTATGAAGATTGCCAAGATCCTGAAACTGAGCTGCACCACAGTGGCCATACAGCGGTTCAACAGGACAGGTTCCACTCTGAACAGGCCTTGCCATGGTCAACCAAAGAACCTGAGTGCACGTGCTCAGGTCTGCATGGCTGTCGTCCCAGAAAGAAGCCTCTTCTAAAGATGATGCACAAGAAAGCCTGCAAACAGTTTGCTGAAGACAAGCAGACTAAGGACATGGATTACTGGAACCATGTCCTGTGGTCTGATGAGACCAAGATAAACTTATTTGGTTCAGAAGGTGTTAAGCATGTGTGGCGCCAACCAGGTGAGGACAAAGACAAGTGTGTCAAGCCTACAGTCAAGCATGGTGGTGGGAATATCATGGTCTGGAGCTGGATGAGTGCTGCTGGCACTGGGGAGCTACAGTTCATTGAGGGAACCTTGAATGCCAACATGTACTGTGACATACTGAAGCAGAGCATGATCCCCTCCCTTCAGAGACTGGGCCACAGGGTATTATTCCAACATGATAACGACCCCAAACACACCTCCAAGATGACCACTGCCTCGCTAAAGAAGCTGAGGGTGAAGTTGATGGACTGGCCAAGCATGTCTCCAGACCTAAACCCTATTGAGCATCTGTGGGGCGTCCTCAAAAGGAAGGTGGAGGAGTGCAAGGTCTCTAACATACACCAGCTCCGTGATGTCATGGAGGAGTGGAAGAGGACTCCAGTGGCAACCTGTGAAGTTCTGGTGAACTCCATGCCCAAGAGGGTTAAGGCAGTGCTGGAAAATAATGATGGCCACACAAAATATTGACACTTTGGGCCCACGTTAGACATTTTCACTTAGAGGTGTACTCACTTTTGTTGCCAGCAGTTAAGACATTAATGTCTGTGTGATGTGTTATTTTGAGAGGACAGCAAATGTACACTGTTATACAAGCTGTACACTCACTACTTTACATTGTAGCAAAGTCACATGAAAAGATATAATCAAATATTTACAATAATGTGAGGGGTGTACTCACTTTTGTGAATATATATGTAATTATGTATTGCGTGTGTGTGTGTGTGTGTGTGTATATATATATATATGTATGTATGTATATATATGTGTATGTATGTATGTATGTATGTATGTATGTATGTATGTATATGTATGTATGTGTATATGTATGTATGTATGTATGTGTATATATATGTATGTATGTATGTGTATATATGTATGTATGTATGTGTATATATGTATGTATGTATGTGTATATATATGTATGTATGTATGTATGTGTATATGTATGTATGTATATATGTATGTATATTAACCATTTTAAAAGACGTCCACAGACTGAATATATGAGAAGTTCAGGGAAAACTGTTCAACAAGAGGAGCCTGGGGTATTGTTTCTTTGTTTCACAATTTCGCCACATGTTGTACTGAGTATAATTGTGTATAGTGACAAACAAACTTGATTTGATTTGATCAGCATTTCCATGAAACAGAGTACTGATTTCTTACTGTGAATGCCTGGTAGCCTTTGCTGCAGTTGAGAAGGCCAGCTGAAAAGACAAATAGGGCTAGAGGGACATCTAGTGGAGAATACTGCAAAACAGTCCAGACCTTCAGCAGCACATTCACTATAGCAACAATCTGAATGTCATGTAGTGTATAGTTTGCTGATTACAGATCACACCTGAGGATGTGCTCTTCAGGGACACAGTGACACAGCTTCCATGAAACAGGTAAATGATTTCACCACATTTTAAAATACAGAAGTTACTGAAGGTCATTAAGCAGGACAAAAGTCCAAGAATGTACTGATTTGGTTTGTTGATCATAAACGTATCATTAAAGCTTGGCAAAGTTTTGTTTATTAAACTTATATTTAACTGCCTTCATATCTACTTAAAAACCTTTATTTATTTTGAAAATCTGAAAAAAAGAAACACAGAGGCCTATTTATACAGTGTGCTAAAGAAGGAAATCTATCCTCCTGTGTGGACACTGTGTCTATCACACGCTGCTATCTGCGCTGCAGGCTCCTCCCCGCTCTGTACCCTGCAGCCGCGCACACAAACGGGACAGGACACTGCGAAATCTCACCGAAACTCACCAACAGAGGTATGAAGAAATGTTTCATCGGACTTGACCTCCGTCTGTCCGTCTATTTACATCCCATCAAAGCTAGAGCAATGTTTAGGGCACTCTTTATTGGGGTACTCACCCTATGAAGGGTGAAAAGTTTTGGAATAAGTTACATGAGTCACTCCCGAGATTCATTGTAGCCTTATACATTTTCAGTCCAGTGAGACTCGGGCTTTGTTTGAACTTTTGAAAAGGAAATGTGTTGTAAAGGCGTTTCGCTGTAACATGCGGAGTAGTGTTTTTTGAACATTCGTATTTCCTGGTGGCTCCTGTCTGGCCGGCCGGTGCAGATTCTTGTGTTCCCGTGCCGGTGACCAGAGCCCTACCGGAACCCTTCTTCTTCTTCTTCGTCTTCTTCTTTTTCTTCGTCGTCTTGAAGGTGTAACAGCAGCTGGCATCTTTAGCGTTGCATTGCTGCCATCTTGTGGAGTTAGTTAGCTCCTACAACAGTCCTGTTCTCCTCAGCGAGCTGGTCTAACATCTCCTGTCTTGTCCACTTCCACCAGACTCCAGTGTGCCCTTTTATCCCAATATCTTCAATTCTTTCATACAACGCTCTTTCCTGCTGAGGCTGAAAGTTTAATTTCTCATTACCCAGAATGCTCAATTAGCAGGAAGCAAATGAATGTGAGCTCCGTGCCTTGCTTTAATACTCTTTATTACTGGATCCTCCTGACTTCAGACTGGACAGAGTCACTAGAACTAGTTTGTTTATTCTAAAGCCATTATAATGGCGTACACACTTGAACAAGCGTATTTCTGCTCTGTGGCTAGGGCCTGCAGCTGCAGAACCTGCATCATAAAAACCTGCATATAGTCTGTATATTTCCATGTCTTCTAACTATAAAACTCCCTCACTACATCTGCACTTTTATTTCTTCATTTCCTGCCAAAACTTGATTTGGCTTTCCTCAGCAGGCCTGTGGCTCTTTTTTGGTTGGGCGACTGTCTCTATTAGTGTTGTGAAATCGCAAACATTTCCTTCAAAAGCACATATCTTTTGGGTAAATAACTTGAACTGAATCACTTCCTGAAATGATCCATTCATTTCTCAGTCAGCTCAGTGGAGCTCATAACTGTGAGCGAAGGTGCAGGGATACACTCACTCAGTGAGCGAGTGATTCAAGTCATTCATTCGCAGGAGGAACATTTAACTGCTATGATGCAATCTGACATTGTCTAGATTTATTTTAAATGCATAGCTGGGATATTTTCAGAATACTAAGCAGTCTCTCCCTCTCGTGTCTTAAGTCTCGAAGTAGGAAGTAGTATCAGATATTTCATATAGTTATATAATTATAGCAGCTTTCAGTTTCAAATGGTTTCTTTAGCAAACTAAATTCTCAGCTCACTGGCTTCTCTTTCATGAACGACTTCTCAGTTCACTAGTTAGCCAGCTGAACTGGACGATCGGTCACGATTCAGGTCTGTGAGTGGGACCACGCTGTCGGAGCGCCGTCCAAGCACTGAACGATTTGGTGAACCAATCTTTTTAATGAACTGAAATCTCCATGATCTCTCAGATTCATCCAGTCGTTGCCGAGGAGCTGTTTTCTGTGTAAACACAGTGGCATTCTCCTGTAGCCGCTTGTAGGGTACATACAGGTACATTATCTGGACCACATCCAATGCTACCAGTACAGGTTTTGATGTGGATCCATAAACAACAGTCCCATAATCTAATCTCGATCTAATTAGAGCTACATATACATATATTTCAAGGATGCAATATCAGCTCCTCAGTCCAACCCTGCAAGGCATCTCAGTAACATTTATAACAATATTATTAATGCGCTCTCGCTATGATAATCTGGATAATCAAAATATTATCCTGAGAACCACAATGTTTCAGCTGTCTCTAAATGATATCCATATAGTTTCAAATGAGTGTTTTCTCTAATCGTCTTTCTTGTGAAGAACGTTACTTTAGTTTTTGATAAAATGTAATTTATCACAATTGAGAATATTATATGACTTCCCTGAGGTGTCCCGTGTTCTACCTGCAAAACTGTTCACTCTCCTTTTTATCAGCTTCTCCGCACAGTTTCGTCTTTATTCGACTGTTCCATCTCCCAGAATTCTAGCATATTTCACTTTACAACTTCTTTACCCCTCCCTCTCCCTCAGATTTTCCTACCACATCTAGTAATCCTGCCTTCAGGGCCTTCCCCCTATCTTCCCTTACCTCAGTTCTTTTCTGTTAAATTTTAGTTATTTAGCGCCACTTCAAAACAGAAGTTATCTCATTGCACTTTTCATATAGAGCAGGTGTAGACCGTGCTCTTTGTAATAATATTTTACCAGGCCCAACAATTCCCTCCGTGAGCACTTGGTAACAGAGGCAAGGAAATACTTCCTTTTAACAGAATCAGAATCAGAATCAGAAGGAGCTTTATTGCCAAGTAGTGTTTTACACATACAAGGAATTTGCTTTGGTGTCAAGGTGCTACACGCAGACAGACATACAGCTGACATAAATAGATGTAGAAATATATATAAATATGTAATAAACAAATGCAAGTTATATAAGAATAACAGAAGAATAGAGAAAAATAATACAACTGACAATATAAAAATAAATAAATAAACAACAATTGACAATTAACAACAAATTAACAACTAATATGTGCAATGTGCCAGGTACGTGCATAATATGACATGAAGTGATATTTATGATTGTGTTATTTGAGGGAGGGGGGGTGTCAGTGGGGGCCAGGGCCTTGATGATGAGTCTAGCTGCAGCGGGTAGAAGCTGTTTTTATGGCGAGAGGTTTTGGTCCTGATGGACCGCAGCCTTTTGCCAGAGGGGAGAGTCTGAAACCGTTTGTGGCCGGGATGGGAGGCGTCAGCTGCAATCTTTCCTGCTCTCCTCAGAGTCCTGGAGAGGCAGGCAGAAACTTCAAGCAGAACCATGGCTCAGTACAGATATCAATGAAAATGAATAATAGTACTAATAATGATAGCAGCATTATAATGATAGCATCAACATAGGACTAATAATAATAATTGTAGCAGAGGTTGTCGAGCAGGAACACGGGGGCAGCAGGTGACCTGCAACCACAGATCCAGACTCCACAGCTCTGGAGCCAGAAACACCTGCAGGAAGTGATAGGAGGAGAGAGGAGAGGGACGAGAAAGCACAAGACTACAGGAAAGGGAAGAAGTGGAGTTAGTAATATGCAATAATGGGATAAGAATGCATACAGATGGAGAGGGAGTGGAGGAGAGAGGAGCTCAGTGCTTCATGGGAAATCCCCCTAGTCTAGGCCTATAGCAGCATAACTAAGGGATGGTTCAGGACTCACCTGAGCTAGACAACATTCTCACTGCCTGCTTTCTAACGTGGGCATGTTTCTCAATAACTGGTATTAATTAGGTGATTTAAAGCCGCTAATGCCAGATCAGGACCTTTCACTCTTTGAACTGTAGAGCATCAATATTTCCTGCTTCATCATAATCAATTCTAGCATTGTATGTTTTTTTCAGTGTTTTTTGGGCCCAGTTTTTGGTAATTTAAAATCCTCACAATTGCAATTTTCTACATTATTTATTTATATAGCTTCAATTCAAGCAGAAGTTATCTCATTGGGTCAGTGCGAGCAGATGTTTCTGAGCCATCAAGTTTTCAACATTCTTGTTGGCTTTGTAATGACAAATTACATGCATCTGCAAGAGAACACTGCTTATTTTTCATGAACAACTTCTGCATTCCAGTCAATATTTTAAGTCTCCCAAAAAATAAATCTCATTATTTATACACACACTCACGTTTCACATATTCAATCCACAGAAGTTGCTGTTGCATTTGGTGGTCTAGAATTGCATCCAGTAAGCAGTGGCTTTAGATAAGGTAAGTGAACTTCTAACCACCTAAACATGTACAGACACAGGTACACATATCCTCCTAGATGCCTGCAAGGCCTTTACAGAATGATACCCTGCCTTATGTCACCCTGCTTCAAAGTCAGGTACTGCTGTCCCAGTTTAATTAACTAACAGTTCATTTCAACAATGTCCAAACTTATTTCCCCAGCAATATCTTTTAATGTTGCATCCACTTCCTCAGTCCCCATGATTAGTAGGAACAGACTAAAGAAGTGCTTTATCCACAGCTTCTGCTTCCAGGCTTAAGAACTTGTTTGTGTTCCTTAAACCTAAGCCTTCCAAGTCCGTTTCTCTAGTTTTTTTTTGTTGCTCTGTTTTCTTATTGACTTTGTTACCTCCCACAATTTGGACATCTTGTGTTTTACTGAGGGTTGGCTCAAATCAGGGGACTGCAGCCTCCTGGTGGAGCTTTGCCCACCAAACTATAGCTTCCTGAATTCCCCATGGTCCATAGGCCCAGGTCTCATTCACTGCTGGATCGTTTCTAACTTTTGAGCTCCTGACTTTTAAAATTCAGCGTGACATCCCAGAGTGTTGTTGTATGATGATCTACCGACATCCAAAATCTTGTACACATTTTATGAACAATTTCTCCAACCTCTTCTGTTGTACTCAAATTTGACTAGATCATTATTGTAGGGGATTTTAACATTGACATAGATGATGCCACAGAATTTCTGAACACTGCACAATAATTGAACCTGGTGCAACATGTCTCTGGCCCCACACATAAGCGTGGCATGCCCTTGATCTCATGTTAACTCTGAACTCCATGCATATGCCTGACTTCGTTTCTTAACATAAATATATACTGTTTGACACAGTTCTACAGTCAAAACTGACTAAAATCGGTACATCCTTGTGTCTTTGATGAGCACTCTGCAGCTAGGTTTTCAGCTCTCTTCTCTGACATGTCATTGACAATTTCTGAGTTGTTTTATATTAATGACTCTGTTAACCTGTTTAATGATGCTCCTTAGCTCTTGATACTGTTGTTCCTAATAAAACCAGACTAGCCCCTTGGATAAATGATTCCATTTGATGCAATAGAAGAGATTGTAGAAGGGAGATGGAAAAAACAGACCACTAACTTCAAGTGAAGTAGCTGACCATGATTAACCAACTCATAAAATTTGCGAGAGCGTCATATTTCTCTGGCCTGATCAACAACAACAAGCATAACCCTTTCTTTTTGACGACTGTGATAAATTTCTGAATTTCTTTGCTGGCAAGATCAGTGATCTCAGATCATATTTCGGCCATTGCTTTTGTCACTCTGATCTAGTCATCTACCCTGTTCTGCTGTCTGAGTTCAGCCCTATTTCCAATCAATCTGATATAGTTTCTCATATGCATGTATCCTCCTGCCCTGCTGATATAATCTCTACTACATTTCTGAAAAAGGTCATGCTTGTCATTGCTCCATGTCTTCTCTCAATTGTCAGTAGTCTTTGTCTCTCTCCTCTGGCTGCATACTGGACTATTTCAAGACAGCCAGTGTCTTCCCCCTCCTCAAAAACCCATCCCTAGATGCCACAGTTTTAGTGAAAATTCTAGAAACAGTTGTCACCAGCTTGCGGAACATTAAAATAATAAAGAAATTTCAACCTGGCTTTCATCAGAAATACAGCACAGAAAGAGCACTGCTCAAAGTAACAGATGATATTCTCATGCATGCAGATAAAGGAGAATATTTCATATTAGTTTTGCTTGACCCATCTGCTGCCTTCAACACCACTGTTTATGCCATTTTAACTGATAGATTACTAAACTGGGTTAGGATCTCTGGTACTGCGCTCAAATGGTTCAACTCATACTTGTCTGATTGACACTTTTTCACATCAACAATGATGTCTTCCTCTGCTCCTCTCCTATGTGGAGTCCCACACGGGTCGATCCTTGGACCTATTCTGTTTCATATGCTACCTCTGGGTCATCTGCTTAAGTTCTCCATTGGTGTCTAACCATTACTATGCCAATGTCTGACTAACATGTGTCATGTACATAGGTATTCTTGTGTGCTAACTGAAAACAAAGCATATATGAATGTGTACTGCAGAATGTAGTAAAAAATTTGGACACAGAACATGAACTGATCTATTCTGGATCTCTAAACTGCTGCAAAAATAATGATAGGACAACAGCCCCATCATGCTTTGTGTCTTTATGAGAATGGTTGAGAATACGAACATGAATTTGAGTAAACTGCCTGTCTGTTTCACCTTATGTTAGCCATGACAGAGTCTGCAGGCCGCTGTCCCTCCACCTCCTCTGTCTCTTCCATCTCTCTGGTGGAGATCAAGGCCGAGACTCATCTAGTCCTCCAAGCATTCCTCCATCGGACCCTTTCTGTCCCCTTGAAAGAGAGGCCTGGCGGAGTAGGAGGCGCCTACAGAGATCACAATAAGTTCAGGTAAAGTAACTCCCCCACCTGGGCCTCTGCTATTCTATGCTGTTTGTTTTTTTGTGTTGCTGTTCTCAACAACACACTCCATTTTACTACCATTTACCTCAGACTGGATGCTGATGTCAAAAAAGGACCAAATATCATTTCTAGTCTCAGCAGCATTTTATTTTATTAATCTGCCTTGGTCTGATTAACAGAGAGTTATCCAAATAGCATATGCTCAATATCCTTACTGGTTAAATGGAGAGTTAATAATTCTGCAGAAGGTCCGTTGATATTTGAATTCACCTGCCAAACAAATACTCCCCTCCCTTCAGTGCTCCCTCAGAAGCTCCGCCCCCACAATTTCAAATCTCTGAGGTTTCTCCAGCATTGAAACGCCTTCACCGTTGCCTGCTCATATAAGTTTCTTCTCTGTTTATGCTCTTCAGACCTTTTCCTCTTTGGCTGTTTCTCGACCATCTGTTCTTCTTCACAGAGCCTGGAGTCCAGTACGTTCCAATGTGACGCTGTATAGAACTCTCGCTGCCCCCCTCCCCCATCCCTTCTGTGCTCGAGCACTAACTGCCTCTGATTAGCTAGAACAATGTTCTAGCTAATCAGCACTTTCTTTGTGTTCCACTTGCAGAGCCAGGGCTGTGTGGGAATACCAGAGACACAAAACAAAGAGCTTTCAAACCATGAGGAAATGGCTGAATTTAACAAAAAGTGTACTGGATTACATCACTCAGTATCCCACAGTCCCATGTGACAGCAAAATCCAAAGCAAATATCAAGCACTTCCACTGGAGGCAACCAAAAGATTTGTCAAAATAGAGTGATCACTGTTTCACCATTTGTCATTTATTACTCAAAATCTGATGCAAAACATGTTTTGAAATTGTTCAGAGGTGTTTTGCTGAATATTGAAAGGCTCAGACATGGCCCTGAGAATAACGCCGAATGCACACAGCATTTGTTTGTAAAGCTTTTATGATGTTTACCAGCATAAATAGAGACGCTCATTTAGATGTGCTAACAGATGCTTTTTGGCTGTACGTGACATAACCTTTCATTGCATTACATCTTTCTCTGTCATCACTCATTAAATATGTCAGGATAGGCTATCTCACATCACAGCTGCTGTCATTAAAGAGTCATTTAGTTTCTTTTGTCTGACGCTGTCATGCTCATACAAAAATTATTTCATCTGCAGCTCAGCAGTGTGGTAATGATTGCTGGTCAACTTCATATGACAACAGAAAGAGAAAAATGTTTAAATGAGAAAAACTATATGGTGAAACACAGGGGTGGAGATCACGAGTCTCACAAGTGAATGTCACTTTAGAGACTGGAACACCTGACCTGTGTGTGTAAAGATGGCAGTGTTTTATAAACACTGAGTTAAGTTTGTTTACTGTGAATGTAAGAAACAATGAGCACTGATAATACAGTTCAATATTAAAAATTCATTTCAGCAGAGCTAGAAATGTGAATGCATATATGGACTATGAACGTATCTATTTAAGACAAAGTGAATATAAGTTCATCTTTTTTTTTTCGTGATGGATTTTAATGATCAGGACTTGAGATCTATCAAGATGAAGTGTTGCATTGTGGGATATGTTCCTAACTTAGCCCTGTTGTTCACCATACTTTGATGCTTTCCCATGCTAGCGCCAAGCCACAACCAAAGGCAAAGGATGTGCAGGATTCTCAGGTGGAAGATGTCAGTTCAGCCGATGAGAAGAAGACCAGCTTGAAGGGCTTCATAAAGCAGCTGCCTCGTCGTAACACCTCACGCCGCGCTGCCAAAGACCCCAAAGGCTCACTGGACAGGGACAGCAGGGCAAAAACGTCACATCTCAGAGACCGAACAGAAGTAAGGAAGTGTTATTTTTCTTAGGCAGTTTAACCTTTTTTTTTGTTGACAGGTATGATGCATATAGGCATTGTTACATGTAAATAAAATGCAACCGATGCAGTGTATAGGACTTCATTCATTTGCAGTCCTTGTCCATAGTTAGGCTCCTTAGGGTAAAACGCATTATACAATACTCAAACTCAAGCATAGAGATAAACAATAAAACAACCACTAGACAGTAATTGAATCCAACTGAGAACACAAAAAAGGATAGAAAGTATGTATACTATATAAACCCATCTCATTTGCTTTTGTTTAAGCCATAGTTGACAGCTTTAAAATCAGTTAAATGTTCTTATTTCTGATGACAGGGTATTCCAAGTCTGTGGGCCTTTGATCTGAAATAGCACTGACTGTGAATAGTCATGGCAACCTCTTGAGTGCAGGCTTTAGGCCTTTAGCCTTCTTTGATGGATGTTAATTATTATAATTGTTCACAGTTTAACAGAATGAGACCTGGCATATTTGAGAGAAAGACAAATCAGTCTATAGACAAAACATTTTTAAATATGGTTTCTGCATGACCATCATCGGACCATGCAGGACCGAGTCTGTTCCTCCTCTCATTCTCATCACGTTAATTTTAAACCTGGCAGACATTTATGACTGGAATTGGGACATACATAGAAAGTATTCATAACACACCTTAAGCAGAAGAACCTTTTCCCACAGGATGATGTCATGTCCTCTTCATCAGACGAAGAGGACAGTGACAAGAGACAGCAGAAGAAGCTGAAACAAAAGAGGATTTATAAAAAGATCTCCAAGTTCTTCAAGTTAAAGTTAGAGAAAGAGAAGGACAAAGAGGAGCATGGAGCTCATCCTCAGAGGCCTCACACGTTGTCAATCAACAAGGAACCAGAGCCTTTGCCGACCGTCATCTCGCCCAGTAAGCTCCTCCATTGCACTACAAACCAGCTTTAGCTTCAGTGGTGGTAGTTAATCAAATGCTGCAAATCATGAAGTTAAAAAGTAAATGTGGAATTTTTCAGTGCTTCAAATCTGTACACTAAAATGATTTGTATCTCTAAGCCAGTCTGTCTATCAGTGTAGGGAGTGTGTTTAACACAGAACTCGTAGAAAGCTAAAGTGTTACCTGGTTGTAACCCTGTGTTCTTGTGTGCATGGAAACATTCAGTACTTTATGTAACTACAGTAGGTGTAAAAGCTGAATGTTTAACATAGAATGAAGATTTCCATCTCAGACACTTGTGGTGGTTCATGTTGATATAGACCACCCTCCTGAGTTCTATAATGAAGTAGCAGAGAAGCTGGAAAAAATTGCCAAGAAGTCCACCAGTATGAAGAAACTGGCTCCCACAGTCCAGCATTCAGCAGGTAATCACACGCACACACACACACGACTTTATAAGCAGTTTCACCAACATGTTTTATTTTGTAGTTTCTATCATTGTACTATTGACCAGTAAAAACCAACCAGAGAGAAGCCGATTCTTCATGAGCTGTCCTCATACATCACTGTGATTGGCTCAGCTGAGACCAGTGATGTGACTTCACACTCCACTAGTGTTGTAGTCAAGACCGCCCAAACCGAGACCAAGACAAGACCAAGACTAGAGTTTATCGAGACCGAGACAAGACCAAGACCAGTTCCCCACATTACATGACACACAATAAAATGTGGAACGAGATCAGAGGTACATATTGATCTAAAAGATCCAGATTCCCATTAAAACACCCACATACAAACACTAAGAGCTGAAATCAATGTAAGTATTGCGGGGGGTGACAGTCGTCAAGGGTAACAACACATTTTTAATTAGGGTTATTGGCTGCATTTCAAGCAAAACGTTTTACAAACGGATAAATCAGACAATGCAAAAGCAATTTCTTGATATTCCCAAAGTAAGAAAGAAATAAGAAATAAAATCCCGAGTCCTCAATGTCCGAGACCGAGACGAGACGGAGTACAAATGCAGTCGAGTCCGAGACGAGACCAAGACCATCAAAAAGTGGTCTAAAGACCGGTCTCAAGACCAAGACCAGTCTTGAGTACTACAACACTCCACTGCCCTCAGCATGCGTGTTTGCCTACATAGCCTAGACAGTGAGCGTAGCACAGTCCCCATCCAAAACATTTGAAGGATTTTATTGGAGACATTTTGTAAAATTGTAAAAGAGATTAAAATGCAGTAACTCTACAGATTTCAGAGAGTGGAGTAAATGACAAGCATAATACACAGCAACATTAAAGGCATGGTTTAAACATATCCATTTTCCATTTTGTACAAAAAAGGGCTTCCTCCTCAAACACGGCCGGCTATCCAAAAAAACACACACTGAATGAGTTTTTAAACTCCTTGTCAAGGGGGACGACATAGTGATGGATGTAGATACACATGTGCTCCTTGCACTACTGAGGCTTCAAACAAAATGGCTGCTCCTAAGCATTTATCCCATACACCAGTAGGAAGCAGTGTTTTTCAACTAAATGACTACTGGGGCCAGAATACATGACTGTATGTAACAGGAACAGTGCATTTTAAAAACCTTTCTGATAAAATGCCAGGGCCAGAAAGGCTTGTTTTCATCAGTAGTCCCCAGGAGGGCGTTGGATGAATAAACGGAGGGAAAGATGTGAAGAATAAAAGCAGTGAAAATACAAGCGACGGTAAAAGCAGTGAAAAATATGCAGATACAATCAGAGCCTGCACTACACAGGCAAGAGAGACTGACACATATGAGCAGGCCTTTTCAGTCAGAAACTAGTCTAAAGAGTGAAGCATAAACGCAAACCACAAGCTTTAGGGCCCATGTTCCCAGACTGTAAAGCTGTTGCTTCTGTTTTTCAGCAGTGAGTGAGAAAGAGACAGTGGTTCGGGAGCTTGTTCAGGTGCTCTCTTTGGAGGGAGATTCCATCAACAGTAAGGTAGGTGGTGGTTCATCTTTAAGGTGTGTAAAGCTGCATAATTCATTTGTCGAATATTGGCAGCTCTTTGGGTTGAGAGGAGACTCTCAATTTAGGTGATTTCTGACCCACAAATTCTGTGGGTCAAACTGCATCACAGTGCAGTTTACATCAGTAAACTGCACTGTGATGCTTAATGGAAACATTGGACATTAATGAGCGCGGCTTGTTGGTTTTGTTGCTCAGCATTTGCCACCTACCAACTAATAATTTTTACATATACCAAAAACTAGTTGAGTAGAAATACAGCAGCAACAGACTCAAAAACTGATGAATATACAACATAGACACAGTGTGCCCTCACGTTTCTCTGCGTGCAACTGGCTCTGTCAATATTACTAAATGCACATCTTTATACAGATCGAAGCGAACCCCTTCCTGCGCTCCAGCTTGGATCGTCTTTCCTATGCATCCTTTGCCAAGCTTCTAGAGACTTTCAGCAGCAGTCAAGTATCTGAGACCCCAGCCGAGCCGCCAACAGCTAGTCAAACACTGCGCCACATAGCTGTCACTATGGAGGTATCACGGCGGATAGTGACCGCCACAGGAGCCCAGCGCATGCAAGGCTACGCGGAGTGCTATATGGAGACCTTTGTCCCCTGGGTCAAAAGCCATGGAGGATGGGTGAGTGATTTCATGAAAACCTTTTTAACTTTCATTTATCCAGTAATGCCATCTCTCATATAGAAGGCGGAATTCTAATTATGGCCACATGTCAAATAATTATTCTGGACAATACTCATTTCCAAACAGTAACTGGGGTACAGAAAAAAGCAATAGGTGCTCTGCAAAGATGAGTCAGAATTTGCAATATTTGGCTGCACCAAAGGCAGGTTATTTGCAGAAGGGCTGGAGAGCTGTACAAGAATTGAGAATCTGGTCAAAATGAATGGTCTCCAAAACATCAGCGAAAGTCATTCAAAACTATCTTCAGCGTTAAGAAGAACAAGAAGTCCTGGAAGTGATGTGGCCTCCGCTGAGCCCTGCACTCAACATCATCCACTCTGTCTGCGATTACATGAAGAGAGAGAAGCAACTGAGGCTACCTAAATCCACAGTAGGACTGTGGGGAGTTTTCCAAGATGATTGAGCCTAACCTACCCTCTGAGTTCCTTCAAAACCTATGGGCAAATGTACCTAGAAGAACAGATGCTGTTTGAAGGCAAAGGGTGGTCACACCAAATAGTGATTTGATTCAAATTTTTCTTCTGTTCACTCACTTATCAATTTTTTTCATTGATAAACATAATCTATAAATATGTCTATTTTTGAAAGCATACTTACTTTACATCATGTTGTTCACACTGCTTTTGCACAGTAAAAGTATATTTTGAGCTTATTTTCCTCTGCTTCTGCTTATCACCTAACGTTTTATTTCATCTTCAGGAGAATGTGGTACACATGGACGACTCTGTAGAGTACGACTGAGTTCTAGGAGCTCCCACGTGTCTTGGTTTATTCCCACTATCCACTGGTCAACTCTGAGCTCTGGATCGTGACAGCAAAGTGAGGAGAGACGGATGGTCCTTACTCTGCTTTTCCACGGAGTCTCATCTGGACTGTGAAATGACTCCAGAAGCCCCTTTGATTTATGTTGATCTGGGATCTGGACATCAGAAAGTACTTTGACTGTTTTTACATGGTCAGAAGAAGAAGCTATTTGTTGCTCATGATGAGTGTGGATTATTTTATGAAGACCTGAGAGGCTAGATGTTAGAAGAAAGCAGTAAATGTTATTTTCTGATTGTTTGACGGCAGTTACATTCTAAAGCTGCAGATACAGACACTGCCACATACTGTTAGTGTGCCATAAGGGATGATTGAGGCGAATTCCTTTTGAATGAGTCATGAATGAGTGTACATTGTTATAATATCACAGAGTACGGACTAATCTATATGAAAAGTGCAATGAGATAACCTTTTTTTTTTTACATTTAAATGTTATTTTAATTTACTTGCTTAAGTTTGACATATCAGAGAAAGAAAAGAAGCATCACATCGTCAATGCAATAACTATTTATTTACAGCAAAATCTCTGTGAGGGAAACGAGAGTAACAGGAGGAACAGAAACCAGAATGCTGCACAAACCTGCACTAATAACCTCTGCCAGACTGTCCAGTTTCAGTATGGAGTGCTCTATTGAAAAACCCTCAACCTAAAACCTCTGTAGCCTAAGGGAGCCTGATCATGGTTCAGGTTGTAAAGCCATTTTACAAGGTATTAAGCTGTACAGAATATACTCGTGACTTGAGTGTTTATTAAGTTATTTATTACAAGGCATTTTACATACCATTGCTATGAGACATTAAGCTCTGCACTGCACGTTTTTAATAGTTGCATTACCTTAGTTCAAAGAAGCGCACTAACATACAAGCAAGAGACCGACATCATCCACCATCCCACACCCAGTCTCTCAGACAAGAAGAGCCATCACACGGCGAGCACTCAATCATCCCTTCACATTGCTGCCGTCTGGTCAGAGATACAGGTCTGTGAAATGGAGGAGCGCTCGCTTCAGGAGGAGTGCACACATGTATATTATATATCAATATGATTCTGTGTTGGACTGGCCTTGAAAAGAAATCTTCCTCTGGGACAATAAATTTAAATATAATCTAAAGAACGTCCACAGACTATATCACACTGTTTTCATAACATGATTTAAGTCAGGGACAATTTCAGGGAATTGATTCAGCTGGGTCGAATGTGAGCCACACCAGAGATGTGTTAAGCATAATAATTCTTCAACTGCACGTCCATTTCTCACCTCAAATGTATTCAGAAGCTAATTTTGGTGGATGGTTTAGGAGTATGTGGGAGTTAAAAATTGGAAGTGAAGACCAATGACAGTTCAGAAAGAAAGGCGATAGTGGCCTGTTATCGATTACACAGCCTGCATTGATCTGCCAGGCCCACATGACAGAAGAGAGTGGCCTCTAAGTAGCTTTCAGTCTGTTTTGAGAAATATTTGTGCTACAGTAGCCCGCAGTAATGAGTGTAGGACTTAATCCAATGAAATCATAATAAAAAAATCCAAGTTTGAGATTCAGCTGCACTTCTTCCAAAGAAGCAGACATAACTGTTGTATGAATCACCTAAAGCACACCATGGGGAAATGATCTTAAATGATAAGGCTAGCATTACTTCTTTTTATTAGCAACAGTTCACTTTAAGAGATAAAAACAACAAAGAATCATGGATATTGTATTAGTGGGCTCTGTGCCATTAAACTCCACTGTCCAAACATTATTAAAATCATCGACCCCTGCTGCATTGAATGATATATTCCTGTATTGTAGTGAACATGGTGAGCGTTTTACTTATCACAGCATATCACACACAGCAAACACACAGTTTTTTTTTTTCTTCACCGTTTTATCAGGCTGTGGCTACTTTTGTTATGTTGGATAGAAAAAGATTGTATAATCAGAGAGAGAGAGAGAGGAAGAAGCGAGGAGAGTGGTGTTCTGCTGATTGCGAGGAACTGGTTTGTTGAGGCTGATGAACAATGAATGCTAACTCTCATCTCGTTTGGTTTGGATATGTTACCTAAATAAACTAAAACCAACAACGAGTTTGGTTCACAGTTGGCGACACAAGAATGGGGCCGACCTAACCACCCAGTTCAGTGAGCGGAAAGCTAGTGGAGCTCACCAGGGTCCAGGGAAGGCCTGTGTGTTGTGGTCTGTACAGCTGCTAGACCTAATAACATATATATTTTTCCCCCACACTGCCTGTGCTGTGGAATGCTGGCTGTATCCTTGTAATGTTAAAGTAAACACAAGTCCAGGATCCGGTTCATAAATGCACCCCTGGGTTCATGTAGACTGAGGCCAGTACTTTGATGTTGGTAAACTGGTGGCAGCGTTGAATTATATTAATCCATTACCACCGTTGACTGGCAAACAAATCTTTTTCCTTATGTGGAGAGTCGCTTGACTCTGAAAAAACTCTTTGGTTTACACTCTATAATATAATACTAATGCCGAATGAGAAAAATATCATATATACTATTGAGCTACATATATTACAGTATATGCTCTAAAAAAAGATAGACAATTGGATAAACTGTAAATAAGGACAATAACAACTGCCAGAGAAATAACCATGAGTTACAATAGGAATATTCAAAAATACTGCAGTGATGATTAGATAAAATAAACTGAAATAAAGGACTGTAAATCTGTAAAGTCACTGAACCAGATATGTTCAAAGTGCTCATATACTGTAGTATAGGAATAATATACAAGGCAAAGCAAATTATTAAAGTGAACTAAGTGCCACATAAAAAAATATTTTCTTCTGTGTGCTATTTTTTTTACATGGCCCTGCTTGTCAAAAGCATGTCCCACCATTATAGTGCTCGACTTAACACACAAACTGAACCAGCAGGTTATAAAGTTAAGGGCCCTCTCTTCTCTTCTTGGCAACGTGGACGGATAATAATGAAGTTATGAATGGTGAGTGAAGTTACACTTTTCTTGCAGTCTTACTGAGTTACAGAATGCAGAATTTACAGTATAGCATCATTTATAACAAATTTCACACTAAACTAAGGGGAGAGACAGGAGAGGCAGATATGTGTGTCTTTTTGTTCTTGAATTTGAAGACAACTTTGGATCTCAGTATTTCCCCTCAGGTCACTCTGCATTCATTGTTTTGTATGGAGGCTGTTGGATTCTATTATATATATTTATATGGCTGATACAAACCAACCTCCTCAGTATGTTACTGCTGGCTTTGTCCGTACCGCCAGTGTCGACTGTGTACATAGTTTTTGAGAAGTCTTAAGGGGCGTTTGTAACCTGATACCTCATGTTCTATAAAAGGCACCCATTTCAGGTCTGAACACAACCTAAGCACTGGAGCACCACAGTCTGGAGCGGAGGCTTTGAAAATGTAGAGCAGTTTAGGGTATACTGAGGAGTTCATGAAAAGTCTTTCCACCACGGGCCAGTGAACAGCTGGTTGTGCAGTCAGTCCAAGTGCTTCTCAGCGCAACGAATTTGACAGTACATCAGCATGGAGAACACCAGGGCCAAGATCTGACAAGAGAAGAGGAAGTGTACAGGTCAAATCACATTGTCACCAGCCAGAGAAGAAAAACTTCGTAACAGCTGGATCCTGTTTGGAGCTGTTATTTCGGCGCTGAGTCTTTGACATTGTTGTTCTGACCCGCTGTAGGGACCTTCCACTGTGTGTGTAGTGACTCTGTTATAGGTGCCTTATTTACATTTATTCATTCAATTGTCAGAGGTCGCACGCCTCTGGAGCAACTAGGGGTTAAGTGTCTTGCTCAGGGTCACATTGTTAGATGTGTCACAGTGGGGGATTGAACCCGGGTCTCTCACACCAAAGGAATGTGTGTTAGCCACTGCTCCATCATCACACCTTATGGTGTTAAATACACTTTTTCCTTTATTCATAGTGTAAGCACTTTTATGTTACGGCTGTATTGAGATTCACTACAAAAAACAGATATAAAAGCATTGTAAAGACAGTAAACAAGTGTAAATAGAGTATTTAGTGCACACCGCCCTTGCCAGACAAGAACCTTTCCAAAATGCCTACTTTTAAGGAAGTAAGGAAGAGTGTAAGGAAGTGGGCAAAGCTTAATAATAAAGTTTTTGTTTAATAATCTGCTGGAGAGATATAGAGATGGGGAAACAATCACATGATAAATAAAGATTGGAGATAACTACCTGCACAACACCAATAAATACTCCGAACATCAGGACTGAGGGGATGTTATCCAGCAGCCACTGCCTGGCCTTCTGATAACACGGCTGCAGAGGACAAACAGAGACAGAGGGCATGAGGGAGGGAGTATTAGAAAATTAATCTGAGTGAGGATGAAGTGTAGAGACAAGTGAAGGGAAGAATGATTTAACCTATATATGCGCAGACATCTGCATGATAATGCTCACAGAGTTACATAACGGACAAATACTTAATAGTATTACAACTTTGGTCGTATATATTTGTTCTGCCCACTCTTCCTTACAGAAATAATAACAACACTACAATGAAAACTCATCAGCCAAACTCATTTGGAAGAGAAAATGAAGAACAATAAAACTGATTGAAAAATGATTCCCCAGACTTCCTGTTGGAACATATGCGTCATAGTTTGTGGATACACTGCCTCAACTTTGACCTACTGAGTTTGACCTCCAAATTAAGTAGCTAAGATCATCTGGATGCACATACATACACAACAAAATAGGTCAATTGTCAAGTATCCCAAAATGACATATATATGACCGTTGGCAGGCACATGCACACATAGACATCAAAGGGGATCAGCACCTGCCCCTTTTCTTCTTCAAGAGAAAGTGCCCAGCAGGATCTCCCAGCTCGACTAACGCATGACTCATGAGCTACAAGCTAATGTAATAACTTCGCTAAAGTTTAGCTAAGGCAATATCTCATGGCCATACAGGCTAATGTGCTGTACTTAATGGAGACACTACAGGTGAATGCAGTAACATTTGTGTCTAATAACGTCATCACCATTGCCACATTAGTATGCAGATTAGGCTTTGATTATTTGCATACATTTGAAAAGGCGCTGCAGGTGAATAGGATAGACAAAATAACAACAGTATATCACCTCAGAACTTCCTCAGTTAATGACCTACATCAACAGTCTTTTCCCCTTAAATGCTGTGTTTAAATATTAGGGGTGGGAATCACCAGAGGCTCCACGATACAATATTATCATGATATCTATGTTGCGATTCGATTTTATTGCGATTTTAAATATACTGAGATATATTGCAATTTTTTACCTTTTTCCAACTTCCAATTAGGTCCCTAAAGTCAAACTTTGTCAACATCTGTTTATCTAAAAAGGTACATTTCTCTGTTTGTTCATATCACTTTTTCAGTCTTCTATATGGTCCTGTTAAGTTTTCTAGTGGACTAAAAAAGCAAAATTTTATTATTCTAGTACCAAAAAGTTAAAAATCCCATCTGCAATTTATATAATATCGATACTTGGCGTCCATGTATTGATACAGTATTGCCATGGCAAATATCAAAATGCTATGCTGTATCGATTTTTTCCCCCATCCTTATTAAATATGCAGAATAGTTTGTTTTGGTTAATTTAGAAAAAATCTACAGATGCAGACAGACAGAGGGTAGTAGGATTAAAGCAAACACCATCTAAATGTGAAGTTTTCTTTCCATTTGAGTAAAAGAAGACATGGAATCAAAATAGGCCAAAATTGTGGACTCCATAAAAAAGTGTCCTGCTTTAAACATTAATAATTTTGATCGTAGGCTCCTCATCTAGTAAGTATACATTCTATTAGTCTGTTGAATGCTGATATATCTTCACATGATACAGACAGCCCTCCCTCAAATGTGAAACTAAGTCCTTGTCACGTGTGTGTGTGTGTGTGTGTGTGTGTGTGTGTGTGTGTGTGGCTTGGTTGTGTGAAGCTGAATGTGAAACTAAACATATTTAAACAATTACTTTTAATGTCCCTCTCCTTGGTGCAGTCATTTATTCTAAATACATTAGAAGTGCCCCTTTTTTTCAGCTGAGCCCCTGCCCCTCAAAATGTCTGTGCACGTCCCTGACCATTGGAAAGTACCAGTCCAGTTACAGGCATACCGGAGCTTAAGTATGACGTTACATATGTGGTTAATGTCGTGAAACGGTAGCAATTTTGTTAGGTTTAGGCAACAAAACTACTTTGTTAGGTTTGGAAAGAGATCATGAAGGTAAAAACGTACGTTGCATAAGTCACTGCTCGGGTTTCTTGCCCCGTCGGACTACAATGTAGTGATGTTAAAGCGTTCTAAGATCACAGCAATTAGTCGGTGAGCTCAAAACTAGACAATAGTCAAACTATGAAAAAAGACCCAACTTATAATAAAGTGAACTGACTTTAAAGTTAAACAAAAACAACAACACGTTGCTGCCAGTTGGCAAAAACAGTGAGAACTTCGACCTAAATGTTACACACAAGATTTTTAAACTAATTATCTCAAACTAAATCTGAATTTATTCCAGATGGGTGAGCCTGACACACATGAAGAATGTACGGAATGTTTTTAACAGCTGTGTGTGTGTGCAGTACCATTTTCTACAAAACAAGTTCGTATAGGACCACTGGCCGCAAATACTGGATGTAGTGTGCAGTTCGGATTCCACTGTGTGAATTCATCGTGTGTGACGTGTGTGTCAGGCACACTCAAGCATCTGGAACACATTTAGGTTTCATTTCAGAGAATTGGGCAAAATGAAGACATCTTGTTAGTTGGAATGTGACCCCTCTAGAGCAGCAAACTAACCTCACTCCATCCGTCAACACACTGGTCTATCCCACCAGAGCAGCAGGATGAGGGCAGCGTTCCATTCAGCACATCATACCAGTCTGTTTTGTTAGTTACTCCACAGCATTTGAACTAGGAGAAGAGACAGTAAGACACAAAGAGTAGAGTAATATCACTCAACTACATTACTCATGTATGCACTACTGACTGGCATAACAGTGGAGTGGTGAAGTAACCTTATAGTAAACAAGGCCTGCTGGTATTGTAGGACTTATTTTAGCACTTTGTATCCCTTAAGGGTACTGTGTCTATTTTTGAAAGGATTCTTACTTTTTTAAAATTTTTTCCACACCTGCCTAAAACCTTTGCACAGGACTGCATAGTGACACCATGTATTCAGTGGTATACAGCCTGTCCTATAGTAATGCAACATAAGAAGTCATGCACCCATGAATTGTTTGCTAAGAGCACTCACCATTTTCTGGACACTGTCCCAGGATTTTTTCAGTCCAGGTTCTGATTTATAAATCTTCATACCTTCCTTTAATTCACCTTGTGCTTTGGAATCCAGCTGTGAGAGAAAGAAAGAAAGACGTATTCCTTCAAATGATCCATGAGTCAGTTATCTATACCCTTTAATGTAATGAACTTTGCAGTCTGTAGTAGGTGTCTAGATTGTTGGACTTGAGATAAACTTTCATTGCAGAGTTGTGAGCTTATTAAGATATTTATCCTCCTATCATTTTTCTAGGAATTTTGTATTCCTTTTTTAATCTTATTACCTTCATTGTTTGTTTTATTTGGAGCATGCGGTAAGCTTACCTTGTCATGGAAGATGTGTATAACCAACACCAGAGTCACCTCTGTCAGGACCAGCAGCAAAAGGATCACAAAGAACTGCAGAACAGAGAAGAGCAGTTGGAGTCTGACATTATAGTCTGTCAGTCTATCAGTGGAACATTGCAGCCCTTCACTAATGCTGGATTTCACACAACTTCCTCCAATTAAACCTTACAAAATCTGACGTCGTTGTACTTGGTCCCCAGGCTAATCGAACTGAAGTTTTGGCAAACTTATGCTAAGCCCTGGGCCAGAGATCTTGTGGTTGTTTTTGATCAGGACCTGTTTTGAACCCCATGTAAAGAAAGCTGCTCAGTTATGTTTTTATCATTCGAGAAATATAGCCAAGGTCTTTTAATTCAGCCACAGATCTGGAGAAACTCACCCATGCCTTCATCTCCCCTCGCCTCATCTAATGTAACTCCTTTTCTACCGGTCTCAGTCAGAAATCAATTCATAGCCTACAGTTAGTCCAAAATGCTGCAGCTCGACTTTTAACTCGCTGAAAAAATTAACCATATCTCCACAGTGTTAGCATCCTTGCACTGGCTGCCTGTTTTTTTTTAGGATTGATCTGGGCTAGCATCTTCCTATATCTCTAAGATATCTATTCTAAGGAACTGTGAGATCAGACTGGCAGAGGCTGTTCATGGTGTGACACACTTCTACAATACAGCTTTCAATGTGTGAAGTGTAAAGTATTTTCCCTTTACTTGTATATTGAATTGTTCATGTTTTATATATTCATTATTGTAAACATGTTTATGTTTTACATTGTTGTAAAGGACTTTGTAAAGCACACGCGTTGGCCTCTCACCATGAACAACAGGCAGCGCTGCTCCTTAAGGGCTCCAAGACAACCCAGGAAGCCAGTCACCATGGTAATGCCACCAGCGACCAGAAGCAGATTAGCAGCTGAGAGGGACGGAAAGGACAGGGGGAGAGAGGAAAACTCTGCCTGCGTGAAGGACAGCCAGACTCCAACGCCAAACAAGCCGCATCCTCCTAGCTTTTCAAGAAATGTGATGTCAAACCGGAGTCAAAATGCAACATTAATACATTACAATACATTGTTGACTTGGCATGTCTGTGGAAGTGTTGAATCATTTCAGGAGCATATTCAAATATAATTCTGCACAACTTTTTTATCAGAGATACGTTATCTTGGTCACAGAGAAATCTCAACCTAATTAATCTCAAATGAATTTTTGGGGAAAATGTAACAATAATTTTGAATAAACAAATATGACACCAACTTGGGGGTGAGAAATACTAACCCAGAAGATGAGGTTAAAGACGAACATCAAATATTTGACACAGCACAAACAACTCCGTGACACTGACATCCTGCAAAAGAAACAGAAACAGAGGAGCAAGAGAAAAAGTTTAAACATTGCTTCATGTCACCAGGTCACCAGTAATTTGTTTGATTTTTTAGCTACAAAGTGAAAAATATCCACATGGGCTACTATGGTTAAAGAACTTACTGGGGAATGAATGTACAGTTGCTTTTATGGCTTTGTGCTGTGTTTTGGGTTTCGTTGGTGAGTCACTAGGAGATGGGAAATGTGTATTGTAAAACGATAAAATGAGTGTGAATGTTCAGTCAATTCACTTAAATTAATCCAGTGTCAAACCACACCAGAGAGCTGTACAGATGGAACAACAGACAACATTTTTCTTGCTGTGCTAGTTCATCAGTCATGTTAGGATGTGGTCACCTCACAGCCACGATGGATAGGAGGAATAATTACAGCGACTAAGTCTTTCCATGCATGAGTTCATGTGACTTTAAGAGAGACTTGAGAATCCCTTAAACCAAGAATTCATTACATGCATAGCTGTTTTCTGTTGTTTTCCCCAACTATTTCATCATTTAGAAAAATTACCCTAGAGACACTTTTTAAAAACACATTATGAGTTTGTTTGTGTGTACGTGAGGAAGTCTGACTGAGTGGTCCTCACACCGACTACTGACCCCACACAGGAAGTCAAGCTGCTGACAGGAAGGAAGCTCCCTCCCCTCCTCAGTAGACCTAATTATACTGCTGAAGGCATTTCCCATGACCACAGCAAACCTGCGACTCACAGGAGAGCTCAGAGGCCAGATCTTTAAGGAACAAAGCAAAACTCTGAGGAAGCCATGATTCATGGCTAGTGAGGAGGAGGTGCTGCGATTAACTAGTAATGACATCAACCGTAATAGGTTGAATGTTTGTGAGATCCACCCCTCATCAATAGCCCATAAACAGCTCAGCTGGCAGAAGTTTTTGGGACTGGTGAACAGAGTGACTTACAACTAAAAGCATGACTGCTCCTTTCAGTTTTAAAATGTCTTTCTTGAGGCTGAAAACCTGATGATGCAGTTAGCATACTGTTTACTTAAAAGTAATAAGGCAATTCCTTGTGGCTTAAGCCTTCAAGTATGTTTTATAAACATGGGCATCTCACATGAAGGCAGTAATCACTACATATAATACTAAGTATGATACAGAATGACTGTTATTTTCATATTGTGTATACTGTACACCAAATCCACCTACCTCAAGTAAATAACACCTGCACATACTTATTTATTCCAGCATCCTTGCACTGTGCTCCATCACACTGTGTACATGTATGCATGTATACCTGTATATTTCATCCATCTCCAACATGAACATAATAATAATAATTCACACATCCTTTGCACTCTGCTCATTGTCTCATTCTGTCTATATTGTTTTTGTTTATAGTGTGTATACATGTGTTCTCTATACTGTAGCCTGTGTGTGATTTTATTATTGTATTATTGTATGAGTAAGCACATCATGAGCAATGTACAATCCTATGTCAACTTCCTTGTATGTGTACACTGTACGCTGATTCTGATTCTGTAAGGATGTTGTAGGGGACACTGGGGATGGTTGTAACATGTCCAATTTTTCAGATCAGAAACAAGTTAGAAATCACCTGATTCAGTCTGCACTCAGTTCAGTCCTTATTTCACATGGGATAAAGTAGCACCCTGTGGCACACAGCCAGTTTTAGAAGGAAAACTAATAATGTTGGAGGTAAGAAAGTATTTTTTTTACTTTTTATAGCATTGCCTGCTTTGTTATCTTTCATGCAAGTTGTTTGTGCTAATGGTTTACCTGTAAGCTGTAGGGTAAGCTAGTTCACGGCTACAAGAGTGTGGGATAGCTGTAACTACAAAGAAAATGTTACTGCCTACTCCAAGAAAATGTTTAGCTGTATTTATATGTTTTATTTGAATTCCAGTGTGTCTGTTGAATAAAAAGCTTTCAATATCATGTTTTTCTCTTATTACATAATGTTACAATTCACCCCAGGGCATGTTGCAACTAATCAGACTATGGGGTGAATTGCAATGTTTTACTCCTTGTGTTAGAGACTAAAACATGCATTTTCTGCCTGTGTTGTAGAGAGAACAGTTACACCATTTTCTAGCTGACACATAGAACTAGTTTGTAGCCCATTTTGAATGCACTGGCTACATACCAGAAAGGCCTCCACTACTCACTGTATAAAAGTAAAACAGTGGGAAAGCTTTTGGCCTTTTCGTGACAGTGCATGTTTCTATTAATCTATAAATACTCTTGTGTGAATAGACATGATCAGATTACCTACAGTAGGCTAATTAATCAACACCAGTAACCCTCACACGACCAGGCATTTCATTGCTACTTCTCATATCTCATAAAACTAAAGGCATTACTGTTTTTTAATGAATGAGTTAGTCACCTCTGACATCTATTCTAGGTGGTGTGTGTGTCATGCACTTTGGAGATACAGTAGAACACATGCAACAACCAGTTGGTCCCATTTATTAGGGCTCGAGCCGCCGCAGCTGCAGAGGCCAGACTGTAACGCAAAATTATTCTGCAAATAAATCGCATTTTTGACTTGATCAAACTTTACAAGCATGTCAGAAATGGCGAAAATGTACGTCTCATATGGGTCTCGGACAAAATGGTTGCCACACCCATAAATAGCCACATTATAAACGTCCCGATGTCAAAGATGAGATGCATTGTTTTTTAAAGAGTTTTAAAATGACCATAATGAAGTGTGCTACAATCAAACAGAATAGTGAGTTTCTAAAATCTAAAGCTGATGGCAGAGTTGCATATAAAAGATAGAAAACATTTTGATTAGTCTGCTATTGTACCAAGGAATATGTTGCAGCCAGTCAAACACCGGAATCAGCAAACAGCTTTAAAATGTCCTTTCTGATGATTTAGTGAGACTTACAGCTGGAAATCAAACGGACTTTACCTGGAGCCTCTGGTCTTTGTCACGCTTCTTTCCTTCAGCCTCTTGAACTTTACCTCGTTGTGTTGCTCAGATTTCCTTTGGACTGGTCACTGAAGCTGCCACACTTTCCTTCCTCCTCTTCCTCTGTGCTGTTGTTCACTGCTGGACTGTGTCTGCCGCTTTCAAAATCAACTTGTCTTCTTCTCTGATTCTGAACTTTATGTTGAAATCACCGAATTTTTAAACCTTTATTTTGTTGCTTTTGTTAAAATCTCTCTCTCTCTCTCTCTCTCTCTCTCTCTCTCTCTCTCTCTCTCTCTCTCTCTCTCTCTCCCCCCCTCCCTTCAGTTATTTCCAGATGTGTGTGTTGTTGCCGTCCCTCTCTGTGTTCCTCCCCCTCCAATTTCCCCCCTGTTACTCCTCCCTCCTCCAGCCTCCAGCCCCTCAGCTTGGCTCACTTATCCCACTTTTTTGTCTTTGTTCCTTCTGTCTCAGTGATGTTCTCTTACATAGGTGTCCATGCACATACTACACACCTGACCAAATGGTGGATTTAACATTACTGCTGACCATTTCCAAAGCTGTTTTAGTTTGAAATGTTTCAAGCCAGACACTGCTTTCTGTTCCTTTCACTACAATATGAACATCAACTTGCAGAGATTAAAAAGCATGACAGTGAATACATATATTATTTTTGTCATAGTTATGTTATCATTGCCTAGAAATGAGTGCAGAATGATTCTGGAGAAAATAATCTGCAACAAGACTGGATGAAGATCATATTCCTGAAACACTTGCACCTCCTCAGTATTTTGGTGACTCTATGCTGTGCATTAAAACATAACCTGTGAAGAGGTGATGAGTAGTCATCATCTTTTCCCGGCTTCATCAATTCCCCAAATTGATGAAGCCGAATGACACAAAGGGACGCCTTTCTCCTGCTGAGCTGAATGGTAAACACAGCCCCACCACCCAAAGCACTCAGACTCAGACTCAGACTAGACTTGCCTGTCTCAGTGTAGCCTCTCTCTCAAAGAAAAAAAAAGAATATTGTAAGAGCTAATGTTGTGGCAGCATAAAGAAGAGTCCTAAAAGGTTTACAGGAAATCTCAGTTTTGACCTTTTTAATTGTGTACGGCACTTCACACTGTCAACCAAAATCAACTTTCTGCGGACATCAGCAGATTCTCTTGATACAAGCAATCTTCTGTTTCTTTTTCTACAGTAATTCTCTTTTCTACATGTGCCTGCACATTGTGTCATTTTATTGAATTATTAAAGGTGCAATGTGTAAGAACTGAGACCACCCTCCACCTGTTGAATTCATACTCCAAAATATAGGGGGCAGCATTTCAGGTCAATACTGCTGCTAACTGAAGTTAGCTCAGTTAGCCGTGCAGCTAACTTATCGATCATAAGTTACACACACATCTTAAACGTGACATCAGAAGTGTTACTTCTTCACATTCTGTTGATAATGTTTGTTCATTTTTTGAATGTTTTAAATTCAAATCTCTTCTTTCTCACTTACACATTGCACCTTTACATTTATAAACTTGATTCTTACATTTAGGTTAAAACATTAAAATTTAAACTTTCGTACAGTGTCTTTAGTTTCAGAGCACATATTACAGCAGTGTGTTCATCATTTTCCACTGTCAATCATATACTGCAATAGTGCCACAGATGGGGAATCAAGTTTGAGACTCGGACTCGAGTGCGACTTAAGTCGCACACACAGTGACTTCGGACTCGACTCTGACTTGAGGTGCGGGACTCGTGAACAATGTTTATTTTAGGAAACGTCTGATGAGCTCGCTGTTATTCCCTCCCTCTGTTACCTATAACCTGCCTACATAACACGTAGCATCTGCTGCGCGCGGCCACACGTGAAAGAGGACAACAAACACCGCAGCTGCTGAGCCATTTATCATAAACTTTGGCTTTAAAACTTCATACAACGAGACCCAAACAAAGAAGGGCTGAACGCACATAGGTTAGTAACCTGAGGTTAGTAAATATGTTTAGCTCAGCATTGGCCTTCTAACATTAGCTTGCTTCTTGCTTTAGCTACGACCTTCGGGAGGTTTACTCTGACTGTCGTTCGTTATGAAAAGATGAATGAGCGTTTGTTTACTTGCCAAACTTGTGGTGGTCGATTAACATAATCATTTATGTCCCGCTGGCTGCCATCACGGTAATTATTAACGTCGGCTGCAACAGGTTCCAGGTTTATTGCTGATCATGTAACGTTACAGTTTTATTTAGTTATAACGTTACACTGGTTTGAGAGTCTGGGGGATGTGTTGACTTACAGTAGTTTATAAGCTGTCATTAGTTGTTGACGCATTGTACATTAGGCTACATGGTTGTGTTCTGTAAGTGAAAAACAGGTTACAGTTTCCTAATAGCTATGCAGTGTTCTAAGCAGCCTGGATTAAACGCAGCAGGTTATACGACATTCATTATAACCACAAGTGACTTGAGACTTGACTTGGACTGTACCTCAAAGACTTGAGACTTGACTTGGACTGTACCTCAAAAACTTGAGACTTGACTTGGACTGTACGTCAAAGACTTGTGAGCATCTCTGGATAGTGAAAAAAGGATTTTCTTTTGCTTGCTCCCATGGCATATTTATAAAATACATTCATATCCAGAGACAGAGTTCTGTGATTTGTGGGTGTATGTAATACCTGGAGTTTCTTTCTTTCTATATGTTTTGCTGGAAGGGTGTGGCCCAGAGTGAAGGGAAGGTGACGTTTGTACTTTGGGGCCAGAGGTAAATAACTGCTGTTGCAATGAACACTACAGGGTGAGACTACTAAACAGTGGGTTTAGTGTTAATTTACTTTTTTTATAAAGAAAAATAAGCTGGATGAAAATGTTTGTTGCTTTGATAGATACAACACACTTATTATCATCATCTCCTTACAACTCCAAGAAGAATACATGCATGTATGCATAGCACATCATACAGCTGTAATATTTAATCACTCCCAAGTTTTTCCCACAGCAGAAACACATGGGTTTCTTAAGATTTGGTCCCACCAAACAACATAAATAATAGCTGAAGCATCATTTACAACAACATCAGAGGCTTACTGACTCTGTTCATTGTCAGTTTCTCTATTTCCTGGATGTGTCACTTTGTCTTTGCGGGGAGAAGGAGTACTCCGCTTTGTGATGAATAATCAGCTTGTTGTTGACAAAGTAAAAACTGTCCGAGCGCGTCTCAAACGGGTTGGCAATCATTTCTTCAACTGAGCAGAGCAGAGCAGAGGAAAGGAGAAACATGTTCAGCAGGAGTTAGACATTGTAAGATGTAAGGTTGAAGACTATTTCTACACTAATGCAGAAATCCTAATACAGAACATCACAAAATATTCCACTTGATTTGACTCTGTGTGATTATTGTTCCATCAACATATTTAGGTTTATTTTGGGAGTGCACCATCTTAAATTATTCTCGGCAAGAGGACGTAATGCTTTTCTATGTCAAGAAAGGGTACAAACAAAATATTAATGTTTGGTATTAAAAGTAACTACCCCACTAATATGGGACAGGCTTTGCTTGACAAACAAGATCTTCATATTTATTTGCATTAGTGTTGAAAGAAAGGGTCTGTGTGTGTTTGTGTAGTAGTCATTTAATCATACCTGCTTCTGGGTCCAGGTCAGGTAAGCAGTAGATGTGCTCACAGGTGTTTCTGCTGTGTGGGATGCAGAAGCCAATCTCAAAGTCAAAGGTTTTAAGCAGGAGGTTCCTGAAAAAATGCCTCTCGATCAGACGGAAGCGGCTCAGTGACTTGCTGCCCACTGTGAACTCCAACCTGAGAGACAGGCGGCGGATCAGCTCACAGTGACCCTCCTAAGAAAACATCTTCCTTACTAGAGTAATTATTTGAGTCCCACAGTCATAACATTTAATGGACTTAGACACATGGACAGCAAGTCCAACCATATCTGTGTCTATGACAAAACAAAGTCTCAGATTTCGGTAAGAATGCATGTCTGTAAAGCTGTTGGACAACAAAAGACTAAATACATTTCAAAATAATAAAACATGAGTGACAGAAATACATTTCCTACATAAATAACTATTAATCATGTGACTTCAATGCATGTTAAAGGTGATCCAGGAGGCTTTCTTCCACAGTTGCTCAGTAAAAATTATTTTTTCCTTCCCACACATTCCTGCGACATTTGCTGAACATTCTCACTGCTTTCAGTCCTGTTTCAGTCCCAAGTAAATGTTGAGTTTTACTGAGCTCGTATAGACAAAGCATTTATTGTTTTTTAAATTTTAAGACTTACTAAATCTCTAAAAGTCTAAATAGCTCAAATGTGTGATAATTTTACACCATGTGTCCAGCCAAATTCTGGGAAAATATGCAAATGGATGGTAGATTTACTTCACTCACCAACCCAAAAACAGTGGTATTCTATTGAGTGGCTGGTACGCTTTAAGCATTCACTATCCATTGGCTTGTGGACAAAAAGTTAATGTTGCACTCTGTGTGTAACTGATTTTCAGGATTTCTTTTCAGCAAATAATGCCTCCAAATTAAACAATAAAATAGGTGGTATTGCTATGCCCTCTAGAATGTTACATGGAAGTGTTTTCTGATCTGACCCCTGTTAGCAGTCCAACTGTCTGTGCCTTCTAAGGGCCCGTTCAGACAGAGCCTGTTTTTCCAGTTGTTTTCAATAGGCAGTAAGCATTTGGGTACTAGTAATGCGCCATGTCTGCCTTGCATTTTAGATGCTCGGAGCACCTTGCGTTTTTGCAGAAGCGCTCTGAACGCCTAGAGTTGAAGATACTTCAACAGAAAATCTTCCGACATTATTGGCGTTTCATTCCCATTGTCCAATCAAACGATGAGTTGAGAGGTGGCGACGAAGTTTACAGCTGCTTAGAAATAACAATCATGGAGGACAAACTGGTGGTGGCTGTTGCTCGATACCCGGAGCTGTATGTTTTTACCAACTGTTGTTACCATGATTTGAACAGGACATCAGGCTTGGAGGGAAATTAGTGTGGTACCTGAGATTTCAATTAAGTTATTTTCATTCATTTAAACTGTACTGATAGTTAACAGGCGAAGCTCCTGGACCAGCTGTGGTAACATAACTCCCTGTGATTTCTCCACTTTCTTTTGGTCACATGTATATCCATTTTCCTGTGTTAGGCTACTGTATGAGAGCAGCCTCTCACCCTCAGTCAGAGCCAGTTCAAGCCCACCTGTCCATTGATTGATAGATAAGATATATAAGATATAGGCCGCACACACACACATACACACACACAGTAGCCTATATCTTTAAACAAAAGGTACCTATATGTGTGTTTACTTCACAGCAAAATCATGGTTAGGCTTCAGACAGGTGATGTGGTGGTTGCCTAGCAACAATTTTAAAAAATCACACCGCACTGCTTCAACTAAAAAGGCAGTGCAGCACACCTGGTTGGAACACGAAACTGTTCCAAATTACTGCTGCTGAAGATCTGTTTCAACATCATAGTTAAGGTTTGGTTAGGTTTAGGCACAAAAACATCTATGTTAGGGTTAAAATGCCTACTTTGTTAATGTCAGGGGACCTTTATTCAACATCAACATTCATCAAACCTGTACATTTGTCTCTAAAGTGAGATCCATGAATACAGATTTACCTCATAGTTTTAGATATTATTTTGTAAATAATCCACAGTTCTATAATTATACAACTAGACAAGCTAAGAATCTTCATCGTCCTCTGTATTAAACATTGTGGAGTTATCTTGTGGAATGAATGTGCATTTAATGGATTTCTCTGGGTACAAAAAGAGACTAGAAATGCCCTGCTGTCAAAAAACATTTGAGCTGAAAGTAAAATGGTTACTAAAACAGCAGTTCATTCTATACATTAGAAAATTACTCCTGCTTCTCTGTATTCTTTTTACTTCACATTTATTATTACTTGTAATGTTTACTATTACGAATATTTAAAATGTATTTGTGATTTTGTATTGTATCTGGGTATGGTTATTCATAGAAGCCATTAAAGGCTTCTACCACACCCTCACATGTATTTTTTTTCTTTTAAGATTTCCTTAATGTTTTTGTTATCTATGTGTGTGAAATTGTTAATATTAATAATAATAAATAAATAAATTATCTTCGTACTGGCGACCTGTCCAGGGTGTACCCCGCCTTTCGCCCAATGTCAGCTAGGATTGGATTGGCTCCAGCCCCCCGCGACCCTGTACACAGGATAAGCGGTTGACGATGGATGGATGGATGATCTTGGTTACAATAACAAACATATGGTTAAGGTTAGGGAATGATCGCGGTCAGTCTGAAACAGGAAATGAACAGCAATTTCTGGTGCTGAAGTCCAAAGTTTTGTTGTCCCATCCATCCACCCCAAACTACTTCTCATGTGGACCAAACAAATTCTTTCTTGGTTTTAGGTCAATGTATGTCCCTGCACTCGATACATCCAACAGCCAGAGCAGTCAATCCAACAGAAGGAAATATCTCTGACTTACGTAGCGCCTATCTCTCTGAGGGCCAGGAATGCAGGGGAGAAGTAATACCGGATGAATCTGCTTGTATCAAGTTCAATGACGTCTTGAATTTCTGGAGAAAAGTAAGGAGAGGAAGAGAGAAGACATTAAAAGAAAAAACTAGAAAAGAGGTGTTGGGAAAAACTATTATGAACAGGACGCATTTCCGGCTTGTCCTTCCTGCCTCAACTGGTTCATGGGTCATACACACTATCTCCTCCGACAACCTCTTTCGTTTCTGCATTTTAGTAATTTCACTAAAAGTAACTGCTGGTCAACATTGATCAGCTCCAACTCCAACATGATCCACTTAGTTTCACTCTCCAATGGTTATAGTAGCCTACACCAACAACAACAGTAGCTAAACTCAACTGTCCAAGGTAATCAAACTTCTCCTAGCCTTTTTATGAACCCATGTCCTCCATAGCTCCATAGCAGTATACTTTACTACTGACTATATGACTTGATTCCAATGTCTATTTAAAGATAACAGCACAAGAGAACTGCCCTGCTTGACGGAAAAATTGAATGAGCACCCTTTCAACAACCTGACTTTTGCACCCGGCTGATGTGACAAATCCATCTGTGATCTCCTCTGTGACATCTGTCCATCTTCACAACACTAAAATGTTTCAGTCAGTTATATTTCCATCAAATTTGGTTCTGAATAATTATTGTCACCAGAGGATGATTTCTAATGTCGATGACCCTTTGACCTTTGCTTAGTGGAAGATTCTGTCAAAATGTTCTCTTAAGTAATCTAGTCCATGACAAGGTATCTTGAATAGTAATGCCTGGATTTTTTATATATTTTTATTCATTGTCCCTGGTGGAAGAATCAGTGTTTTTGGTGATCCTCTGACCTTTTGTCTAGCACCACCAACCGAAAGGTATTGTAGCTCATCAATGGGTGAGTTGTCATCGACTCTTCTTCCTTTTAGGTTAACATATTGTCAAGTCTTACAACAATACTCACGTATATTGAAATAATCCAAAATCACAGTGATTGTTCTGTGTAGAAACCAGCCAGTTGTAAGTTGTTATAGAAGATCAACATTTTTAGCAGCCTATGTTGTTCATACCTTCCATTACATTTCAGTGTGGGCTGTAAGGACAAATGCAGCCTCTGGGGATTACTATCATGGCTTTAGACTTTCCATTTTCCTGAGAACATTAAGCATCTCAACAAATGTAAAAACAAAGATGAAAAGGTACCTGTTGGACAGTGTTTTTTGAAGTCAAGGATCACTGCTCCGCTGCCCAGGTCTCTGATTTTGAAGCGAGAGAAGTTTACGTTGTAGATGTTGTCCTCTGGTGAACACAGGTACTCTGCCACACATCCAACCAACAACAGCTGAAAATTCACCTCTTCAGAAGAGTTTTATGCTTGACATGGCATGGAATTGGAGAGAGAAACTGGAAAAAGTGAGATTTGTTGGAGTGCCCCAATATGCTTTTCTACTAAATTCTCTTTAATCACAGCAATGATACAAGATTGACTTCATTTTAAATTGTATTAACATGGCATATGCCTGATATGGTGTCATGTCAGTTTTATTAACTAAGCCCGATATCACAAATCACAAATTTGTCTCAGGGGGCTTCAAAATCTGTCCAGCATACGACACCCTGCGTCCTTACACCTTCAATTCAGAAGTGTGTTCAGAGTAGAACAACATGACTAAATTATAGTATGGACCATTGTGATGACAAAGTTACACATAGATTGTAACATATATGAAGAATATGGATCCGGAAGGACATTGAGGTATCTCCAAATAATTTTGACCTGAGCCCATGACCTCCTCAGACGGACTACACAAACACACAAGAGGCAAAAGTCAAGCACACCATTCACACAGAGGGAGGGAGAGAGGCAAGAGGAGAGGCTGAATCTCCTGGAGGACAGAGATCCAGATCCAAAACATCTGGAGAGAGACATGGACAGTCAGGAGAGGGAGAGAGGTCCAAGGACAGCTGATGGTCCAGCACAGAGAAGCCTGAGTGAAAGGAGAGGACATGGAGAAGAAACTAGAGAGCGAAAGGCAGGGAGAGATAGTGGTTTTCAGAAAGTTTACAGGGTTCTTGCCAGGCAGGACAAACCTGGACTGGACATTGAGGACGAGAAACAACAGGTTCAAGGTTATCAAATTCGATAGAGTTTTAAGTTTGGATTTAAAGTCCCCAACATAGCCACACTTTTAAAGCCTGGGAACCGATGCCTTGTATTCTGAGAGCGGAGAGACGTAAAGAGGCGAACCCATTTACATTTTTGTAAGTCATCAGAAGCACCTCCAGGACTGATCTGACATAGATAGGGAGCCAAAGAAGGGAAGCTAAAATTGGTGTAATATAATCACATTTCCAATGGCCAGTGACTACCATCTCAGTATTTTCAGAATACAGGAGTAGGAAATGACATGACATCTAGTTTTCCAAAGCAGACAAGCAGGCCTCTAATTTAGTAATGTAGGAATGATCTTCTGCCTTTACAGGCACATGCAGCTGAGTATCATCAGCTTGAAATATAAAGAGAGAAGAGAAGAGGGTAACGACCAGAGCCCTGTGGTAACCTACTCCATATTTCACATCAGAAAATGTTGATGTGGTAGGAAACACACTTACAGATAGGTTTCACCATGTGAGAGCCGGGGCAGAAACGCCAAATTGACAAACAGAACTTTTGGTTATTAGACCTAAGAGAGCAAGCTGATGAGTAAGGGCATAGCAGTTCAGCCACATTATGCAGGTGCCTGAGTGTGCAGTGCTCTATAAGTGCTCTTTATAAGCCAGAGAAGAGATGTCAGCATGGGAGTGATGTGAGACCGTCTATTTGTCGGTCTCACATCTCTAGTTGTCAGAAACTACAGATCTCAGTTAACAAATATTTCTTATATGGAAAAATCAAGATCGAGTCAGCTGCCTAACATGGGTGTCAAATGATGCGGATCAAATATAACCCCTAGATTTTGAAGGCTGGAGTGGGCAGCAGAGGAGAGAGGCCAAATAATTTGCATAGTAATATAATGGGATATTTGCTCATCTGACAATTATACTTTCCCCCAGTTTTGTAAATATCCAAGTGGGAAAATAACAATGTTGGTTAACATGTTAAGGAGCTAACATATATACAGTAGTATTTTCAAATTGTGGACAGTCGCTCTACGGGACTGGTTTGAGTGCACAGATTATATCACAGGAGAACCACATCAACCTTGAGGATTATACATTATCACAACATCATACATCAGCAAATATGTGATGTAGTGATCACTAAGACAATAAAACCATTCCCCAACCAGAACATCTAGATGAACGGAGTGGTGACGACGCCAAGAGGCAAAAAAGTTTGGTCAGGTGCCGAGGAAGCATTTAGCAACACCAGAGTGAGACTGAACGCTGGCGTCATGGAGGAGAAGCGGAAACTGGAGAGACACCACAACACCAAAGATATGTGGCAGGCAATCAAAAACATCACAGGTTACAAAAGCAGGAGCTCCCCCATCATGTGTGAGGCCACATTACCAGATGAACTTAACACATTTCATGCTCCTTTTGATGTGCTCAACAAAGAGTCAGCTGTAAAGTCTACTCCACCTGCAAAGGAGTACATACACTGTATATGCACACACACAGTAACACAAACACAGAGTAACACACACACACACACACACACAGCTTCCTTCCTCTAGACTCCTTATTTCCAGTTTCTTGTTCTGAGGAACAGTAACTGGTTTTCAAAAGCTGACTCACCCCTAGTGTAACTGTTCAGCTGTAAGACATACTGCGGGGTCACTGGTTCACCAGGTCTCCATTCAGCCACCACCTCCCCCTCCTCTGCTTCTTGCAATGTGGTCCCTCCTGAAACAAATCCGTTCCAATCCTCCATGCCTCCATCGACCCCCATCTCTTCATCTGTCCCCCCTCCCTCTTTCTGCTCCCCTGTGCTTTCATCATTCTGAGTTTGGCACTGCTCGCTGTTTCCAATTGTGGTTTCTTCTTGGCCCTCCATCTGGTTTCCGGCAAATGGCCTGACTAAACCAAGCTCAATGTGTTACAAGTATTTGCAAAGTGTGGCAAATGCAGCTTCAAAGGATGTAATCCACAGGTCAGCTCAGGCTGGTGGTGTCTAAACTGATTATGTCAGACTGGATTTGGCAATATGAGTCATTCCCTAGATAGATCTGGCTATGGTATCACCTAATGGTCAAAGAACTGTAAGCACATTCTCTGGACATCATCCGCAAAGTAAAAGATGCTCTTGTCTCTCTGAAATCAAGCATTGGCTGTCCCAGGATGAAAACAAATCTGAAACAACTGTACTTCTTCATTACTTGGACTCTTTGTTTGAATCAAATTGCATTTTGTGGCTTTAAGCACATACATAGATTGTTTGTGATCGCATGTTTCTTTACATCTTTATTACTGGACGCAATTAACCCCATAAAAGAGGTAGAGCTACTTAGCAGAGATTCAGGAGCAGGACCACACATCAATTATGTCACTCCCAGCATTTCCATAAATACAAACACAAGCCATCTCCTCTTCTTCCTTCTTGCATTCTGCACCCCTCCCCCCCTATTTTGTCTCCTGAACTCCTTCCTCCCCATAGGGTTATTAGGGGGTCCGTCGTGCCCTGGTGTTGCGGGCGGATTTCCCTGTGTTTAAAGGTTCAGTGTGTAATATGTATGAGGGTCTATTGACAGAAATGCAATATAATAGGCATCATAGTTTTCAGTTGTGGTAAAGTTTTTAATCGCGATTAATCACATTGTTATGCACAAAATTAAATAATGAATTCTAAAGTAGTGTATTGTGCACTTTTAATTTAAATGTACTGCTATATACACAAAAGTGCACTAACATGTGGTTTGAAAACACTTTAAACAAATATGGTGCTTTTTACCAGCAGTATTCCCTTTACACAGTAGCAATAAAATATTTCTTGTAAATCTCAACTTAAACATTAATGTGAAACTGTAGGTTGTGCTCGCCTCATGCACACGCCTGCCTGCTGCCGAAGTTGAATTGTCTTGAACTTTTTGTACGTGATGCGGAGCACTGCACAAATTATTGGAAGAGAGAAGGGTCCTGCTACGCTGGAATTTGCACGGCAGACCATCCCTACATACAAAGTGGGTCCTTTTACATGGAGGTCATCATGTTGCACCGCCATGTTTCTCCCGAACAGTCAAACGGCTCAACAGAGTGCATTTCATCACTATGCTGAATACATAACAACAACTCAACTTATTATTAGTATCAGTCGACTGGTTTATTAGAAGTAAGAAATGAGTGAAATTTGGACTAATGGAGACCCACACTTGCACGAGAGCCAACAGAGTGTGTCGCCCACCGTAGCTTCTCTTGCAAGCTTGGAAAGGGAGATCGGTGAGCAGTGCATTCATGTGGTATCGAAATAATCAGAATCTTTTTTCCTCTTTAAATCTTTATAACGTGTATCTAAATAAAGTGTACATGGGACATGAAGTATACAGAATTTTGATTCATGCAAAATCAAGTTTTGCATATACATATTTTGCCAACATTTAAGTTGTAATATGGTTATAATGGTTAGTTTGCTGTGAACTAGATGTCTGCGTGTTGTTTATACATGCTGATAATGATAATCCAACACATCTTTGAAGAAGTGTCTGTGGATTCCACATTCCTTTACTTAAGAGAACATAAGCACATGAATGCACCGTGAGCCGCTGGTTGCAATTCGCAATTCTCACCACTAGATGCCACTAAGACTTATACACTGAACCTTTAAAGCTAGTACAAAAGTCAGCTGCTCTGCTATAAATAAATTAGAGATGAGATCACGCCTTTTTCAGCCTCTCTTCACTGGTTACCAGTCAGCATAATTTGACATTTTTAGAGCAGAAGAAGGGCAAGAGGCAGATGGATGCAGAGATTAATATGGTGAAAGACGTTTGACTCTAAACAAACTCGTTTGAGACAACCAGTCATGCTCACACCAAAGGACAATTTAGGGTCACCAATCAACCTAGGCCACATGTCTTTGGACCATGGGAGGAAGCTGGAGCACCCGGAGAGAACCCACGCAGACACACACACACACACACACACACACACACACACACAAAAAGGGAGGGGAAACAAGAGAGATAAATGGAAAAAACAGTCACAGCACTTACTGTTACATGTCCTATGTAAACACTTTTAAACATGGTTTTAAACATGTTATGTAAATAAAGGCTATTATTACTATTATCATCATTTTATTTGCTGTTCATGAGTTACAGACTCCCTCTGGTATCTTACATAATATAAACGCATGATCTGATCACGGAAAACATGCTGCATGCTACACAAAAAAACATTTTAAAATATCACCCACCTAAAATATTCCCTTGCTCCCACTGGAATTAGCCCTGTGTGCATCTGAACTATGTCATGATTGATTAAGGACTGATTTGTTGAAGTGATGGCCTCCGTTCCTGACAACCACACACAAATGTCAGAGAACCTAACGATTAGATCTCAAGCTCAGTTAGTTCACATAATCGCAGGGCTTAAGGCAAGACATTTTTTTGTGCCTGAAATGTGTTCAGGGTTTATGACAAAGATGGAGGGTAGAGGGCAAGAGCGTGTGAGAGCTGCCAGCTATTGTTTGCGATTTCTATCGCTGTCGGTGCAATGTGCAATGTCCATCAGCTAAGAGACTCAATGATGTGCTGCACACTTGTTCAGCAAACGTGTTAAGTTTTGCCCCTTTTTTACTTAACATGCTGTGAGCGGGGTTTGATCCATCAATCTCTGGATCCAGAGCAAGAGCAAGACCTCAACCACCGGACTACTCAGATACACTGTGAAGGGAAGGCTTTCAAGTTTCTTTGTCCATATGTCTTATTCTGACAAAAAAAGGCCTCCAAAGCACCAATAGAAGGCATAGTTTGCTTAGAAACATATTTTCTGTGATGTCTACTCCGCAGTTGAAAAATAAAATAAACAGCCAAAGAATTGTGCCGTGAAAGACTTAATATCATGTAAACAATGATTGCATTTAGAAAGACTAACTACACTGCTCAAAAAAATAACACATCCTAGATCTGAATGAATGAAATAATCTCATTAAATACTCCTTTCATTACATAGTTGAATGTGCTGACAACAAAATCACACAAAAATTATCAATGGAAATCAAATTTATCAACCCATGGAGGTCTGGATTTGGAGTCACACTCAAAATCAAAGTGGAAAACCACACTACAGGCCGATCCAACTTTGATGTAATGTCCTTAAAACAAGTCAAAATGAGGCTCAGTAGTGTGTGTGGCCTCCACGTGCCTGTATGACCTCCCTACAACGCCTGGGCATGCTCCTGATGAGGTGGCGGATGGTCTCCTGAGGGATCTCCTCCCAGACCTGGACTAAAGCATCCGTCAACTCCCGGACAGTCTGTGGTGAAACGTGGCGTTGGTGGATGGAGCGAGACATGATGTCCCAGATGTGCTCAATTGGATTCAGGTCTGGGGAACGGGCGGTGCCAGTCCATAGCATCAATGCCTTCCTCTTGCAGGAACTGACACACTCACTTCTCACAAGGGGTCTGAGGATCTCATCTCGGTACCTAATGGCAGTCAGGCTACCTCTGGCGAGCACATGAAGGGCTGTGCGGCCCCCCAAAGAAATGCCACCCCACACCATTACTGACCCACCGCCAAACCGGTCATGCTGGAGGATGTTGCAGGCAGCAGAACGTTCTCCACGGGTCTCCAGACTCTGTCACGTCTGTCACATGTGCTCAGTGTGAACCTGCTTTCATCTATGAAGAGCACAGGGCGCCAGTGGCGAATTTGCCAATCTTGGTGTTCTCTGGCAAATGCCAAACGTCCTGCACGGTGTTGGGCTGTAAGCACAACCCCCACCTATGGACGTCGGGCCCTCATACCACCCTCATGGAGTCTGTTTCTGACCGTTTGAGCAGACACATGCACATTTGTGGCCTGCTGGAGGTCATTTGGCCTCCTCCACGTCTCCTGATGTACTGGCCTGTCTCCTGGTAGCGCCTCCGTGTTCTGGACACTACGCTGACAGACACAGCAAACCTTCTTGCCACAGCTCGCATTGATGTGCCATCCTGGATGAGCTGCACTACCTGAGCCACTTGTGTGGGTTGTAGACTCCGTCTCATGCTACCACTAGAGTGAAAGCACCGCCAGCATTCAAAAGTGACCAAAACATCAGCCAGGAAGCATAGGAGCTGAGAAGTGGTCTGTGGTCACCACCTGCAGAACCACTCCTTTATTGGGGGTGTCTTGCTAATTGCCTATAATTTCCACCTGTTGTCTATTCCATTTGCACAACAGCATGTGAAACTGATTGTCAATCAGTGTTGTTTCCTAAGCGGACAGTTTGATTTTACAGGAGTATGATTGACTTGGAGTTACATTGTGTTGTTTAAGTGTTCCCTTTATTTTTTTGAGCAGTGTACATAAAATTTTAAACTAACCACTGAAAGTCAGTAAGGACACCACATTTTGTTAGCATCAAGTTCTAAAAACAAACAGCTCTGTAAATTCACAAGCTATAATATATTAATATCATGAATCAAATCAATGTCAGGCACAGGAAGTAGTATTCTGAGGACCGTCTCTTTACCACTATGTCATTGAATACCTATCAATGCAGCAGTTCTTATCAAATGAAACAGGCACTTCACTCCTGGTTTCACTCGGGAACCACCACAAGAATGACAATTACCAACAAAAAACACTATTTTCTTAGCATACATGTTTAACAAAACATAATAAAGTAACATTTGTATTTCACACAAATAGTAGACTTATTAGCAAATTTTAACAAAACTTTTGCTGCCATGCATCGTGGGAAGTTTGAGGGACTTATGTTTTGTTAATCATGTCTGCTTGGAATATGGTGTTTTTTGTTGGTAATTGTCATTCTTGTGATGGTTTACTATTGAAACCAGGAGTAAAGTGCCTGAACGAGAACGATGTTGAAGAATAAAATAAATAAACAGCC